GCGTCCAGCTCGGCGCCGGCCACGCGCAGCTCCTCGGGCGTCAGCGGGCGGCGCCTCTCGCGCAGCAGCGCGGGGCCGACGGCGCTGCTCTCCCCGGCGGCGGCGGTGGCGGCGGCGGGCGATGATGATGATGATAGGCAGGGACGGCGCGAGTAGCTATAGGCGACGCGGTTCCCGCGGCGCAGCACGACGACGTCATCCGCGGGGACGCCGTCGTCGCCGCCGCCGTCGAGCCAGGCGGCGGCGTCGAGCAGGCCGGCAAAGGTGGCGTCGTGGACGGGCACGGGCGTCAGGCGCAGCGGCAGGCGGCCGGACCGGGCCTCGGGCAGGGCGTGGTGGAAGCGCACCAGGATGCCGAGGCGGCTGAGCGCCTCGGGCACGGCCAGCACGACGACGCGGACGGCGTACCTCTTGTTTTGTGATGATGATGATGATGAAGCGAACAGTCGCACCAGGTCCTCAAAGTCAGCCGGGTGGCGGCAGGCCGACTCGACGACGCAGTCGGCGCCCCGCGCCGCCGCCAGCCCGCACGCCATGGCCAGCCACCGCCGCGCGTCGGGCCCCGTGGCCGGCGACGCGAGGGTCGGTCTCTGCGCGGCCAGGGAGGCGTAGGCCGGGTGGTACGTCTTGTACGTGTCGGCGATGAGGTGCGCAACCCGCGGCCGGCGGGTCCCCGACGACGACCCCGACATGGCGGCCGCCAGCAGCGGCGCCGTGCGGGTCTTGCCCGCCCCCGTCTGGCCCACGAGCAGCACAGCCACGGGGCCGCCGCCGCCGCCGCCGCCGCCGTCTTGCCCGTCTCCTGCTGGTGGCTCGGCGTCGGCGTCGGCGTCGGCGTCGGTGTGGTCCGCCAGGTGGCCCAGCTCGGCCGGCACGATCTCCTCCTCAAAGATGCGTCTGCTCTCGGCATCGGAGAGCACGTACTGGGCCAGTGGCCCTTGGCCGTCCCGCGGCGCGGCGCTCCCGGTTTCCATCGGGGGCCTGAGACTGGCGAACTGGGCAGGGCCAGTGTTTTTGTGTTTTGTGTGCAGCCGAGCCCGAGAGTCAGGGGGGGATGCGGAAGTGCTCTCTTGCAGGGTAGGGCTTGGCATGAACTAGAATAGAAGAAAGATGCCTAGCCCGAAAGATGACGTATTGGCATTGTGGGGGTGTTGTTGACCACGAGGCTGCTCCTCCATAAAACATTTCCGATCAACGCCGCTCAAGTCAAAAATGGTAGCATCTACACCAGAATAAGGCAATACACGTTTGTATTCCCCTTTCACCTTTGACTTCTTTCCCTTTTCACACGTAATTGTTGAGTTTTGCCATCCCCCCTCGTTTCTGCGCAGGGCTGGTGGAGATACTGGAAACGGTTGATCTCGAGCCAAAAAGATTTCATCGGCTTCATCTCGACATTGCCGCTAAAGCGGAACGCAGCAGAGACTTTGATATGGGCAGTCTTGGACCTTGAAGGGTTACACAATACTATGCACGCATGATGGAAGATGCTGAATTGTGCTGCCTGGCCGACGGAGAAGTGGCGTTGAGCTGAGCCTACCGTGACATCCATTCGGCTGGTTGGGCATCGCGATGGCCGGCGTAACAGTGTAGGGACAGACTTGGGGGCAGGCCAACACCCGACACAGGCAGACACAAGTTGGCCGAATAGCATCATATTAGATACCTGTCAGTAGGGCCCGCCCAGGGACGTAGTTTATATATTGGCATGAGGGCCCAATCACACCCTCGCCGAACCGTCGCCACTCCCTCCCCGACCCGTCGAGGCTTTCGTAGCTGCCCAGTCCCTGATGCCAGGGCCCTACAAGACCGACCACTCGGCGCTGGCGCGCCGTCTTCTTACAGCAGGAAACCAGTCGTCACATGCCATACAATGCATCGCGACCGACCGCACGCTCCCGAGACCAATCTGGCTGTGCTTGAAAAGGCTTAAGAAAGAAAGTGAGAAGAGAGTATAAAAACCCAAACGCCAAACCCCAAACAGCCCTGACCATGGCCGAAATCGTGCTAGCCTGTCTGGATCCCGGATATGACCAGCCGATGATCATTCTTGTTTGATTCTCCAAAAGAGAAAGAAGAGTGCCGCAAACCCCACGCCATGAGATATCCTCGAGTACGAGCACGGTCGGAGATTCGGTACACTGATAACCCGACAATGATGATGACGAAAGAAAGGTGGGCTCCCGTTTCGAGTCGACAAGACGATAGAAGAATGACGCTGATAAAGAAAACAAGGAAGCGTTGAGACAAGGAGGTAAAGAATGAACAGGACAGAGATGTGTCGTCAAGGGAGATCAACGCAAAACGCAAGGCGAGATAAAAGGGAGCTATAAATGGAACAGGAACGAATCCAACACCCATAAGCCAGAAAATGGGAGATAAAGAGAGGCAGGGGGGAGGGAGAAATGGAGTAAGCATATGCCACCAAGTTTGGTTGGGTGTTCTCTTATCTGTATCTCACAGACGGCCAGGGGAAAAGACCGCGGGGCCTCCCTCTGACCATAATAACAATATAAGGGTTGTTGGCATGGCTGCGTACTAGTATTTTGATCATGAATCATAACGTAGAAGACAAAAAGACGGCTAGAATGAAGGGGACGAGCAGCGGGGGGGTTATCGATATATGCTAAGAGGGGACGCTTCGGGGCGTAACGTCTCCGCTCCGCCGCCGTGCCAGGCTCTGCTGTTGCTGCTGAACCTTGGATGCATTTGAGATCATGCGTGATTTGTTGCGGACAGACGAGAGCCGTGACTTGATCATCTGGATCACTGTTGGACATGAATGTTAGTAACCATGGCAGCCGTTTGATGAAAGAAGAGAGAGCCGCCCGAAAAGGAATGGAACCTACACTTCTGTACTGACTGCTGGTCGTCGACGTTGATCTCGACTTGGCCATCTTCCTGAGAAACGCTGCCAGCATCGCCCAGGACTCCCGAGGTGTGCCTCTTAGGCACGCTGCCCTCGTTATCGAGAACGGCCTCGAGCATGCGGATGGCCGTCACATACGAGATCTCACACCCGGCCAGATCCTCGTTGGTGATCTCGTTGATGGCAGCGGTCCGGCTCATCTCCACTGCGCGGTCGTACATGAGCCTCTCGGCTGTCACACCCGCCGTGAGAAAGACGCCTTCGGTGCTGGCGCTATTGGCAGCCTCGGCCTCTTGGCGATGGTTGCCCGGGTGGCTTGGGTGGTCGTCGGGTAGGCGCCTCTGTGCCTCGAGCAGCCTCAACCTCACAACCTCGGCCTTCTCCAGCACCTCGTTAAACCGGGATCGGACCCATTGGACAGCCGAATTTATGCGCAGCGATATGTTCTGCGCACCGGCTGAGGAAGGAGCGCTGCTGCTGGTCGTCTGATCGCCTCGGCTCCGCCTGGCCCACCAGAGGCTGGCAATGTCCATCGACTTTGCAAGGAGCGTCAGCGCCTTGACGTAAAGCACCAGCGCCTCCTCCGACAGCGCCACAACGGCCTCGATGGTCAGAACGTCCTCTTCGCTGCCCGCCGCGAGCCTGTCGGCCACGGGTGCGCCCCCGAGGCCGTGCTCGACCGAGGGCGCGAGCGGCACGAGCTGCTTGTACTTGACCTCGGCAAACCCGTAGACGACATCGCTCCGTGTCGCATGCTCCTCGATCAGCTGCACCACACGCGCGTCCTCGTCGACCGGGGTCACCTGCCTGCCGTCGCCGATGAGCCCTATGGGCGGCGCCGGGGTGGGATAGCTGGGGTATGGGGCATAAAACTCGGGCGGTGACACCGACGCGCCCTTGCCTAGCCCGGCCGGGTACTTGATACCTAGTAGTCTCAGGCTCGCGTCCTGGATAGCCTTGGTGATGAAGGACGCCGTCGATCCGGGGCTCCCCGAAAGCGAGCCCTGGCGTTCGTGCCCGTGGTGCCTCTGCGTCCCCTGGGCCACCTGCATGGCCCGCGATGGCGCTGGCGGCACCGCGCCCGTCGTCGAGGTGGGATTGCCCTGCTGGGTTTGCCTCCGCACCATTTGGCCCGACTTTGGGGATACCGGAGCGCCATTCATACCGCCCAGTCTAGGATTTGCTGCCATCTCGTCGGCAAATGCATTTACCTCTACGTGCTTCTTCTCCACCACAACGTAGTCGCGCTCAAAAGCCACATCTTGGGCCGCACGCTCTTGCTCCTCGCTTTGCCCCCCGCGCCGGGCGTCGCCGCCCCTGGATGGCTCGTAGTTGGCAACCAGGGAAGAGCTAGGCGAGGGTGAGTCGCGGCCGACCGGCCGGCTCACCGAGGCGTTGGACGCACCCCGGCGGCGCTCACCGTGCAACACTGTCCTGCTTGGAGCAGACGCTGACGGCTGGGCGGTCGGCCTCCGTGTGGGCAAGCTCTCCGACACCGGCTCGGCCTTTGGCGAATGGCCGACTCGCGCACCCGACTCGGGGCCTGGCTGTTGCCGCCTGGTCTCGGTTGCCTGGCGAGGCGCAGCTTTCTCTTGCGGCGAGCCCGGGGTCTCGTCGCCCCTTGCCGGGTCTTGGTCCGTTGGATAGCGACGAAACGAGTGCCTGCGGGGTGATGCGATAGGATCGTCTGTCCTCGCCTCCTTCCTCACGTCCTTGGCGGTCCTCTGATCCGGCTTCGGCACGTCATCCTCGACAAGGCCGGGGATGGGATTAAGCACGATGCCATGATTAAAAAAGTTCTCGAAGCTCAAACGCTCGACAGGACTCCTCTTAAGCAGGGCCCTCACGAGAGACTTCATCTCTGAGCTGGCAACCGTCTCCCGGGGGAACTTGATGACATCCTCGGCGGCCTCGATCTTGCGCAGCAACTCCACGTGATTGCTCGCGCGAAATGGGGGCCTGCCCGTGACCATCTCGTACAGAACGGTACCGACGGACCAGAGGTCCGCCTTTGCGTCATACCTCTCGTAGCGGAGGATTTCTGGAGCCATGTACAGCGGCGAGCCACACAGGGTTTCGGCCAGCGAGGTGGAGGGCAGCACCCTGGCGAAGCCGAAGTCGGCCAGCTTGAGCATGGGCAACGATAACAGGCCGGCGGCCGGGATGAGCGAGTCCTGACTCGCCGTCAGGATAGGCCTAGTAAGTGTCTTGTTGACGTCGCGGTACTCGGGCGACGGCAGCAGCAGCAGGTTCTGAGGTTTCACATCGCGGTGAACAAAGTTGCCCTCGCGGAGGAACTTTAGGGCACTGGCAAGCTGCTTGAGAAAGTGACGAATGACAACCTCGTTCAGACCCGAGTTAAGGGCGCTCGGGTATTTGCGAGCCATGTCGTGGGTGGCCGGGTGCGTCAGAAGCTTCTCCCGCTTACGGATAAAGAGCGACAGGTCGCCCAGCTCGCAGTACTCCATCATAAGGTTGATGTGCGTCGACGACTCGACGCAGTCGTGGAGCGCGACGATGTGAGGATGTCGCAGCGTCTTCAGGATCTTGATCTCGCCGTACAGATTCTCCTTGAGCTTCTTATTAAGCCGGGCCAGCTCGACAGACTTGATGGCCACGGCGGCGCCCGAGACCTTGTGCCGTCCCATGTAGACCTGGGCAAAGCTGCCCTTGCCGATCTCGGCGCCGATGATGAACTGGCCGACCGAGTCATCGCCAGGCCGTGCCCGCCTGGCCGAGCTGGACGAGATCCGATCTGCCATGGTGGATGCGTGAGGTGCCCGCGGGCTACAAGAGGCGGGATCGGGGGCGTCGGCCGGAGGAGGTGATCGGGCCCGTCATGGAACAGATTCGGTTGTATAGACAGGCAAATGGATGGGTGCGTAGGTGGGTTGTTACCTAGGTGGGTGGTGGGTAGGGTGGTTCGTAGCTTTAGGTTGATAGGAGTTGACGACAGGGACGGAGCGACGAGGGTGGGTTGGCCAGTGAGCCGCAGCGAGTATGGGAAAAGCAGGGCTCAACGGTGGCCCCGAGTTGCAGCCGTCAGTGTGTGGCTGTCGGATTAGGTGCGAGGAGGGAAAGAGGCAGGCTGGGTGTCAGGGACAGGGCGAGAGTAAGAGAGGTTAGTTAGGTCGGTGCCTGAGGTTGGTTTGCAAGGCAAGACCTGACAGCCGCCGACTGGGCGAGCGACAACGGGCTCGGTCCGGCACCGCCCCGATAGGCCAAGGCAGCTGAGATGGACCGGAAGGAAAGTGCACTGACCGCGATAAAGGCACTCAGCGCGCAGCGCAAGATGCGTGAGGGAGGGGGGATGTGCGTTCACTCCTTCAGAATCATGCTGGACCGCCCACGCGCATGGATAGCCTTTCGCGGCGGGGACTGGAGGTGGAGACGTGCTGGGCTTGGGGCACAATGGGGGCAGGAAGCGATGCACCGCAGGCACGGTAGGCACGGTATGCACTCCGACCCAGCCCCGTCTGGTGTTTACGTAGGCACCGACGTCGCACTGCGTCGGCACGCTCTCATCTTTACGGCAGGCTCCAGAGCCCATCCGAGCGAACCCTGGGGCCTGGACCCACCGTCACGGGCGTTATTCCCAGGGTGCTTCGGTAGTGTAGCGAGCCAAGAGTCCCGCCTCCAGTCTTTTCTGTGGTGTCCGCTTGCTTTCTATTGTTCAATCTCCAAATCCTACTGGGTGTTTCCAGCCCTTGGCTGCTTCACATCAAATCCTCCAACTCCCTCGCACCCATGCCTTCTCACCAAAAGGCCTCCCCTCCCCCAGCTTCTTCTGCACGAACGCTCAACACAAAAGCAACCGCGGGCCGGGACCTGCTGGGAACGGGGCACGGCTCGCCCATCAAGGGACCACACACCCACGAGACATGCAGGGCAGCACCGATTACAGGGTACCCACCACCGCCCACCTAACCGAGATCGGTTAGTGTCTGTGACTGTGTGGGCGTGTGCTGCAGGTGGCCGCGACGTGGCACATGGGTTGGTCCAGCAATCGTGAATCGCTCTATCTCCTGAGCTCTCATGCGTGCTAACGAGGCTCCCCATTCTTCTTGTCGAACACCTGACGTTCCCGTCCAGACGTGCAGTTTCTCATTGTTTCCTACAAGCCTGAAAAAAGCACATCGGTTCGAGGTTACGGGAACCAGGCTTACTCGGAGCCCTCGACTCTTCGCTTTCTTCGTTGCAGGTGTCATGTTTGTTGCCCCCAGCTCCGGCTTTCGTCATTCCCCACAAGACAAACGTCACGAGGCCATCACCCATGTGGTCTCGATTGCCGGGGGCAAATAAGCCAGTCTTTGACTTGCCTAGTCCGCCTTCACATCACCACGACAACAAGAGCAGATAAGCACAATCCTGGCAGCTCTTGCAGCACCGCGTATCTCTGGCTCCCTTGGCTGGCCGAGTTGAAACTTGCATGATTGAGCGATAAGAGAGGGGCTTTGAACTCAATGTCTGCAGCAGTGCAAGGGAAAGGCGATTCCTTTCTTTGGTAATAAGATTGTGTAGTTGCTCGGAAAGAAGCCCATCAACGAGTACAGTAATGCTTTGGATGGCGACTTCTAAGCGGGCGATCTCTTTTGCTAGCGCATTCTAGTGCATCCAGCTCCCCCTTGACTTAATAATTGTTTCTCATCCCGTCTTTGCCGCCTTCTAGACATCTTGGGTTGGTCATACACAGTCACTGTGTCACTCTAGTGACCATTCGACTTCTCTGCTGTTGGCAGCTCCTGCAATGCTTCCCCAATGATCTGAAGAGCCTTGCGAAGCTCCTCCTCCGTGATCACCAGTGGCGGCGCGAACCTAATGATGGTCCCGTGGGTGGGTTTGGCCTACCGGCTCCAGGTCAGCCCCATCGTCATACGTAACTGCTGCGGCTCAGGCGGGGCGAGGGTCATGCTTCAGGGGTAAAAAGGTCAGGAAAGAAATGTTTCTGCAACGTACCAGCAATCCTTTCGACTTCAAGAGGATGCACAGATCCCACGCAGACCGGCCGCCGGCAGCCGACTCGTCAATGACAGCAGCGTTCAGAAGCCCCTTGCCCCTGATCGTCTTGATTATGGGCGACTTGAAGGCGGCCAGACCATCACGGAACAGCTTTCCCAGGTGGTCGGCCTTCTCGGCGAGCCCGCCCTCCTCGACCAGCTCAAGGGCTCGGATGGACACGGCGCAGCCGAGCGGGTTGCCGCCGTAGGTCGACCCGTGGGTTCCAGGCTCAACGACGAGCATGACGTCCTTGTTTGCGAGGACGCAGCTCACGGGGTACATGCCGCCCGAGATGGCCTTGCCCAGCGTCACAATGTCGGGCTTGATGCCGGCCCAGTCGCAGCAGAGCATCTTGCCGGTGCGCGCGATTCCCGTCTGAATCTCGTCGCAGATGAACAGCACGTTGTGCTTCTTGCAAAGCTCGTGGGCGCGGGCCAGGTAGTCGTCATCCGGAACCACCACGCCAGCCTCGCCCTGAATGGGCTCGACGATGAATGCGGCTGTTTCGCGGCCGTGGGCTTCGAGAACGGCCTCGAGATCTGCCAGGTTGTTGTAGCGAATCGGTTGTCCGGTCGAGGGGTTGATGGCGCCGATATTCGGGACGTAAGGGCCGTAGTTGTCGCGCGACTCCGGGTCGGTGGACAGGGATATGGCAGTCATCTGCGGCGAGGTTAGAAAGTCACAACATGGGCTAGGGACAACGCACCGTGCGGCCGTGGAAGTTGTCGGCGGCCGAGAAGATCAAGGCGGCACCCTGGGGAACCTTCTTGACCTTGTAGGCCCACTTGCGGGCGATCTTGATGGCCGTCTCGACGGCTTCAGCCCCCGTGTTCATGGGCAGCACCATGTCGTAGCCAAAGGTCGAGCGCATCTTGGCGGCCCAGACGGGGAAGACATCGTTGTGGAACGCCCTCGAGCTCAGTGCCAGGCGGCCGGCCTGCTCAGTCAGGGCCTTGATCAGCTCCGGGTGACAGTGGCCTTGGTTGACGGCGCTGTACGCAGACAGCAGATCGAGATAGTGCTTGCCCTCCGGATCCCACACGTTGACCCCTTGGGCGCGGGCAAAGACAACAGGCATGGGGTGGTAGTTGTGGGCAGCATACTCGTTCTCGGCCTCAATGGCCGACTTTGTCGACGACGAGTGGAACCGCGACGTCGACGGCGAGTCGCCGTTGGCGGAGGTAGCAGCTGGAGCCATGGCGGCGCGGACGGCGACGGGGTGTGGCGGCTGGCTTCAAAAGCTGTCTTCTAGGTTCGGGGTAACTAGGCACGAGGGCACATGCAGGATTGGGTCTCGGGAAGAGAGGGATTGAGATGGGGAGAGAGATGGAAGGGAACGTGGTTCTGGACAGGGGATTTCTGCTTTTTATTTGTCGGTCGTTTTTGTCTTGCAATGTTTGCTTTCCGTCACATCAGGAACGTAGCACGCTCGACTGGCCAACCCAAGGGAGACAGACGGCAGGCGTGCGAGGGGCAAAAACCGGGGCCGCGGCTGCTTGATATAGCTGATAGCCCAGCAAGGTCGTTCAGCCCCCTCCAAGGCCCGCCCTACACCGGCGATAGCCCTTCCTCACGCTGGCCAAGCCGGCCCGGCCGTGGCTACTCGACTCGCCAGGGGCGCCCAGGGGCCGCGGGCTCTTGGGGCATGCATGGAGCGGCGCCTGTAGCCATGCCACACTAGGCTCCTAAGTGCAGGTGCAAGCGGCTTTGGAGTCATGTTTGATGGTGGTGAGCACAGTGTTTGGCAGGACCCGACGTCGGCTGGGTTCACGTGCGCCGTTGCCATTGCCGAAGCAAACCGCTCGACGACGGGGAGCTAACCCCCTGGCAGGAAGTCCCCAGTCAGCACGCGGTTACTGCTACGTAATGCCGATGCTTGCCCAGCTCCAGGTCCGTCAGCTTGTCAGTTTCTAAAGATGTGGATGTGATTGTGATTGCATCCCCCATGCGGCAGGGCCCACTTATCTCCAGACAAGGAAGGGTGGTCCCGTTGGCCAATCCGTTGGCCAATCAGAACAGCTACGTACTCTCTAGCCACCCGGCTGTGCTGCCTCACTCGATGGAACCTCGACACCGCAACGCCCTAACGGAGGAGTTATACTCGTCTCTGTACGCCCCCGTACCTGATCATCCGACCGTTTGAACTCCCCACGATGGAACCGTCGGGAGGTGCGGCGACCTTCGCTCTGCTGCTGGCCTGGCGCCTTGTCAATGCCTTTTGCGTCCGCACCTTTTTCCAACCAGATGAATACTTCCAGGCCCTCGAGCCGGCTTGGTCCATAGTCTTTGGCCCGGACAGCGGCGCCTGGCTCACTTGGGTGCCGTCCACCCCCTTGATTTCCCCCCGTGGAGAGACGCAACCGCCCGTCACCGCCCGAGCTCCGTCCTGACTTGTAGATGCTGGTGGGAATATAGGAATGGCAATATCAGCTGCGGTCGTCTTTGCACCCCTTGCTGTTTGCAGGTCTCTACATTGGCCTAGATAGCCTGATGCAGCTCCTCCAGCTGCCTGTCCATATCAGAGCCAATGTCCTGGTGGCCGCTCCCACGGCTCTCCAGGCCGTGTTTGCTGCCCTTGGCGACTTCTATACCTGGAAGTTGTCATGTAATGTACACGGCCGTTCTCGGCCCGTTGCTGCTGCCGCTGTATGTCTAGCCGTTTCCCACCCGCCACCGGGGTATCTCTATCGTTGCATCCTCACTGACTTATCGCTGCCCCTTGCACTGCTCTAGCTATGGATGACTGTGGCGAATCCGTGGCAGTGGTACTGCTCTACGCGTACCTTCTCCAACTCCATCGAGACAACTTTGACGGCCATGGCGCTTGCTTATTGGCCATGGGATCTCCTCGGTGCCGCCGACGCCGTGCCCAGTGCCAAGTCAGCCGCCCGCCCTCCGGCGTCTCCCTCTACTCGTGGCTTGAGGAAGTCGCTGTTGCTTGCGGCCGTAGCTGTCATGCTTAGGCCGACGAACATACTAATCTGGCTGGCCATTGTCACCCTCATGCTGACGCGCTTCTCCCTCGATGGGGCATCGCCCCTCACGCCAAAGACTCTGCTCGGCCTTGCCGTCGAGGCTGTCGCGTGCGGATCCTCGGTCCTCGTCGTATCTTTGCTCTCGGACCGCTTCTACTTTGGCTTCTGGACCTTCCCGCCCTTCAAGTGGCTCCACTTCAACATATCCCAGGCCCTGGCCGTCTTCTACGGACGCAATGACTGGCACTACTACCTGTCGCAGGGCCTGCCCCTCCTCACCACCACGTTCCTCCCCTTTGCCCTGATCGGGCTCTACAGGTCCACGGGCTTGGCCGCCTCGTCCAACGCGGTCCGGACCCTGTCCTTTGCCGTGTTCGCGACGATCGGGGTGCTGTCCACCATAACGCACAAGGAGGTCCGCTTCATCTACCCCTTGCTCCCCATCCTCCACGTCGTGGCCGCGCCGCACGTCTGCGCCTACTTCCTGTCGGAGCCCGCGTCCTCCGCGCCCGCCCCTCCGCAGACCAGAGCCACCGCACGTCGCCCTGTCCTCAGGCGCAAGGCCCTGCTAGGCGCTCTCCTGGCTGCGAACGCGACGGTCGCGGGCGTCCTGTCGCTGCTCCACCAGCCCGCCGTCCTCTCGGTCCTGAACTTTCTCCGCGCGGAGTACGAGGGCCTGCACCCCGACGGCCCCGCCCTCCGCCTGCCACCCCGCGGCTCGTCGGCCCCCGCCGTCGGGACCCCGGGCGCCGCCGGCTCGGACGAGCCCTTTGTCCTCTTCCTCACACCCTGCCACTCCACCCCGTGGCGGTCCCACCTGGTCTACCCGGGCCTGCGGGCGCGCGCCCTCACGTGCGAGCCCCCGTTGCACACCCAGCCGGGGACCAGGGAGCGGGCCGAGTACATGACCGAGGCCGACCGGTTCTACGCGAACCCCGACTCTTTCCTGGCCGGCGAGATGTGGCCCGACCTCTCGTTGTCGCCGCCGTCGTCGGACGCTAGTCAGATCCCGCGCTACATCGTTGGCTTCGAGGGGATCCAGGAGGACCTGCTTCGCTTTTTCGAGAGCCCGGCGGGCTCGGGTGCCGGGCTAGCCATCAAGCCCCGGCGCGTGTGGGGGGGCTGGAATGGCTTTTTTAACGAAGACCCTCAGCGGAGAGGAAAGCTTGTGGTGTGGAAGATGGACAGGCCTGTGGAAACATCACGGGGAGGACCGTGAGCCTTTGTCGTGCAACTGGGCTAGAGTTTGTTCTCCGACTGGGCTTGCCTCGCAAAGGTTTTATGTCATCAACTCCAGGCTGGTCTCAATCAGGTACGGCAACTGATAATATACCATGTTTGGCCTAGATTGACTTGGCGAAATCCTTGACCGACTTTGGACGGCTTGATCCGTGATCACTTTACATGGTCAAAACTGCGGCGAGCCTAACCAATGGGGCGCGCCTGTATTTGGTCAGCGACAGGGTGGACCAGAAGCAAACCGAGGGCGAAGACCGGCGCTACCATGAAGTTAAGACAAAGATGACGGGCAAAATACAGGACTCTTTACAACGTGACGTCAATACGGAGAATCCTTCATAAACGAGATAGCGATAAGACAAACAGGATGTGGACAGAGCAACAAAGAGATAGTGTGTAAGGAGAAGAGAGAAAGAAAGGTCGTGGATAGTGACAAAAGGCAGGTATAGAGGAAAGAGAAAAAAACGTCGCAAAGTTGACGAGATGGCTAGAGAAGATACAACTAAAAAGAATGAAAGGGGAGGGGGAGAGGGAGGCGATCACGTCGCCAAATTCTCGTGCAAGTAGTCTCAAAAAAATGGTGAAAATTAGCTGTATGAGTCGATGAGACAGAAAATGTGGACGAAAACCCCCCTCGCTCCTGCTCTCCCGTGGATTTTCATATCCTCTCTCCCCTTCCCCTTCCGAGATACTTTGCCTCTCCCACGCCCGGATTTTGTCCGAATCGGGGTCGTGGCGCTTTGTTGAGAGCCGGGAGGCTATGGTTTCGCCCGTTCGTCCTCTACCGGCGGTCTGGAAAGATCCATGCTCTTTGGACGCCGAGATGGTAGGCTCGACGTCGGTGTTAGGTCAGCGGGTGGTGACTTGTTTCGGCGTTGATCGTGGTTTTCCTTGGCCTCTCGGTATTTATTCTTAATCCAACCAGTCAGGCCTCTGACCTCGTCTTTGCCTTCCTTGTAGTTGGACTCATGTGACGAATGACCTTCGGCACTCAAGGCAGTGAAGTTGTCTAAAGAGTCGCCGTTGAAGCTTCGCCGTCCTTGCTTACTCCCGCTGCCAACCGAACTGGTGCTCATCTCGGCGTTGGTGTTCAGCCCCAGGACCTGCCGAGGAGATGCTGGCCCAGGCTGTGGCGGGGCAGCTGCTACCATGTCTTCCTTTCTCTTCGACAGCCTCCACCGCCGCCGCTTGTCCTTGTCGGGTTCCGTACTCTCTGTCGGCGCAGGTGGCTCCTCGACCTGGTCGAGCTCGGAACCCTCATTGAAAGAGCTGTGGAGCGAATGGGGTGGTGACTTCTGCGGCCGGAGGGCGTGTTGTTGTTCGACATTTGTCGGGTTGGCGGTTTTGCTGTTGATAGTGCCCGGGGTAGAGGTTGGAACATGTTCGGCCGCCGATGCTGGTTCCGGTGGCAGTTCTGCCGCAAAAGACGTGTTCGTCTGTGCCTGGGCCTCTTCTGCCGGCGGATCAAGCTGGTGCTGTTCCATGGGATTCGGCATCTCAACGCCAGGAGAGATCCCAGCGGCCGAATGAGGCAACGAGGCGGTCGAGCTTTGTGCACTGGGGTTTGTGCTGCTCGCCAATCGCTTTTTCCGCAACTTATTTGGCTGCCTAGAATCGCCCTCCCCCGTCGGCGAACGCTGGAACAAACTCTGCAGCTTGCGCTCCCGCGCAGGAGTAAGTGCGTCTGGGGTGGTGGGCTCCAGAAGGCCATCCTGGCTTCTGCTAGGTAGGCCGAGTTGGGCGGCGGGTAGCTGGAGAGGCATTCCAAGGGCTGTAGCTCGAGATTTCGACTGCAAGGCTCGACCCTGTTCGACGCGAGGAGAGATGGCCTCTACCACTGTGGGCGAGGGCGGGATCGGCGTCGGGGTGGCAGGGGTGGCTGGGGTCAGTGGTGCTAGAGAGCCTGAGTGCTGGTCAGCCTTCTGGTGGAACCGGCCGGAGCCGATGGCAGGTGACTTTTTGGAAGGCAAAGTGTTGCTCCTCCCAAGCCCGCCCGATGTTGTAGAGCCTATGGCTGGACTACCTGGGCTGGGCGCCCCGTTTGAATGCCGCGAATGCCTGGAAGACGTGGATCGATTCCTACGAATCTTGCCATCACGAGCGACACTCTCAGCCCCGGCGCTGGCGTTGGATGCAGACCTCTGAACGCCCGACTTGCGCGACGCGTTTGGGGTGACAGGCGTTGTGGTCGGAGGGGTGCCTTTCTGAACCTCCTGCACCGTCTTCTCGTCCGCAGCCGTCCCTTGCATGCCGATTAGAAAGTGGTCCTGGTTCTCGATTAGGAATATTATAACGCATTGGTTCAGACGGTATTCCTCAGGGGCCATGGCGTGCGCAGGGTGAGATAGCATGCCGGGCTGGAAGATGGCGGCGAGGTTCTGCGAGTTCATGCGGTTCTCGTCAGACTTAGCTGCGAAAACGGCGAGAAGGTCCAGGATATATAGCAGGAGCTGCCGGTTGAGCGGCGGCAGCTCGGTTATCAGGCTCTGGTACTTGGCAATGGCCGCCCCTAGGTCGAAGTTGTCTACGAACTGTGGCCCCTCGGCGTCACCAACAGCCTGCATAGTAGCCCCGCGGAGCGGCTCCCTGAACTTCTCATACAGGTCCAACGGTACGACAGGTTCTGGGAGATCGTTGAGGTATCGCCTGAGGACGTTGGCGGCATCATGAACGGTAAAGCCATCCCACACGAGTCCCTTGCCGTAACGATCAGGTGAGTCGAATATCGTCTTGAGCTCCTTGATGCGTTTTTCGGAACCGCTGAGGCGGAAGATTCCTTCAACCCCGGTGGCTAAGACACGGACAAATGGTAGGTTAGAGGCGCTACAGCTACTTGTGCGGACAGGGCCGGCGCTTGACTGCGGTAGATGGGGATTCTGCGAACCTTTTTCCTTGAGAAACACCCCGCATTTCGCTACGACAATCGGCACATAGCCGTAGATGTAGCTCTTTCCGTTCTCGTCGATGAGCGATATGGCGACGTTGGCATAGGTGATGCTCTGGCGAAGTGGGACGCCGAATATCCCTTGGGGGCGGGATTCTGTGGCTGTAAACTTAGTACACATGCTTGTGATGGGGGACGATAGATGCGCGGGGACAGCCGAGGGCGGAGGGAAAAGGGTAAGTGGGAAGGCGACGATAGCAGCACGTTAGACATGCGCCTGAGCTAGGACTCTCGCTAGAGGTACGCCGATGGATGGTGTCCCAGCGTTGGAATGGCGGACTTCCGCTCACTGGCGCACGCAAGGGCTCGATGATTTTGTCAGGATTTGGGGTAGAGGGGCGCCATCGCCGCAGCGGTAGCAGCCAACTCCGGCCGCAGCGAAGGACAAAGAAGCAAACAATGTGGCAGTATGTACCATGTGTATCTTGGTGTTTTGAAGGCAGTTTGAAGCCCTTCCACCACGACCTCAGGTCTCTTTTGCTCGGAGGAGAGGCATTGTGGGACGATGAAGGTGTCGCGGGATGGGGCAGCACCTGAGGCGGTGGTGTCGGCCTCGACTTGAGGTGTCCTTGTCCTGGCGGCTGCGTGTGCGCGTGCGCGTGCGCTTGGGGTTGCGGCTGGGGCTGGAGTTGTGATATCGCCTTTGAGGAGGGCAGCTTTTGTGGCGGCGGCTGCTGTGGTGATAGCGGTCGCGACTCAGAGTGCGATTGCGACTGCGACTGCGACTGCGACTGCGACTGCGACTGCGGCTGTGTGTACGGCGGCGGCGGATCGGGTTTCGGGTCGGCGTCTACCTTTGTCTGAGTCTGAGGCTGTGGTTGTAGTTGCGGTTGAAGCTGAGGTTCAGGTTGAGGTTGCGGTTGCTGTTGCGACTGGACTTCTTGGGGGGTTGGATGGACTGCGTCTCGAGGCTGCTCGGGGCCGCTGGGGGCGAAGTTGGACGTCATGACGACGGCAGCAGAGCGCTCAATGCTGACCCGCGAGAGCGCCAGACACTGACTTTGGGAGCAAAGCTCGCGGGAAGCTGCGCGAGACAGTTGTCCGCCGTCCTTGGACGCTACCGCTTGGGTCGTGTCGGTCGGTCGGTTGGTGGAGGTGAATTAGGTGGTGGTTATCGCTGCTCAATCGATTTGTGGATGTTTTCTTTTATTTTCCCCTTGTTTTTCTCCCACCTTCGGGGTTGGGTTGTCCCTTTCCCTTTTGTTCCGCCACCCCTTTTACCTCGTTCTTTTCGCCAGGTTGCCCAAAATAGGAGAGTGAGATGAATGGGGAGGCAGATGCGTAAACACGCGCGGCAGGCAGGCGTAAGAATGGGAGTCGCCAATAATCCAAGTGCAAGGCAGGTGCAAGCGTATAGGTGGGAGCTGAAGGCACCCCCCAACGACCACCTTCCTTCGCGCTTCTGGTCGGTTGCCAAGAGGGCGGGTCCAAACTCAGGCGGGCTGGAGGCTGGTTGGAGGTGGGATGGGGGGCAGGTGGGCTAGCACAGATTCATGTCCGCAACCATCAAATAAACTGTGCATTGTCTTGACCTCTTGGTTTGTCCCTCGGTAGCCTCTCTCTCTCCTCTTACTTGCCAGCCTCGACCAAGGTCTGGGTACCCGAGTCTGTGCTCGGCCGCCACGCCACAGATTGTCTGCCAAGGAACAATCCAATCAATGCCATGCCGTCCGCCGTGTATCCGCATCACGCTAGCGCTCAATTCCTGATGGACGGGCGCCAATTCCAGCACAACACGCCCTTTTTGTTGCCGTCTCCGAATGGCCGGGCTGGCCAGGCTTGGGGCCTCTCCTCAAACCCAGAGGCAGATTGATCTGGAAGCGGGTGCACCTGCTCGGGTACCTACGTGTCGGTACCGTACTACATGGGACATGGATACAACAGCATGTGCCAGACCTACCTACACCTCCATGGCTGTGCTCTTTTGGCATTCGAAGCTGGTGGAAAAGCGCAGGGCTGGCATTTACCAATGAGCCGGCGAGGGGGGGAAAAAAAGAAAAAAAAGAGCACCGAGGGAAGAAATAAAAAACACAGCGGGGTCCTTTGTGACTTGGTGGTCATCTTTGCAATGATGGGCACCCTTCCGCAAACGTGGCTGGTGTTTTTCTAAGCACGGGACTCTTTCTTTGTCCCCGGGCGGACGCCCCAGTACTCCAATTAGAAGGACTGCCTGCACTAGTGGTACTTGGGTACAGAGCACATGGAGTGTGTGGCGCGCACGCGCTTCAACCTCTGGCCCGGCCGGCCCTACCCTGGGCTGGATTGTCCGCGGCCATACAGGAAGCGCTCGAGGGCGGCGCAGGCATCTTCCAGACCCTCATTAGTGATGACCTCGTCGTACAGGCTTTCCGCCTCGGCGCGCTCTATCTCTGCCTTGGAAGCCGCAATCATGTCGGCAATTTTCTCGCCAGAAACATCCCGCCCTTTAAGCTGACGTTGCAACGCATCCATGTCGAGAGGCTTGAATAGGACGTGCCGCGCCGAGTATGACGTTTCCTTGCTCTGACGTGCGCCCTGTGTGAAGATGATGTGTTAGTCCCTCTCTGCACAAACGTGTAGAGCCCGCATATGCACAGGTCGCGGTCCATGAACAGTTATAACTCACATCGAGGCTCATATGCATGACCGGTATCCTGCCAGACTGGCTGATCTTGTCCGCTTCAGGCCGACTAGTGCCGTACTTCACTCCATCGATTTCACTGGATTCGAGGAATTTATCGCCATCAAGCATAGTGTCGAAAGCAGCTGCGTCCACCGGAATTTGAGTCGCTCGGTCAGGCCCCTTGTCCCCATCCTGCCGAGCCTTGGTGGTATGGGCCGGGACAAGGCCAAAGACTCCTGGATTCCTCTCTAGCAGGAGCTGGAGCAATCCTGACATGTCCACTTCTTCAGGCCCCGAGAGAATGAGAGGACGGCAGTCTCCGGGTCGCATGCCTGCAGGCGGCTCGTCCGATCCACTTACGGAGTGTTGTGCCGTGGCTTCTTCAAAGATAAGGTCGATCCTGTCCGGATCCTCGACTTTGTCAAAAACGGCGAGGCGAGACCGACTTGCAACCCTCAAGGCCCTCCAGGACTTGCTGGCCTTGCCCTCGATTGCCGCCACCTTGGTCTGGTTGTTTGTGGGCATGTCGATTTCGAGCTCATCTTCGGCAATCGCCCTCTTGAACGCACACACGTCCGGGATTCTGGACCGCTCGTCCGCCTTGAACTTGCCCAGACCTGAACTGTCCCTGCTGTCGCTGAGAAAGTCGATCGACAATGCATTCATTGGCGTGGCCCGAAGCCTCTTGCTTGTCGCTGAGCGGTAGGCCGACTTCTTCGCATCTGAAAAGAACTGTGCCGGCAGCGACGGCATCTCGATCGGCGAGCAGGCATACGCCTTCCACCTGACCCAGTTCTTGTCCCGCGCCAGAATCGTCTTGACAATACGCACGAAGTAGGCCCCCTCACTTGGGCCCGCGCCGCTGGTCTCGAGGTGCACTATAATTGCGAGCCGAGTTTTGCTCGCCCACTCGGTATCCTCGCTGCTAAGTTGCTGATCCAGATAGATGACCGACTTGTTGGGAGCGCTGGCCACGGCAGCTATCTCTCTTTCCTGAGCTGAGAGCGAGAGCAGGAACTCCATGATGATCAGGGCTTGGACGAGGATGTATCTCCTAAATGTGAGATCGCTCAACTGCTGCAGAGTTAGGATAAAAATCGTCAAAAGTCAGCCGTGGCTGGAGATCGATGGACTTGCCTCGAGCCTGAAGAGGTCACGGCTGGTCAGATACTTGGGATTGAAAGCATCTGCCAGATCTGCACCTTCGCCTTCGTGTTTCCGCTTCTGACCTGTCTTGGTGTCTTCCTCTTGCCTCTGAGACCTTGAGATCTGCTTTGTCTGTGCATCCTTGAAGGCAGCCATGGTGGACTCTAGCCCTGATTTGAAACGTTCAAAGTGACTGCGATCGAATAGCTTCTTGGGCTGGCTGAAGCTTGCTTGCAGTGACCAGAAGACTGGATACAGGGCTTCCATGTCTTTTCGGATGCTTTCATCGGCGGCGCTTGTCCTCGTCGCAGTCGCCTTGGCCTCGGGTGAAGTTGTGTCATCTGTGTGGCCGTCGATTTCCATCTTGTCCAGAGTCCCGTTCCTGTCTACATCCTGGTCGAACGTGGTGACGTTCTCAACATGGTACTCTCCCCGCAGATTTACCGAGCTGCGGTCGCCGAGAGGGAAGCTCTGGAACATGAATATGAAGACCCTGCCGCAGAAGGTGGTGTCCCTAGCGCGGGAGAGTCGACGAAGGAGCTCGTTGCAGCTTCGGAGAATAGTGAGCTGCATGGCAACTGAGGGGTTTGCTGTGATGCGCTGATGGCGCGACTCGAGAAAGTCCAGGACTCTGCGGCAGCCCGACGTCGTTTGGCTATCGAGCAGTTCCTCGACAAGCCAGAACAGCAGCACGGGATCGCACTGGCGCATGTCGGAAAGGATCGACACGAGGTCCAGTAAATTCCAGACCCTGACAAACTCGGGCGACTCGATGGACGTTGTCGCCTGTTTGCGATATCGAAGGTGTCAGTAGGCGATATGTCCCGGCAAACCACCAACACAACAAAGTGAGTTCCTGAGATTCGGGGAGACAAACCACTAGCTTCCCGAAGATGTCGCGAACCGCAGTCTCGATTACGCCATACTGGCGGGTGCGCACCGAGGGCGGGCTGTCGCTTTTCAGCAAGGGAAGTATCTGCGTAAGCTGGCCATTTAAATCTCCAAAGTCCGACTTCTCGAGCGGAGGCTCTATCGAGGCTGTGAGCTTGACGGATTCGGCATGCCTCAGCAGGTCTATCAGGACGAGCCCGATATCCGCCACAGCCTGGATACCGTGGGTGGCCACCTCGATCGAAGGCATTGTGATTCGTCGCCGGATAGGTCCGGGCGCCTGTTGCGCGAGGCGCGACGTGGAAGATGCCTGGGCCAAGAAGCGCGGCCGATCGTGTTAATGCGACATGGGATCCTGTTTGAAATGCCTGGGAGATGCGTTGACGTCGCTGAGCTTGTTCGAAAAGTTACAAGGCACAAAATGAGGGAGGCAGGCGTCGACTCCTGGCTTCGTAGTCGGGCCGCTAGGTAGACAGGTCCGAGGGAGGCGGGTACGTAGGTGGTTGAGTAAGTCGTGGGCTTTGAGAGTAGTCGTTTGCCTTCCTCAAGAGTTGCATGTCAGGAAATTGAAAGCCGGCCGTTTAAGTCGCGGGCGCGACGGGTGACGGATGGAGAGCTGGAGGTGGGTCTGAATGGTCGCTCTGGCTGCAGGGACTGCCCGACAAGAAAAAAAAGGTGGATCGAACGCAAACAGCGCTCTCTGCGAGGCGGCATGTGGGGCCTAGGTAGGCCAAACACGGTTGGCAGTTGGGCCGGCTTGATGCGAAGTTCAACACAAGCGACAACGAGACGCGACAGAGAGGCTACGGTAGCCCGACGGACAGCCATCCCCGCGAGCAGCCCAGAATGCCCACGGCGAAACGACTGAGAAGCGGCCGGCAGCCCCATACCGAGGCCAGCTCCAGCCGGGCGACCACGGAACCACGCGACAGAGACTCTGAGTTTGCGCATCTTGCCCGCCAACACTGGCTCAAATCATCGACACGAACTGCCAAGGTCAAAGTCAAGAACGACGTGTTAAAGAAGGAGATATGGGGCTCGCTGGAGCGTGAGAACTTCCAGCACAAGTCGCTTTTGGCGCTGGAGAGTCTCCAACTGCTCGAGAGGTAACAGGCGAACACCCCTCCAAGGCGGCCCATCTGCCAGTCCCCCTCGTGAATCTATGCACGCGCCGTCAATGCTAACTTCTTGCGCAGTTACCTGTGGCCCGGATATGTTGAGGATGCCTCCCAACACCACGTGCTTCTAATAGTCTTCGTCGCGAATACTAAGCGGCGAGAACGGCTCGATACATGGCCCATCTTCGAGGACCGACCAACTGATTTTTCGAGCCTGTTCCGTCGGGTCCTCTCCATCAGTCTCGACCAGACGCTTCCCCTGCCCGTCAGGACGCACGTACTGTCCTTCATCATCTATGCCTTCCAATCCCTGGACTGCGCTGTAGTGCGCAAAGAGTGTGCCCCGTTGGTCTCCATCTCCACATGGCACAACCTGTCGACGGCGGAAAAGCGCGACGGCCTCTTGGACCAAGATGCTCAGCTGCGCAAGGCCTGGAGGGCTTCAGCAAAGAGATACGACGCCGCCGATGATGCTGCCAAGGCTCGCTTGCGGTTCGAGAGGATGTGGCTCTACACACTCATTCTCGACTTCTTACGCCTGTTGCACGACCCAAGTGCGACCCCTGAGCACGCCGCCTACTGTGAACGCTTTACGGAGCTTCTCATCGACCTCCAGAGCCAACTTCCCACCAGGCGCTACGTCAACACTCTGCTGAGAGACCTACACGTCCTGGCTGCCATGCGCCTCTCACCGGTGTATTGCGATGAGGACAGCGAACCTCTCCGGGAACTACACGGATTGCTGCAACATTATACGCTCTTCACGATCAATGATCATACCGGCGTACAACTTAGCCGTACCGAGGCTTACGATCAGCGGTGTACCGACCTGGCCAGGTTACAACGGGTGGCTCTCAAGCACTTCAAGGACAAGCTGACAGTGCTTGCCCTGTCCAATTATGGGTCTATTGGTGACCGCGGTGAGCTGGAGATTCTGCTGGGGCCGTTGACGGATAATGAACTCGTGGAGCTGGCATCCAGGCTGCAGCTGCGAACATCTTACCCCAGCCCCTCAAACCTGGCAGTGGACCGCAAGCTCCTGATGGAAGTACTCTTATCCATGTTCGAGAAGAGGCCTACCTTCCAGGAGACCTTGCGGGATATGCCCGTCTTACCGACGGAACGGACGTTGTTCGAGCAGAGTCTGCAACGTGCTGACAGCTACGATGGCGCCCGCCCGCTTGCACTTCCGAAACTGAACCTTCAGTATCTCTCAGTGGGCGATTTCCTGTGGAGAGCCTATGTGCTGTATAGGTGCGAGGCATTCTACGGCATTCGCAAGGATATTGAAACAGCACTCCAGCGACTGAAACCCCAGTCTCGCCGACCGGGCGAGATCTCGTTCGGGGGCAGCTCCCGGATGGCCTCGAGAATCACAAAGCCAGCGTATGCCGAATGCCCTCCATCTTTATCTACTGCCTCATGCGCCTTGTTTTGCTGTTTGCTGACTTGCAAGGAACTACTGGCAGGATTATTGAGACTGTCCCTGCTCTGGTGGGAGATGACGTCCCGTCTCTTGTACGAGCCGAGGTCAGCATGGACATCCGTCACATGCCAGATGCCACTAGGAGGGATTGGGAAGCCCTACGACCGGACGATGTCGTGTTCCTCCTCGCCGTGGATGCTGCCGGCCAGGAGGCTAATGATAATAGAGACCCCTCGCCGGGGGAACCTCGAAGGGGGCTGCGGGCGGTTCGCACCGCCGAGGTCATCCAGGTATTCGACGACAGAGGCCGGCCGGTCCACAGCCCTTCTTCCTTCTCAGATGGCCACCGCCGTGGCTCCACGATACGAATCCAGCTCAGGCTAGACGCCAAGACGTATAAAGCCGACGCCGAGACCAACCTACCCTCGGAGCAGAATGATGTCTACAGTCGTGTCAACGTGCTGCTTCGGAGGAGCGGGCGAGAAAACAACTTCAAGCCGGTCCTGGAATCTATCAGGAGTCTATCACTCTCAGACGTGCCGCTGGCGCCATGGCTTCACGAGGTCTTTCTAGGATATGGTGATCCGGCAGCTGCTACCTACAAGCTGCTGCCCAACCGCATCAAGACGCTGGACTTCAGAGACACGTTCCTTGATTGGCAGCATCTTGTGGAGAGCCTCCCTGGGAGGATTGTGGAGCCTGGCGATGATGTTTCAGGAAGCTTCGGTCCTCCTTACGTCCTAGAGACGCTCGATCGTCGCGAGGAGGACACATCAGCGAAACCGTCCAAAAAGCGGCGGAGAGACGCGGAGCCAGCCCTGATATCCGAGGTCGAAACGGTCAATGTGTCTACGTACAAGCCCTCGAACAGTGGGCCATATCCCATCGACGCGCCCAAGTTCAACAGCATCCGTTTCACTCCTGCGCAGGTAGAGGCTATTGTGTCTGGCACGCAACCCGGTCTGACCGTCATTGTTGGCCCTCCGGGTACGGGGAAAACGGATGTTGCGACACAAATCATCAGCAATCTCTACCACAACTTCCCTACGCAGCGAACCCTACTCATCGCGCATAGCAATCAAGCTCTCAACCAGCTTTTTGCCAAGATTGTTGCCCTCGACATTGACGGCCGCCACCTCCTGCGCCTTGGGCATGGCGAGGAGGACCTCAATACCAGCGACAACTTCAGCAAGGCCGGCAGAGTCGACTCGTTTCTCAACAACAGGGACCGGTATCTCCAAGAAGTTAGCAAGCTGGCGGCGAGCATGGGCGCCCCTGGAGCTCACGGGAACTCGGCAGAGACGGCTGGTTACTTCAACTCGGCTTACGTTAAGCCGACTTGGGCCAGATTCACAGACGCCATCAGCGAGAGCTCCTCCACCGCCACGGACATTGTTGCGGCATTCCCCTTCGCCGCCTTCTTCTCTGACGCCCCACAGCCTCTCTTTCCCGAGGGTGCTGATAGAGAGGCTGTCCTAGACATCGCCACTGGATGTTACCGACACATCTCCGAGGTCTTTTCGGAACTGGCTGATGTACGGCCCTTTGAGATACTCCGGCGCGACAAGGACAAGGCCAACTACCTTCTCACCAACGAAGCCCGCATCATAGCCATGACCTCAACACATGCCGCCATGAGGCGTGACGAGATCGCCTCCCTGAACTTTCGCTACGACAACGTAGTGATAGAAGAGGCGGCACAGATAACTGAAATGGAGTGTTTCATTCCACTGGCTATGCAGAAGGCACGGGGTGGCAAGGTGCCGCTCCAGCGCGTGGTCCTCTGCGGAGACCACTACCAGAACTCCCCCGTCATCCAGAGCCTCGCCTTCCGCCACTATGCCAACCTGGAGCAGTCATTCTTCTCCCGTCTGGTTCGCTTAGGTGTACCCACCATCAACTTGGACCAGCAGGGGCGTGCCAGGCCGTCGATAGCGAGCCTTTATAGCTGGCGATACAACAGTCTGGGCAACCTCCCGCACGTCGAAGCGAGCGAGGAGTTCTCTGCTGCCAACGCCGGCTTCAGATATGACTACCAATTCATTGACGTACCGGACTACCGGGGCCACGGCGAGTCGGAGCCAACCCCTCACTTCATCCAGAATACGGGCGAGGCCGAATATGCTGTCGCCATTTACCAGTATATGAGGCTGCTTGGCTACCCGGCGTCCAAGATCAGCATCCTCACAACGTACGCAGGCCAGCGCGCACTAGTCAGGGACGTGCTGGCGCACCGTTGCGCGAGGAACCCGATATTCGGCCTCCCCAAAGTCGTGACCACGGTCGACAAATACCAAGGAGAGCAGAACGACTGTAAGTTGCCCACGACTATTTCCTGTTCCTGCTCCCCCCGCTCCTGTGTGGGCCGCATTGTTCATGTAGCTTACCCCTCCTGTGTGGCAGACATCATCCTGTCGCTTACTCGTACATCACGAGTTGGCTATCTTCGCGACATCCGCCGCCTGACGGTGGCTCTCTCCCGTGCGCGTCTTGGTCTTTACGTTTTGGGGCGCCGGCAAGTATTCGAAACTTGCCTGGAGCTCCGACAAGCGTTCCAGAAACTCCTCCTCCGCCCCGACAAGCTCACGCTGGTCACTGGCGAGCTTTGGCCTTCTCAGAGACGCCTGTCAGATGAGACTAACGGGAAAAATGTACCTGGAGAAGTCGTAATGGAAGGCGTGGAGCATCTAGGCCAATATGTATTCGAAATGACGCGGACTAAACTTGAGCAACTCGGAAACGAGAATAGCCAGGCGTCTGCTGCGCCCCCGCTGGAAATAGGTCCGCTGCCCTCTCCATTGGCAGACTCGCAGCGGATGGAAGTAGTGGAAGAGGCAGACGAGGACGGTGGGGCTCTGGAAGGTTGAGGACGCACAGAGGGGTTGAGTCAGTTCGTTTCCGGCGCCAGCTCTGGTTGTACCGCTCCTGAGGCCTGCACGGAGCCTTGATGCCCGATGGAGGAGCTGAATCGGCGGGGTCTACGTCACGGCCGGAATAAAGAATCCAAATCTTCACCAGCTCACGCAGCGCCTCCGGATAAACAGCCAATTGAATCATCAAATCTACAAAGTGCAAGTGGAGGGACATGATAGTGACGCGCAGAGACTCGGCGGTGCAGCATGATAAAGCAAATGCTGGCGTCAACGCGCAAGCCACCAAGGAAACTTGTACACTTCTGCGGAAGCTTCCTGTTTGTGGGACTCCTGTTTAATGACTCGAAGGACGGTGCCAGGGCTGGGCGATTACAAGCCCCTGAGTCGGATTGGGCTGATTCGGGATAACAACCGTTCTTTAGCGCTTTTACCACATCTGACAAAATTCCTGAGTTGAGGGTGGGAGGGTAAAAAAAAAAAGTGTGCGGCTTAAAATGAACAAGCCCATTGTGAAGAGGCGCCCGGCTCAGAGCGACCCAAGATACGAAGGAACGTGAAGCCGTGCACAACTGAAGCTGGGTCTGCTGGGCGTGCACCAACGGGTTCTGTGCGGATATAGACGCCAGATTTGATGACGGGCCTGGAAACCGCAGCGTTGGCGTCCTCTTGAGCTAATTTTTTAGTACATGATTCGGCAGAGGACCCTGAAGTTCCAATGCCGACCCGCTTGTCCCTGTGCAGAACCCAGATCCAGCACTCAGGCTCTCGGTGGTTCACAGGCTGCAACACCCGCACTCTGGAATCTGTACGTTCCACCAACCGTCCATTGGATTTGCCCCACTAAACGCAAACACAATTTCTTGTAGGTGGCGCCACATTTGTGTGGCTGACGCTGCCGAAGGTAAACCGGGAAGGGAAAAAAAAGAGAAGGGCAAAAAAAAAATCTGAGGGAAAGAGACTGGGGCATCAACCGGCTCCTCCATTCCCTCCCTCCTCCCTCTTTTTTTCCCCCTCCTCCACCACATTCTGTGACGACGGCATTTTGCACCTCATCACAGAATCACATTGACGGGGTCTGTGATATTGCTCCCCTAATAAAATCGGGATCTCTATTCCTTTTCTCCCTAATTCATTTCAGCGGCCACATTCCGCGCAGGTCTCATTCTTTGTCGCCGCAATCGAGGGCAAGATCGAGCCAAGCTTGGATCGAAGTCCAGAGCGCTTCTTGCGACAGTGCACTCTTTCGCACCAGCCCTAGGCACGCCCATTTGTGACCGCCTTTTGTTCCCGAGCCGCAGCGGTTAAGACGGAGCATTCCTCGCCCGCCGGTCATATCGCCAGTTCGGCCTTGCTGACCACGCGCGACCGCCACTCTCGCTATTTCGACGACGACAGGCCTGGATTTTGACACTCGGCTTGCCGACTTGACTTTCCGCCCGGGCAACCCGACCCCCACGACCACGAACTCCGCCCAACGCGCACACCTAGATCCCACCGCTGCGACGGCCGACCAAGTGTCCTTATGACTTCTACTGCAAACCAGGACCAAACCCCGGCGCAGAACCCCAGTGCTCCCTCGACAACGTCGTATGCTTCAGCCGCCGGTGCTGCCAAGAAGCCTATCGCGACGCCGTTGAGTGCGGCTGGATCGAACCCTCCGCCCGTGGTGGTCGGTTCCTCTGCGCCAGGTGGCCAGCAACATGGAAAGCCCGCGTCCGCGTCGCCAGTAAACGGTCGCCAGGCGATCACGCCCGCTCTGCCGGCAACTGCACCCACCGCCCCGGCTGTTGCGCACGGTGCTGCCACTAACGGCCACGACCGGAAGAGCTCGGTCACCATCAGCGCGAACGGCCCAAGCGGCTACATTGCCAACGGAGGCCCTGTGGGAGGCTCCAAGGGTAACATTCAGTTTGGCTACAAGGAATCTCCTGCCATCGCCCACAGCACACCCCAGCAGGGCACATCTGCTCCCATTCCCATCCCAGGGAATAATGCCCGCGTTCCCTCACCGGCGCATTCACCTTCTCCCATCCCTCAGCCATCTGCTAGTGGAGGTCGACCACCCCCGATGGCGCAGGACGGACCGAGTATGAAGTTTGGCAGCCTTGGTGGAGATGGCGAGGTTTGTCCGGATCTCAGTTTTCCCTTATTGCCTCGTCCCCTCCCAGTCTGCCCCACCATGCATCCTCATTGCTGCGTTAGCTTCGCATCATTCGTACCCAAAGCATCCTCTCTCCAGTGCGATAAACATCGACAAACCTAGCAGTTTCTGTGTCGTGCCGCGCATGTGCTAACTTTTGAGTTTTCCGTTTCCCCAGCGCCACATGAAGCACCTTTCACAGGGCCCTCACCCGATGGGGTCTGGATCTCCACACATGCGCCATGGAAGCACACATTCTGTCCATGATAACGCAGGAGGTCACGGCGGTCCTGGCATCGCAAGAGGCGGCGGCGGGTTTGGCCCATCGGGCGGACGTGGTCGCGGTGGCTACAACGCCGGCGGCTACAACAACCCCATGGGATACCCTCCCGGCCAGTACGGTCACGGCCGTGGTGGAGGACATAGTGGACAGGGGCGGGGCGGTATGAACTACCCGCAGAACCAGCGGGGCATGCCCCCCTACCAGAGTTCTCCCCAGCCACGGGGCAGTCCCGCCATGGGCAACGCGATGCCCAACCCGGGCACACCGACGATGAACCAGTCGCTACCCGTCCACCCGCCGCAACAAGGGTTCAACGCATATATCCCGCCGGCTTACCCAAATGTAAATGACACCTCCTGCCGGCACAGCCCTCCAAAGACAAAGAGGACAGCAGGCAATAGGGCCAACCCTGGCGGTGACGCAGTCAAGATGACCGTAGTCGCAGTCGCACCCCAGCGCGACCAACCGCGCCTGCAGGGTGCCCCACTCATCCTCAACGTCGCTTCCGAGCTGGATTCGACCCCCCTTGTCTATGGAGAAAAGATTGACTTGTCACCGACAAGTGGTGGCTTCGATCGCTTGCTGACTTACAAAAAGCAGACATACCCCTTCCCTCCCCCCTTCGACCCACGCCAGCAGTCCATGATGGGCATGGGCTACCCGCAGTACCCTCAAATGCCGCCATCGATACCATACGGCATACCGCCCCCGGGCCCATCTCCCTCCCCTGGGTTCCAGCAGCCTTACACGCAGGGTCCATACCCACCCCAGGCTCAGCCTATGTCGCGGAATGCTTCGCAGGTATCGGAGAGGCCCAACTCTAGCACCGGCCATCCGCAGTCGCAAGCAGTAACGCAGGCGCCCGCAGCACCGGTGCACGCCGCGAGCGCCAAGCCGGCCGTCGTTTCATCCTCTGCGTCCTTTGTCATCCCGAAGAAGGCCGCCACCAAGATTACGATCAAGAATGCTGCAGGGGAGGCTGTCGACCTGAACAGCCTCAAAGCACCTGCATCGCCGGTTCCTAGCGTACAACAGTCTAAAACCCCACCAGTAGTCAGCTCTTCTTCAACACCTCCACCGAAAACGACCGCGCCGTCGCATGCTCGGTCGGAGAGCTCCAAAACTGCCGAGCAATTGAGAAGCGAGTTCAGGGAGCAGGTGTTCAAGTCACAGACGGCTGGTCCACCGGTCGAGGCAAAGGACGCCGCGCCTCAAACAGCAGATGCTCCTGCCGACAAGCCGACTACCAAGGCTCCGGGCAGTGGGGATGAAGCGGTCAAAGCGGACGTCGCTGATCAGGAGGCTCCCAAGGCTGCTGCCGACAAGCCAACTGAGACCAAGGACACACCACAGACTAATGCTGCGCCCAGCGAGACTCAGGCTCAAGCTCCGGAAACCACCGTTGCCGAGGCTGAGAAGGAGCCGGCACCCGAGCCCAAGGAGTCTGAGGAAGAAGAGATGGAGCGTATGATCCGCGAGATGGAGGAGGCGGAAGCGGAGCGTGAGAAGAAGGCTGCCGAGTACGAGGCCAAGAAGAAGGTTGTACTTGAGGAAAAGAAGCGACTCGACGAAGAGAACCGGGCCAAGAACGCAGCCGAGAACGACCGCAAACTCCAGGAGCAGGAGCGAGAGATGGAGCGTCTCGAAGAGGAACGCGAGAAGAAACTGGCCGAGGCAGAGGCCAAGGAAAGCGGCAAACCCACCACGGATGCCTCGGCCGCCAAGGTTACAGACGCCAAGGAATCGGCAGCCCCGGGCGTCAGCTCCGTGGCTGACAAGCTGGCATCTCTAAGTGTCGGCGGCACCACGGCGTCCTCTTCGGCCACCAAGCCAGGCACCACTGAGGGTAAACGCTCAAAGCCCGCCGCTCTCAACCTTGCACCACTCAAAACGAGTTCCGTGGAGCCACCGCAGCCCAGTGCAGCCCTGCAGTCGCTCAAATCGGCCCGATTTCTCGAGGTGATTGCGCCCAGCCTGTATCCTGCTGGCATCCAGTCTCCCAACCCGGCCCTGAACGTTGCCGTCGCCCGCAAGGGCAAGAGCTTCAAGTACGATTCCAACTTCCTGCTCCAGTTTCAGAAGGTGTTCACGGAGCAGCCATCCATGGAGTTTGGGCAACAGGTCAAGACCCTCATCGGCGATGGCGACGGAGGCTCCAGGTCGGCCTCGGCCAGGACACCGGCGCCAGGGTCTGGACGCCAGAACTCGCGCCCTGGTGCTGGCAACTTTGGAGGCGGAGGTATGGGTAGTGGTTTCATTGCGCCGCCATCCAAACTCACTCAAGGTCCGGGCGACCGCATGGGCCCGCCTCCACGGGGTGGTATCAACAACATGCCCGGTGGTATGGGCTCATTCGGACGTTTCCCGGGTGGCAACATGATGGCACGCACGCCGTCCAACAGCATGAACATCCCCAACTCGCCCCGCCAGGGAAGCAGAACCACGCGCGGCGGAAGCAAGCGTGACTTCAGCGCCAAGAACGAAGCGCAGGCTGCTAAGACCATGCCCCTTACGCAGGGCCTCGACCTCAAGCCCATCACTGTCTCGGCCGGCGGATGGAAGCCGCGCAGCATCGGTAACAAGGCCGCGGCTGCTCCCGCGGGCGCTGCGGGTGAGCTCCTTGAGCCGGAGGTGGTACAACGCAAGGTCAAGGCTGCCCTGAACAAGATGACGCCCGAGAAGTTCGAAAAGATTGCCGACCAGATCCTCACCATTGCGGCCCAGTCCAAGGACGAACAGGATGGCCGTACGCTGCGCCAGGTCATCCAGCTCACGTTCGAGAAAGCTACGGACGAGGCGCACTGGGCGTCCATGTACGCCAAGTTCTGCAAGCGCATGTTGGATACCATGAGCCCCGAGATCCGCGATGTTAGCATCGTGGACAAGCATGGAAATGTGGTCAGTGGTGGTGCCCTGTTCCGCAAGTACCTCCTCAACCGCTGTCAGGAGGAGTTTGAGCGCGGCTGGAAGGTCGACCTGCCAGAGCCCAAGGAGGGCGATGAGCCCAAGGCCGGCGAGGCCGTCATGCTCTCAGACGAGTACTATATCGCGGCGGCCGCCAAGAGGCGAGGCTTGGGTCTTGTTCAGTTCATCGGTGAGCTTTACAAGCTTGGCATGCTGACGGAGCGCATCATGCACGAGTGTGTGCGCAAGCTCGTCGACTACCGCGGCGTGCCCGACGAGGCCGAGATCGAGTCGCTCTCCAAGCTGCTGCGCACCATTGGAGGCAACCTGGATGTCAACACGGAGAAGACGCAGGGCAAACACATGATGGACGCCTACTTCCAGCGCATCGACGCCATGGTCAGGATGCCTGAGCTGCCGAGTCGTCTCAAGTTCATGCTGATGGACATGGTGGATCTCCGCCGTTCCGGCTGGCACTCCAAGGAGGCCAACAAGGGGCCCAAGACGCTGGACGAGGTCCGCGCCGAGGCTGAGGCGGCGGCAGCGCAGAAGGCAGCCGAGAACGCGCGGGGCAACCAACGGGGCGGCCCTGGCGGAAGGCCACCCATGGGAGGCCGTGGCGGCGACGGACGGGGACCGTCAAACTACGGCCAGCCTGCCCCCAACCAAAACACGATCGATATGAACGATCTGAGACGGCTCAAGGGATCGGCCACGAGGACAAGCTCACAGAACGCCACCTTTGGACCCAGCTCCATGTTTGCGAGCCGCAGCAACAGTGGGCGCGCCAACAGGCTTGGTGCTGGTGGCGCTTTTGCCCGCGCCGGCGAGGACTCCGGCGCGTCTTCCAGGACGGGAACCCCGCCAACCAGGGAGTCGGTGAACGCGTTCAGGTGAGTTTGAGCCCCAGACGGGATTACGGCGCAGAGCGCCAGGTTTCGGTCTCCAACGAAGCTAACGAAACGATCGCGCAGCCTTCTTGCGAACATGGAGACGGAGAACCCGGCATCGCCACCCTCGACGGCGGTATCACCGGCGCTTTCCAAGGTCACACCCGACACGACCAAGGGACGCGCCTGAGGGGGAGACCCCACATGTCAGGCCAGCATGTCTTGCGGTGCACGTTTGCATGTTTGACTTGTCTCCTCCCACCCGCCGTCCCCTTCCGTTTCTTCTCCTTGGCGCGATGAGGATCCGTGTTGTTTCCACGGTATACTCGTCCCATCTGCCATTCATTTCACCGTTCTCGGCCACATGTGCATAGAAGGGGCGTGCTTGTTGCTTGCATTTACAGGGTATTCGGCCAAAAAACCGCGCGACTCCCCAGACTCATTCTTGGAAGACGGAGAGAAAACGAAACTGCAAAAAAAAAGAGAAAAAAACAAGGAATCACAAAAAAAGCAAGTCCCTCTTATGTGTTGGTGTTTTCGTTTTTGCCGTTGTTCTTTGTTTATCAAAAGCGCCGTCAAACTTGGTCGTTCCCTTCCTCACGATACCTCGGATTTCAGTTACGTGCAATTCCATCTTCCTCCACCACCCTCATAGACCAACCGTCCAGGCACTCTTTGGTCTGGCGGATCCATTTTCCCCTCTTGTCCTCCTGTGTTCGATTCTACTTGTGTTTATTATCTTTCCCTCACAAAACTGGCCAGCCCGAAACTCCCCAGTAACCCATGTTATAGTCGTGGGCGTGGGAGGGTGGCGGCGCTGGCATGATACGAAGTGGGAGTACAGGAAGGGCCCCGCGGTCTGCTGCCTCGTCTTTCTTGATTCGTTTCGTATCTTTCTCTTTCGTCTGTTTTTTTTTCCTCTTCTTTATTTCGTCTTCATCCTCCGTCTTTTGGCATCCTCTTCCCCTGTCATATTCACGAGTACTTGCACCTGTTTATGTTTGGTATTCGTTCTGCTCCCCACTGACGTTTTCGTCTGCTAATTGAGCCATCATCTCTCGCCCCCTCTCGAGGCAAATTCCGAGTGCTTTCCCCGTCTTTGTCCCAGCACTGGGACATTTGTCCTTTCCGCACTTTATTCTAGTTTTTCTCATCGCCCTCGATCCTCTTTTTCCCTTGCCTGTTTTCCCCCGCTGTTTTTTCTTTCTTTCTTCTTGTTTCTACCTGGGAGGACGGACGGAACAGACAAAGTATGATGGGTGAAGACGACGGGATGGCGCTTAGACTAAGGGATGGCTGGGATGATGAGTTCATGCAACATATTCGACGCTTGCTAGTGTCATTTTCGCTTTTGAGAAATCCTAAACCTCGCATTCATATTTCTTTGATGGCCCTCGCACTCGTGGCTCTCTTCTCCCATCCCCACTGCCCTTCCCCATACTCCAGATCCGAGCGAGCTTCTGCGCCTGTTTGTGATTGAACGAGATGAGGATGACAGCAAAGGATGTGGTGCTTGCTACTGGGGCGCGGCGCGGGATGTTGGACAGGTGGCACTTTGGCTTTATTTGCTTCTGGGACGCTAAATAAAATACGTGAAAACACTGCATCCAAGAGAGATGATTATGACACCATACTAGATACCCATTATTCGTCCCGACCCCTCCAATTCGCGTGCTGGACAGGCTGTGTAAACATCATATACCCGTCACCCCGGCGACGACATGCAGACGTCGGCACTCTCGAGACGAGCCAAGTCAAGAATACAGATATTACAAGAGAAAAAAAGTAGAAAAAAAAAATAGAAAAAAAGGCTCGAACAGCAAAGAAGAAACAAGTACAAAGGGTTCCAAGGCTAGTGGCAATCATGCTACGGCGGTAAAGCCAAGCTTGGCAAATAGGGTATCCATGGCAACCCACTGGCGGCCACACTTGTCCAGGTAGCGGTCCACAACGGCCTTGACGGTGGCGAAGCGGGCGCGGTTGAGCTCGGCGAGCACGCGCAGGTTCTCCCTTGTGGGCTCGCTGGCGGACGCGGCGTCGGCGCGGGCGCGGGCCCTGTCGACGTCGAAGAGGCTGGCCAGGTAGACGAGCTGGTTGTAGATGTCGCGCTCGCTGAACTCGTAGCGCATGCGGCCCTGGCAGTCGAGCGCCAGGCCCTTGGGGCCCAGGCAGCGGGTGCCGTAGACGCTCACCTGGCAGGTGCGCGCGCCGCACGAGGTGTCGTCGCACACCAGCCAGCCCTCGTAGTAGCGCGCCGTCGCCGATCTCACCGCGTGCTCGACCTGCGCCACCACCGAGATGGGTGACAGCTTGGCGTCACACAACCCACAGGCCATGCCCGAGGCCGTGACCTTGATCGTACTGCTACTGTTGCTGGCCATGTCGGACTCGGGCTGCTGTTTATCCTGTTGCTGTTTCTGTTCGTTATCGGCCGCACCAATGCCTTCAAAAGTCGAGACGAGCTTGCAGGCGCGGCACCGGAGCTGTAGGCGGGCGCAGTTGGCAAAGCGGACCTCGTCGGGCAGCTGCGACTCGAGCGGGTGAATGTCAAGGCCGTCGGCGCCACCTGTGGCCTGGCCAGCGGGCGAGGGGCCAGCAGCATAGCGGCGTGGATCCAGGCCCATGTTCTCGGCGAGTTGGGCGGTCGAGGTGCCGACGATGTTGGCACACAAACGCTCGACGGGAGGGAAGATCTGCTTGGCCATGTACCAGTCGACGTCTGGGGTCAGGCCCGAGTCGGCCTTCAACACGTCAGTTGGGGTGTAGGCGCGCTTGGCCACGGGTTCGGACCCGGTGGTGACGATGTACGATATAACGTCGCCCTTGCGCACCGTCTTGCCTTGAGCAAGGTCACGCAGGGCAACCTGGACCTGAGGCATCGAGTCGGCATTGGGGTACTCGCGCGGCGCCTTGCCTAGCTGCGTGTAGACGACATATTTCTGCGGCGGCACCGTAGCGGCGCGCATGCGGGCGGCCATGTCGCGGAGGTACTCGTGGATTCGGGCAACCGATGCCTCGGTCTCGTCGCCAGACAAAATCTCACTCAAGATATGGGCCGAGACTTCCTTGGACAGGGCGCAGTACTCGCGGCGGCGCATGTCCAGGCCCTTGACCTCCATCTTCTCGACCAGACGGCCGTCGACCTCGATCAGGTTGACTGCGGCGTACTTCTTCTTGGCTTGCAGCAGGATGCGGCGGAACACGTTGTCGATGTCGATCTCCAGCAGGCGGTAGCGCTCGTTGACGGCGCGCTTGAAGTCGATGCCGACACGGCGCGCGGCCGCATAGCTGTCGACGTTGGCGTTGATCATGACCGAGTCGGTGTCGCCGTAGATTACCTGCAGCGCGTTGCTCTCGGCCAGCTCCTTGGTGCTGCGCAAGATCTCACGGCCCTTGTACGTCGTGAGTACGGCCAGCGGCCGCGCGTAGAAGCGCGACTTGTCGAAACCCAGACACCCGTACATCGAGTTGGCCGTCAGCTTGAGCGCCTGCTGCTTGACGTCCCACGTCGCCAACTCCTCCGCCGTTGCCGTCTTGTCCTTCATCAGCGCCTTGACCTGTCGCCGCCGGCTGACCAGCGTGGCGATCAGGCGTGGCAGAATGCCCTGCTCCAGCTTAGCCGATGGCACCTCGGGCACCTCGTCCTCGTCCTTGGCCGTCAGCGACGACCTGTCCACCGTGGTGAAGCAGATGTTGAACTCCTGGATGATGGACGGGTACAGCGAGTTGAAGTCCATGACGAGCACAAACTTGTCGTACAACCCCTTTTCAGGCTCGAACACGAGACCTCCCTTGTACTTATCCTTCTTCTTGCCGCCGCCAGCCTTGGCCTCGTCCTCGTCTTCCTCCTTGACCACCCGGGCCTCGCGCCCGCGGAACACAGGCTTGTCTGGGCAAACGTACTTGCTGCGATGGAACTCGTGCAGCAGAATGTACTCGTTGCGCTCCGCTCGGGTGCCCGTGAGTGTGCGCGCCCACGAGTTGCCCGCCAAGTTGGTCAACACCTTTGTCAGAGGCAGGATCTGTGTGCGCAGCGCCAGCGCCGCCATTAGGTATGTGTCGGCCTCCATGTGCGCCAGATAGTCCACCAGCCCGTCCCGCGTTGCCGCCCATGTCCGAAGGGCCACCTCGCTGTCCACGTCGAGCCGCCGCTGGCCAGCCCCTGCCAGATACAGACTGCACATCTCGGTCAGGCCCCACGACTGGCATTTTGGCATGACCGACTTGCCCATGTCGTTGGCGAGGTCGCAGAGCAGCCGCCCCGCCATGACCTGCCGCTCTGCGAACACGTTGCCGCCCGTCCGCCCCATCGACGCCGGCCACTGCGACCGCCGCAGCCGCCCCAGACGGGACCACTGGTGCACCTTCTTGTCCTGCAGCCGGCTCAACAGCACGCTGTAGTCGGCACCCTCGAGCTGGTGGCCCACCACCACGTCTGGGTCTGCCTTGTCCACCTGGGCCAGGAAGAAGGAAAGCAGGTCCAGCTCGTTCCGCGCCGTCTTGGCCGCCACACCCTTGGGCCGCCGCCTATCCTTGGCCAGCGCCTCGAATCCTACGGGGAAGGCCTGGCCATCGGCCGGCCGTATGACGGTGAAGGTTCGGCACGCCAGCTTGTCTGCCGGCGCAGTTTCCGCGAGGGAGACCTGTTCGTACACGCGCCCGCTGATGGCCAGAACCTCCTGCTTGTTCTCCTTGGCGTTGAACTTTGTGCGCAGCGCCATGCTCATCACTGTCAACGGTGGCGGGTCCGGTGCCTCAGCCTCGCTCAGCGTCGAGATCATGGCCGGGTGCTCCGCAAGCACCTCGAGCCGACAGTGCGACGCGTTGCGCACCGCGCTGAAGTTGGCGTCTTCGATCTTGAGCCAGCATGGGCCCATGATGTTTTTCCACAACACAAACTGCTCAAATAGCGATGTGTTGGTCCCAAACACGTGCGAGTATGTCTCGCCCGCCTGGTCGCCATCCAGCGCTCGCTTGGTGTAGGGGTATAGGCACTTCAGGTACTGACCCTCTCGCGGAACGTCGGGCAGCTCGAACGCATACTTGCGCGAGCATGCCTTGATCTTGTGCATGTCCACGCCCATCTTGGTCATGAGCCCGTCCACCTCGCCGTACACGTCCTGCATCCCAACAGACTCGTCCTCATGCTCCTCTCCCTGTCGTACCCTGAACTGCCGCGGGAGGAAGTACAGCTTCCTGAGGATGTTGTCCACCTTTACAAAACAGCTGGTGTATAGCTTGGTCTTCTTGTTGAGCACCTTGCCGAACAGGCAGAGGCTGCCCATGACTTCGGCATAGTCCAGCCAGAACATGCGAAGACTCCCATCCTCCTCGACCGCATCGGCCGCGTCCATCTTGCCGGCCGGAACACCCTCGGCCAGCGAGCTGACAACGTTGAGACCCTGTGTAATCTGCGTCCAGGACGAAGAATCCAATTCCTCTGTAGCGCTCACATCCTTTTCAACCTTGGACTCGACCCTCGACGGTTCCGGAGCCGGCGGCTTGAGCGCTTTCTTTGCCGGCTTGGACGCTGCTAGATTAACGCTGGAAGAGGCGATGGCGCCGGCATGGGAAACCTCCATTGTATCCTCGTCGTCCTCTTCCACTACCTCTTTCTTAATTAGGGTGCGGTGTCCACTCTCGCCTCCTTCTTGGTGCAGAGATTTCCGCGCCGCCGCCTTGAATGCCGGCGACGAGGGGACAGGATCGCTCATGAGCACATCGTCGTCAAATGCGAGCGGGGCAGGCCCAGGACTGCCGGGACTTGAGGGTGCTGGGACGAACCCCTCGTCGTCTGAAAGCGCTGTATTGTCTGTCGCGCGAGGCGGCAGGGCACGCCGGCTATCGCTCGTCTTTGCCTTCTTGGGTCGAGGCTGGCGTGCGCTAGGGCCCGGGGAGAGAGGGCGGCCCTTGCGACGCTCGGCTGGCTTCGTGGCAGCGCTCTTGTGGGTGGTGAGGCGAGTGTTGCTGTCAACCTCACCAAGAAGGTCTGCCAGGAACTTGTCGTCATCCTCCGTCTTGACGGCCTACACAGAAGTCCGGTCGTACGTCAGTCGGCTGCGTCCGCAAGCCGGCCGGGCGGCATTGGGGCATGTATGCGGTTGTACCTTTGGCTTTTGCTGCGCTTTCGGAGCGCCCTTGGAAAAGTATTCGGATATGTCTCGGTCGTTTGCGTCCCGTTTGGCCCTGTCCTCATCTCGAGCGCGCTTCCCTGCTACTGCTGCTACTGCTAGAGTCGTTGTTAACACCGTTACATATCCACCAGCCAAGATAGAGACCGGCCGGCGCGGGGGCAAGGCTCCGCTGCCGAGAGACATGGCCGGGGTAACGAGGGGGAGGCATACCAGACTTTCCGGTCTTGCGGGGTGCTGCCCCGTCGCTTTCACTATCGTCATAGACAGGAACACGGTCCCAGTCCTCGCGGCCATCGTCGGCGTACCCCTCGCCGTTGTCATCGACAACAAAGTCATCCTGGTTGAGTCGCTCGCGAACGAGCTTCTTGTAGCTATCCTCGTCTACTTCCTCGTATAGCGAGTCGACTTTTTCGACTTCGTATGCATCAAACGTCTTCTTGCCCGACTGGCGTAGTGCCCGCAGCTCAGCGAACTTGGTGCGCTTGCTGCTCCCTTTCGAGGACGACATTTTGCCCAGGCGGGGGGATTATACGAGAATGGAGGGGTTCGGGTGTCGGGAACGAGATCTAATCCACGGCTGGGAGCTAGCAGTCGAGGATAGCCTCTTGGACGGTCATGGGCACGGGCGGGGCGGGCTTCGCTCTCCGGCAACCAAAGCCAAAGTCAATGGTCGATTTGGAGTCATGCCAAATCGTATCGAAACGAAACGCGGTATTGTGGGCCCCTAGACGCGAGATTGACGCGACCGTGGGATGCCATTTAAAGGGGTCCACAGACCAGGGCGTGGCAGGGGTTGTTGGGGCTCGGACCTGACAAGGATCAGAATAACGTGAAACCTGCCCTTTTTTGGGGGCAGCTTGCCGCACGTCTTTCGCAGGTCACCCGTTTGCCAAGCTCTGTCGACTGAGTGATGCGGGTGGCCGGGCAACTGCGATGACGGAGCCAGAAGTTGGCGCCTTGTTTGACAAATTTGCGTGAGCAGTGGGGTCGTCGCTGTGCCAGTGCCACTTTAGCGGCGTTGCAAACCCATCTCCTGGACGCGTCTTTGCGCCCGCTCCACACGCGTTTGGACAAAGGCGCGCGTAGGCCCATATCCAGCTGCTGCATATAATCCGTCGAGATGCTCCGCCAGAATTAATTCTCACCTGGTCCATCCATACTTTTCCATCCTCACACCACAGCCCAAGATCTTGTCCGCCACCACTCTCAACATCTAGACGTCGTCCTGCAAGTAACTCGATTCCATACCTGTACTATCTTTGCATACACATTGCCTGTTGCGCGCAATCCTTTTCGCCATCATGGTTCTCCAGAACACTCCGTCCAAGCAGGTTGGTTCTCCCTCAATACCTCCCGCCGTTGCCCCGGAGACTCGCTTTTTCGAGCCCCCTCAGCTAACTCGCCACCCTCTAGGCCGCATCTGCCATTGAGTCGTTCAAGATGGAGTCGCCTGTCAAGAAGCTCGACTTCGGCGTGGCTGACAAGGAGAACCGCCCACTCGATTCGTCGCTGGCCTCTCCCGCGGAGGATGCCCCCATCGCCACTGACAAGAAGCCCGTGAAGGCTGCACCCGTGGATGAGAAGGAGGTGTCGAACGTGTCTGTCGTCGAGTCCCTAGAGTGCGATGAGCCTCTTCTGCAAGAAAACCCTCAACGATTCGTCCTCTTTCCCATCAAGTATCACGAGGTACGTAACGCGTCGACGCGTAAAGTGGTCCCCATTTATCTTCTTAACCAGACCCCATGCTAACAGGAGTCATTGCATAGATCTGGCAGATGTACAAGAAGGCTGAGGCCTCGTTCTGGACAGCCGAGGAGATCGACCTGTCCAAGGACCTCCACGATTGGAATAACAAGCTGAACGAAGATGAGAAGTACTTCATCTCGCATATCCTCGCCTTCTTTGCCGCCTCGGATGGCATCGTCAACGAGAACCTGGTGGAGCGCTTTAGCGGCGAGGTTCAGGTTCCCGAGGCCCGTTGCTTCTACGGATTCCAGATCATGATGGAGAACATCCACTCGGAGACCTACTCGCTCCTGATCGACACCTACATCAAGGAGCCTGCCCAGCGCACATACCTCTTCAACGCTGTTGATACCAGTATGTTCTCTCTCGACTCAACGCCTCGCCTCTAACCTACCAGGCACTGACAAATATTGATCCTACAGTTCCATGCATCCGTAAGAAGGCCGACTGGGCTCTGAAGTGGATTTCCGACAAGGAGTCGACCTTTGCCTCGCGGCTCATTGCCTTTGCCGCCGTTGAGGGTATCTTCTTCAGTGGTGCCTTCGCATCCATCTTCTGGCTGAAGAAGCGCGGTCTGATGCCGGGTCTGACCTTCTCCAACGAGCTCATCTCCCGTGACGAGGGTCTGCACACCGATTTTGCCTGCCTGCTCTTCTCCCACATGAAGAACCGGCCCAGCAAGGAGACGGTCCAGAAGATCATCGTCGATGCTGTCAACATCGAGCAGGAGTTCTTAACCGAGGCCCTGCCTTGCGCTCTGCTTGGCATGAACTCGAACCTCATGAAGCAATATATCGAGTTCGTGGCAGACCGTCTCCTCGTTGCCCTCGGCAACGACAAGGTCTACCGCGCATCCAACCCCTTCGACTTCATGGAGAACATCTCCCTGGGCGGCAAGACGAACTTCTTCGAGAAGCGCGTGGGCGAGTACCAGAAGGCCGGTGTCATGGCGAGCACATCCAAGAAGGTCGCAGAAGAGGAGTCAGACTCTACCCCCGAGCCCGCCGGAGGCAACGGTGGCGACTTCACCTTTGACGACGACTTCTGAGCGCTGATGTGCCCTTTGCCTCATCGCCACTCTTGCTCGATTTCTCTTGTATACCCACCATTTTTATCTTCATATCACAGCCTCTGGTTTATGCCCTTTACTCTTTCAACCCATCCCACCTTTGTTTATATAAACTTCCCTTCTTACGGCCCCTTCTTTTCAAGCGTCTTGTGTAGCCACCTATTTTGTTTGGTCATCTGTGTCTAGCACCGCCGATGTGCTTATACACCTCGGGAAGCGGCGTTTGGAGTCCATCATTTTGTTCTTATTTTATGTACAAGGACGAAGATTAGGATAGTAGGAACCCGGATATGGACGGCGGTATGCTGCATTTTGTGTAGAGAAATACTCTCAAGACGTAATGCCACAGATAATCTTATGAAGAATTTTGGTTTGGATCCCGGATTTATTCCGTGTGTATATAATCGCACGTCTCCTTTCTGTGCCCACGACGTTCTAGCGTTGTCCCAGCCGATTCAATGTCATCGAAAACTCTAGGCATGACTTATGGACTACCGCTTCCCCTTCTTCTTCTTGCCCTTGGCACCTCCCGCGGCGCCTCCTTGTTGCTGTGATGTCCCGGCCGAGGCTTGTGCGGCTAGAGCGGCCGAGTCGGCAGTCGCCGCCTCGGGCGCGGCCGACGATGCTGCCGGGGCGGACGAGTCGAGCAGCCCGTCGTCGCGGGGCGGGAGGGCGGCCATGCGCCGGCCCAGGCTGCCGAGCAGCTGGACCAGGCGCGAGACCTCGGCGGCCTTGGAGGTGCGGTACTTGAGGCACGCGCCGCTGGCGTCGTCGTACGTCTTGAGCACCAGGCGCGCGCGCGGCGGCTTAGCGTCCGGCAGCGCCTCGCCGTCCTTGGGCGGCTTCCTCTCGGCGGGGCGGACCGAGTAGCGCGTCGTTATCCTCGTCTAGCTGTGGGTTAGCATGGCAGGGAAACATGGAGAGGCGAGGCATGGTGCGGCAGGCAGGTTGCGGGAACGGCTAGCTCGATAGGTCCTCGGGCGGGCGGGCGGTCATACAGTTGAGGGGCGAGCCTCGAGCAGCAGCTGTGACTGGTGAAGCCACTCCTGGCTCGTCGTAAAGGCCGGCATTTCTGCGCAAGGCCCTGTCGCAGCTATGGCTGGCTCGCCTGTGGATTTGTCGGCTTCGCAACCAACCCCACCAACGCCCCAGCAATCTGCAAGGTCGATGGGCGAGAACACAAAGTGTGTCGGATGCGACGGTCTAGGATGTTTCGCAGCCGTGTATCGGGCACCGAGATGGCGCAGGGAGGGTGTAGACGGCGAAGTCGGGCTAGCTACTTGGAGCGCGAGTGTCTGGCAAACCGACGGAAACCGTCCCACGTGCTCATGGAGCTTGTCTGGAGATGCTGGGCTTTTTGGGCGGGGTCCATGTATTGTTGGAAGGGAGCGCGTCCCGCAATTTGAAAAGCTTGCGCTCTGAATGAACCACCCACGCCACCTACACGCAGCTTCGTCCAAGAGATGTAAACCGAGATATAAAGGTGTATAAAAAATTGAAGATAGAATAATTGGAAAGATACAAAAGTATACGGTATATAATAGCAAAGGGTATACCTGAAAATGAGATCAACCGCAGGACAGGTTGGGCAATAAGATTCCAATTCGCCTTCTCGGAACCAGGCTGCATTTGATATTTCATGCTCTTTAGCCGCCGTGGAGAGGTATCCACACACTCCCGCATGCGTCAAACTGCGCCAACAAGGTGTCAACCATAGGGCAGGTATTCACTATTCCTTCTCATCTTGCTCCGAGGTCCTCATCTTGTAAAGGCGCCCTCACCCCGCCTCTCAATGAACACGGCATTCCGTGGGAAGAATCTCCGGCGCTTCAGTGGTGGTATAACTCAAGCACAAAGTACATGATACTCTTGACTTGCGGTGACACAATCCCTACAGGGCTTGATTACTCACCCCTCCTCCACCTGTGACACTCTCGCTTCTCTCTGGTTCAAAGGGAAAGTTTTCCCTGTCGCTCAAAGAGTGCGGCCACCGAAAATAGAGGCAGATCTCCACGGACGCAGCTCCTAGAGCACAACCAGCCATGTCTTCAGCTACTATCGTGGACCACTCCCCAAACCACCCCGAGCCAGCGCCGCGTGTGTCCACGGCGTCCAACCTCGTGCTAATCGACAACTATGACTCCTTTACCTGGAATGTCTACCAGTACCTCGCCCTGGAGGGCGCCACCATTTCCGTCTTCCGCAATGACCAGATCACCCTCCAGGAGCTGGTCGCGAAGAATCCCACCCAACTGGTCATCAGCCCCGGCCCGGGCCACCCCGCCACCGACTCGGGCATCAGCCGCGACGCCATCAAGCACTTTGCCGGCAAGATTCCCATCTTTGGCGTCTGTATGGGCCAGTGAGTTTCTCTCCATATGTGTTCGCCCCCCTATTTACAGTGCTGTTTTGACTGACACCTTCTACTCCCGAACCGCCACAGGCAGTGCATCATCGACATATATGGCGGTAATGTCACCTTTGCCGGCGAGATCCTGCACGGCAAGACGTCTCCCCTGGCCCACGACTCAAAGGGCGTCTACACCGGCCTGGCCCAGGGGCTGCCCGTCACCAGGTATCACTCGTTGGCTGGCACCCACGTGAGCCTCCCTGAGGAACTCGAGGTCTCCTCCTGGATAGCCAACCCGGATGGCTCCCAGGGCGTCATCATGGGTGTTCGACATAAGGAGCACGCCATCGAGGGCGTCCAGTTCCACCCCGAGAGCATACTCTCCGCCGAGGGCCGCACCATGTTCCGCAACTTTGTCCGCCTGCAGCACGGCTCTTGGAAGGAGAACGCTAGCTTGCTCCAGGCTGGAGCTGCCACAGCTTCCATGATGATCGCCGGCGGCTCCACGGTCCCTGTCCCTGCTTCCACGCCCGGCCCGGCTTCTGGGAAGCCCAACATTCTGCAGAAGATCTACGCCCGGCGCAAGGAGCTGGTGGCGGCGCAGAAGTTGCTGCCGTCCCAGAGGATGGCCGATCTGGAGGCTGCCTACCGCCTCAATGCCGCCCCGCCGCTGGTATCCCTTCTCGACCGCCTCCGACAGTCGCCTTTCGATGTCGCCCTGATGGCCGAGATCAAGCGCGCGTCGCCCTCCAAGGGCATCTTCGCCATTGACATCGACGCGCCCACCCAGGCCCACAAGTATGCACTGGCGGGCGCGAGCGTCATCTCGGTGCTCACAGAGCCCGACTGGTTCAAGGGCAGCATCGAGGACCTCAGGGCGGTGAGGCAGGTTCTCGGCAACATGCCCGGCCGGCCCGCCATCCTGCGCAAGGAGTTCATATTTGACGAGTACCAGATCCTCGAGGCGAGGCTAGCCGGCGCCGACACGGTGCTGCTCATCGTCAAGATGCTGGACGGCGTGCTGCTGGAGCGCCTGTACCGCTACTCCATCTCCCTCGGGATGGAGCCGCTGGTGGAGGTCCAGAACGCCGAGGAAATGGCCGTGGCCGTGGCGCTTGGGTCAAAGGCGATCGGCGTCAACAACCGGAACCTCGAGAGCTTCGAGGTCGACCTGGGCACCACGGGCCGTCTGCGCTCCATGGTGCCGCAGCAGACCATCCTCTGCGCCCTTAGCGGGATCAACACGCACGACGACGTCCTGGCGTGCAAGAAGGACGGGGTGGACGCCGTTCTCGTCGGGGAGGCCATCATGCGGGCCCCCGACGCATCTTCCTTTATCCGCCAGCTGTGTTCCGGAAACACGTCGCCGCTGCCGAGCCCTAGCGGCACGCCGCTGCTCGTCAAGGTATGCGGCACTCGCACTGTCGAGGCTGCCCTCGAGGCTGCAAAGGCTGGGGCGGACCTCGTGGGCATCATCTTGGTCCCGGGCGCCAGGCGCTGCGTCTCGGACGACGTCGCCCTCTCCATCTCCGGCGCGCTCCATGCGCCCCACGCGGACGTGCCCGCGGCGGCGCCGGAACCCTCGCCCTCGTCGCCCCCCAGCGGGGTGCAGGACTTCTTCGCTCTCGGCAAGGCCATCCTCGGCCGGCGGAGGCCGCTGCTCGTCGGGGTCTTCCAGAACCAGCCGCTCGCCGAGGTGCTGGAGAAGCAGGCGCGCTACCGCCTCGACGTGGTCCAGCTCCACGGCAGCGAGCCCGTCGAGTGGGCCCGCCTGATTCCCGTCCCCGTCGTGCGCAAGTTCCGCCCGGGCGAGGCCGGCCTCGGCGCCCGGGGGTACCACGTCATGCCACTGCTGGACTCCGGGTCCGGGTCCGGCGAGCCCATCAACACGTCGGCCGTCAGGTCCGAGCTGGAGAGGGACGGCCATCTGCAGGTTCTCCTCGCTGGCGGTCTCGGCCCCGACACCGTCGCGGATACTGTGGCCGCCCTTGGCGAGAGCGCCAGCCGTATAGTAGGTGTTGATGTCAGCAGCGGCGTTGAGGAGGGTGGTGTGCAGAGCTTGGCCAAGATACGGGCCTTTGTCGAGGCGGCCAAGCTGATCCGGCGAGCATAGTATATAGATAGACGGAAAGCGTATATCCATTGTTCAACTGATACTAAGCATAATGTCTGTCAAACTAGCCGTGAAGTCAAGTGTTACCCGCCCAAGTTCAACCATCATGGTTATAGCAGTCAGGCGGGGTGCATCAGTAAGTGGTACGTTCTGTTGCAGAACATGAGATGGTATTAAAAAAGGAGGCACGACCTTCTGTCATTAGTTATCCCAAACACCGAGAGCAAGTCCCCCACACGCATGCCCTCAAGGCCTGGTCTGCTTGCTGCGCAAACACCGATGTGCCCAACTATACGTAAGGGTCGGGCATCCAGAACACGACGTCGTTGTCGGCTGTGGCAAAGAGGTTGAACCTGGGGTTGAAGGCGAGCACAGCGGCCTCCTTCTTGCTCTGCAGCACGTGCGTCGGGTCCACGACCTTGCTGTCCCTGCCGCCGCCGTGGACGTCCCAAACAAGCACATTCTGTCCCCTGGTCCCGCCCATGACGAACCTGCCATCTGGAGTAAAGCAGCAGTCCCCGCTGCTCTCGACCTCTCCTCGCCCCGCCTCCCCTACCGCGGGCCGCGAGGTTCCGCCGTCGGGCTTCCGCAGAAACGCCTTGAGCTTGCCCTCGAACGCGTCCAGTAGGAAATGCCCGCCCCCGTTGGTGCCCAGCAGGACGGACTTGCCGTCGTTGGAGAACTCAAGCTTCGTCCACCCCTTGAGCACACGAGACGGATCTGCCTCCCTACAGGCATCCACGATGTCGAATGTCGCAAACGGCGCCTTATTGAAGTTTCGGTAATCGTACAGGAGCACGGATCCGCTCCTCGGCGACCCGACGGCGAACACCTCACCCGACGGGTCCCATGCCAGGAGGTACGGGGTGTTGAGGAACAAGTGACCGACGGCGTTTCTAGAGTTGACGTTCCATAGCCGCACCGTATTGTCGCGGCTTGCCGAGATGAAACTGTCGCTCCCAGGATGCATCGCAAGGTTCGTAACGGCCTCCTTATGGCCCTCGAAGTAGCGAATGAAGCTATTGTCGAACGTTTCGAGATATCGGATAGCATCTGCAACGCATGGCCCGCTCGGTCAGCAAAAAGGCCAGAAGAAGGTGAGAGAAGGCTGAGCGTGACAAGAACACAACACACCGTTTTGCTTGGTACTGGCGTATATTATACTCGTCCCGCTGTGCGTGAACTTTGCCAACTTGACGCCGTACTTTTTGCTCGCAAGGCTCTTCTCGTGCCGACCCTCCTTGACGTGGTACAGCTGGATGGTCTCGTCGCTCTCCGACGTCATGCAAAGCTCTCCGGGGTCGTTGTAGTCCAGCGACAGGACGTGCGGCGGCGGCTTGTCTGTCTTTACGTCTTGGCGGCGAAATAGCTGCGATCCAACGTCAGCTCTGGATGCCGACGCGGCCAGGTCCCTCGAGCGCGGTGCGGATGAGGCTAACCTTGGTGGGCCTGAAGGTCGATATGATGTGCGTGAGTTCGGTGTTGCCGCCGCCTAATGGGCCGCCGGAAAGCAGAGGGCCTCCCCCGTTCACAGCTGCCCCCGTGGGGGTGCTGTCTATCTCCATGAGCGGCCGGTCGAGAGGGCACGATTGGTAGGCGTTTCCGTTGGTCGACCAGGTGCAGCGTAGCCGGGGACCTTGGGTATTTCTTGTTTGGTTTAGACTTTATATATGTGCGCGGGGGGGAATGGCGGCGCCGTGGATCGCAAATCGATTCAAACAATTGATAATTGACGGGTTGGCGTTTCTTTGGTGGTAGCTATCGCGAGGTGGGCTCTCAGCATCTTGGGGAACGTGCATCCACGCTTGGCGGCACGCCGTCAAGTGCGCGTAGGTTTGCCCGCCGCGATACTGGGGTACACCCGCTCGCACAGTGCGTCCCAGACGGTGATACATCCCATCCCTATCAAGGCACCTCCGACACAAGGCCTCACCACGAGCCCAAAGAGAGATGCCCGCCCAGGCACAGTCCGTTCGGGTTCAGAAAATGCCAGCCATTAGGCGCAAGCAGCCCGATCAATGGCAAATGTAGCCCCTGAAAGCGAGCACATGCGGTAGGATATCGGGGCTGGATCTCAATTGGAGTGGGCCTATACCCCACTCCAAAGTTCAATTGCTAACAACTTTGCATGGATTTCGCAATTGGGGTCAGGCACTGCATTGCGACAACAGGGGGGTGCTAGTTGGTCAGCTCCGAACATCGCTCGTTCCGTGGAATTTTGTCAACTGAGGCGAGCAAAGATTTCCCCAACCGCAGTCTCGCCAACAGACGAGCCGCATATTTTCCCACACGCCTCGGGACGACAACTTACACCGAGGGCCCGGACATGTCGACGACACTGGGGTACGCCACGATACAAAGCCGTGCCCGCGAGGACGCCACGCTGGGAGAGAGGGGAAGGGCGACGGACAGGGCGCTGACTGTAATTCGCCGGCATCGCTGGGTAGGGCCTTCATCGCCGGCGGCATTGCCGCGTGCGGTGCCGTCACCGCGACGCACCCCTTCGAAACGGTCAAGATCCGGTAAGAAGCGCGACTTCGGTCTCCCCCGCCACCTCGGTGGCCGGCACCATCACCCCCCGCGAAACACGCCGCCGCCGCCGATGGCGCCGGGCGAAGCGACGTGGTGGAGGAAGGCTGATGGGCTGGGCGGCCAGCATGCAGCTGCAGGGTGAGCTCCAGGAGAAGGGACACCAGCCTCACCACTACCGCGGCCCCTTCCACGGCGTCTCCGTCATAGTCCGCAATGAGGGCCCCGGCGGCATCTACCGCGGCCTCGGCTGCGCCTACATATACCAGGTCCTCCTCAACGGCTGCCGCCTGAGCTTCTACGAGCCCATGCGCTCCACCCTGACGGGGCTAATCTTCTCCGACGAGAAGACGCAGAGCCTTGGCGTCAACATGTTCTGCGGCGCCGGCTCCGGCATCATCGGCGCGGCCGCTGGGAGCCCCTTTTTCCTGGTCAAGACGAGACTGCAGAGCTACTCGCCCTTCCTGCCCGTTGGCACCCAGCACGAATACAGGAACGCGCTGCACGGCCTCTCCCAGATCTACAGGGGTGAGGGCATAGGGGGCCTTTACCGAGGCGTCGGCGCCGCCATGATCAGGACCGGTTTCGGCAGCTCCGTCCAGCTCCCCACCTATTTCTTTGCCAAGCGACGCCTGGTCAAGCACCTGGGTATGGAGGAAGGACCGGCGCTTCATCTCGCCAGCAGTACGGCCAGCGGGTTTGTTGTGTGCTGCGTGATGCATCCCCCTGGTGAGTCTCAACAAGCCGGCGGCTTGGTCGAACAAACGAAAAAAAAAAAAAAACGCCAGCCTTCTGACTAGCCCCCTTCCCCACCGCAGACACCATCATGTCTCGCCTGTACAACCAAACGGGCAACCTCTACAGTGGCGTATTTGACTGTTTTGCAAAAACTGTCAAGACAGAGGGCGTTTTTGCCATTTACAAGGGTTTCCTGCCACATCTGGCGCGAATCCTACCACACACCATCCTCACACTCAGCTTGGCGGAACAGACCAACAAGTTGATGAGAAGGTTGGAGGCGCGTATACTTCCGCAAGAGGAGCTCAAGAGCTCATAGCCTCGTGCCAACCACCATCGTTTTTCGATACCCTTGATAGGGCGACCCAGACGGTGCGAGGAATGCAGTATATACGCCGCACCTCGATGTGATGACATCCCACGGCATATTCCGGCTTTCCATATACCATCCTGCAAGGTTTCGTTCACCGTGCCTTCGCTAGGCACGCATTACTGGCGTTGGATAGGAGGGATGGCGTATCAAAAGTTTAATCCAAAAGGGCGCTCCAAAGCGTTTTCTTCCCTTTTTTTTGCTCGGCACATATCAGCCATTTATAGACCTATCACAACCATAGCAAAGCTTATGGTCAGGCCGGGCCGAGGCCGAGGATGAAATATCCGTCGTGACATCACCCATTTCGCCTTTCCACGTCTGATTCCCAGTCAGGTCGATGGCTGCCCCGCAGAGCCCGCAGGGCTGGCGGGGCTCACCCCTCGAAAGCTTGGCTGTAGTCCTGACGACATTCGCGACGACGGATGGGTAGCTCAGTTCGATATCTTCAAAGTACCGAGCCATGACATCGTCTATGCTTTGATCCTTGTGTGACACGATGGAGCCGGACGAGCGCTCATAGCCGTAGATTCTGAGGTCTTTGTCTTTGCCCATCTCCACAAGCCCCGCGTAGGTGACGAGCTCCTTGCGGTACAGTTCGCGCAAGGGGAAATGAACGACTTGGCTGGTGGTCGCGGCCTCCTCCCGATCCTGGCCAGAATTCGGGGCCATCACAGGATGGGCGCCGTCGTTCGTCAGCCAGGGCAGGGAGAACCCACGTCCCTTTGCCGTCTCGGCGAGCGTCAAGGCTGCCAGAGACGTGGTGTTGTTCCCCAAAAGCAGCGCGCAGCAGCCGTGGGCTGCAGCCGCTGATATCAGGATGTGTCGTACAAAAAGCCGGGTAGCATCTGCCCTGGACGTTGACGACGGCAACCTGTCAAACAGGTCGCGGAGCCGTGCGTCGGGCGGGAGATCGGGGTTTAGGCGGGGCAAGGAATGCCAGTCGATGCTGGGCAGAGAGAAGGCCGCGGTAAGAGGCACGGTCTCAAAGGTGAAGCGAGGGTAAGCGGCCTCCCAACGACCCAGTTGCCGGGATGGACTAGTGGACGGGGGGTCGACGAGAGACGTGTCGACGTGGACGATACGGAAGCTCGACGACACGGGCCGTTGCTTCTTGGAGGACCGCTCGTCCAGCTCGTCGAATATGTTCACCATGGCGGACGAGGACGGGCCCAAGGACAGGCCGATGAGATAGTGCGCCGTCCCCCGACCGACCTTGCTCCGGCTCTCCCGATCCACCACCTCGAATCTCTTGGCCACCTTGACCCTAACGAAGGCGGCAAAGCATGCTCTAGACGAGAGGGCGAGTTTAGCTCACGATCCTGCGTGAAGGCACCAACTCGGTCGCACTCGACAAAACGGGTGTTGCGCACCCACAGGCAGGCTCTGAGCGGATTTCGTAGAGAGCATTTTGCTCCTTGCATCTCAGACAGAGCCTAGCAGCGCTGCCTGGCTCTTGGGCCTCGACACCCATTGTGGCGACGGCTTCTATCTGCAAGAGGGTTGGTTGTTTGTTTGTTGTTGTATTTGTTTCTTCAATCTTGGTCGTGCATTCTTTCGATGTCGATTATGCCGAATTTGGCGGGCATAATCAACGAGAGTGAGGGATCTGCTTACATTACGGAAATTTTGGTTATGCATCGAAATATTTTTTGCGCTGGTGGTGTCCACCCAAAGCGCGATTCATCCCATTCATCCAAGGTACCAAACCTCTCGATCTACGCCTTCCCAGGTGGTGGCAGTGACAACATGCCGTCCTCCAGCCGACAGATGCCCGGAAAGGCAAGTGGTAACGAGCAAGTCATGGCAAGCTGCCCCGTGGCGGAATAGCAGCAGATCCAGGGGCAGGCTGTGCCCCGACATCGAACTGTCGGAGCTGGGGTGCTGGGGCGGTGTTTCACAGCTGCCTAGGGCGTCAGGGCGTGACCGGAGTACCATCTGCCGTGGACACTGTGCGGTATGCGGCCAGTCCCCACTGGACCGCAGCAGCAGTCGGCAGTCCGATGCTGGGTGCAAAATCTCTCCGTGCCGCCCGCCTTGGGAGCTCCACCACGCCCCAGCCAAACATTGCACCCCAGGACCCAGGGGCAACCGCCCAGGCACCTTTTGCTCCCATTCGTGTTGCCTGGATGACTGCATGTTGATATTCCGCAGTCGCCCGCCTGCGTCTGCCTCTTGCGCCATCCGCACACGACACCCAAACAAACACAGAGACACAGTCACGCCGACACACCCGCCGCCGCCACAGAGCGATGCTTGGTTCCCACAAGCGCCGACTGATACGCTGCTAGCCCCCCCGACGGCGGTCCCTAAGACAGTCCCCAACCTAGTGCAGAGGTGATTTGCAGCAAGCCTGCTGCGCAACAGCCACGTCGTCGTGTTTTAGCCCTTTGGCCCTAGGCCCGCGCTTCGAAACCGTTTAGCCTCGCCGTCCACGTCCTGCATCAGCTGGGGGCACCACCTCGCACGCCGGCCGTGCCTTGGAAACACCCCAGCAACCAACGTCCTGCTGGCAAGCCCTCGCCCGCGCTTGCTTCTATGCCGATATTCACCGCTCCCCTGGCTGCGCCAACAGTTGGCCGCCCCATGCTTCAATAAGCCCGCCGAATCCGCAACGCCCGTTCTCCTGCTCGACCCAGCACTCTGCTCCCAGCTGCCTCTCAACAAGTCCAACACAGCTCCCATAGCTCATCGCCTCCGCATGCCGCCGCCGCCGCCGGACCTTGCCATTCTCACACATGAGCACTTTCGTTACCATGGCTGGAATCCATACTGCGCCCCCGGGCGCTATCGATACGGCCGCAGAGTCATCGTTAAGGCGGCATGGGGCACTGGCTGCCCCGTCGACAACCGCCGCGGCCGCGCAGAGGAGCACCTCGCCCGCCCGTATGCCACAAACCATGCAGGCCGTGTCGCCTGTCAACCAGAATGGGTGTTTCGAGTTTGACCGTGTCCTGAAGTGCGGATACGTCCAGAAGCGTACCAAGACCAAGGTAAGACATTTTGCCGGGATTTCCCGTGCGCCCGCAACGGGTGGCTGCCGGTGCTGGTATTGACGACGCGGGCTTTGTTCTGCATGTCGAATTTAGGCATGGAAGACGGTGTACCTTGTGATGAGGCCGAATACCATATACATGTACAAGTCGGATAAGGAAGACAAGCTGCGCGGCCAGATATATCTGTCGGAGCTGACGGCCGTCACCCTGCTCAAAGACCCGAAGCAGAAGCGACAGAACGTCTTTGGGCTCTTCTCGGCGTCGAAAAACTTCTATTTCCAGGCGGGCTCTGCCAAGGAATCGCACAGCTGGGTCGAAGTCATCCGTCGGGACGCGAGAATAGAAGAGGAAGAGGAGGAGATATTTCTTGCGAGCCCCATCCTCCGCCGAGGATCATACGCGCCTGGCTCCTGTCTTGCCCAGCCTACAGGGTCCAGCGGGATGGCGATGGAGCGGGAACGGGGGCTGTCGAGCTCCCCGGAGCCGCTCGACAACTCTATAGACGCGGCATTTGCCATCGCCGGCTCACACGACGCGCGTCCAGTCTCGGCCATGGTTGAATCCTTCAGCCAGCTAGGGAGTGATTTCGTGTCACATTCCGACCTTTCCGATTTCGAGCCCCCGGGCCGCTCGTTTGGGGCCTCGTTTGAGGCCTCGGCCGAAAGCCTCAGGGCGCGAACCCCTGGCGCTCCCGAGCTGCGCCGCCCTAGCATGGTTGCCCGGAGCGGGGGCGGCTCCGGTGGCCTGTACCTCGAGCAGGATCCGGACCGGGTCATCTGGCAGGGCTCGATGTGGTTCTTGCGTACAAAGGGCGGGTTGAAGCAGTGGAAGAGGTCGTGGGCTGTGTTGCGGCCGAGGAACCTCATCCTCTATCGGGACTCGTCCGAGTACTCGCCGCACCTGGTTGTCCCTCTATCGTCGATTCTCAATGTGGTCGACCTGGATCCCATCAGCAAGACGAAAAGGCATTGCCTCCAGGTCATCACGGAGGAGAAGCGGTTCCGGTTATGCGCTGTTGACGAGGAGAGCCTCGTGCACTGCCTCGGGGCGTTCAAGAGCTTGCTTGCCAAGAGGCGGGAGCTAGAAGCCCGGGTGGCAGCCACAATCTCGGCCGAGGGCGTGGTGCCAACTGCTTTCGCATTATCTCACTCTCCCCCGAGAATGGTGCTCAGCAGCGCGGTGGCGACAACAGTTGCAGCAAACTAGGGCTACCACAGCTCATACGATATCCCGACGCACCGATCTCCTTTGTCCATTTTTTCTTATCAGGATACCCCGCTTCATTTTTTGTCCGCCTTCCTCGCGCTCCCATTCGCACTTGGATGCAACCGCAATTCCACTAGCCTCTTGGCTAGCAGCCTACTTCCAGATGAAGTCTTGGGGTCCGTGTATCCGAAAGGTCGATTCCTCTAGGCACTGGCTGCTAGCTTGGGATGCGGCATGCTTGCGATGCCCGAGATGACTGTCGCTCTCTTACACCCGTCCTCTCCTTTATGTCGAGCTTGCTCTTTATCTTTTCTTTTAAACTTTATTATTCATATCTGACTTTGTCCGCCGTCGCGTCTATGTGGTCCGTTGTCTCCGCGAAGCGATCCGTATGGAGCTCTTCCTCGATACCCCTTCGTTCGCGCGCAATATCTCTTCATGTTCCTACTGGCCTGTGGACGAGTGCGTGTTATTTTGGCACGTGTGCAAATACTCCTTGTGGCCCCTGGAAGCTGTCTAGGTAGTGGAGATGAGGATGGAATAGAAGCTATTTTCTCAAAAAGGGGCGGTCATTTAGTGTCTGCGTGTCTAAGACGCCATTCACGGCACTTTGTAGACCTAATGAGGACCCTTGGAAGTTGCTCGCGCGCCACTGCCGGATGGCCTGGGCCCAATCACGGGGCTGTGCCTTGCTGTCGGGTGATGGGCTCTGATGATTCAATGACGGCGAGAGCGGGGGACTGCAACGGCACCACAGCCATGGGATCCAATCATCCAATCAACTTGGCGGTCTGGGGCTGGCCGCATTACAGAGTCAGCTGCAACGGCGCGTTTTGGCTGGACCCCCCGTCGCCCGTCTGATCCCTTTGGTGGTTCTTCTTTTCTATGCTTTGCAATCGACTTGGCTGTTCCCTGACGGCCAATCAGCTCTCATCCTGTCTCTTCTGCCCATCCATACCCACTCCTCCAGTCGACAAGGATCCCCGCCTAGTGCCGGCCCGATCTGGCCAAATCTCGGGCGTGGCGGCGCGGTCCTGGCCCCAATTGGCCCGTCGTCTGCCTCCTGGGTGCTTTCCCGCATCTCCTTGGCCCGCCTCCCCCTGTGGCTGTCCGCTGTCCGCTCATGGGGGGCGGCCCATCAGATACCTTTTCGGTGCAGGGGTGTAGGCTTCTTGCGGGCTGGAGGCGCCCTCTCTCTCCCTCCCACATCCACGCCGTTGGTGGCGGAGGTCGGACATATGAGGTGTGGCGGCTCCTCCGCCTCTCTGGTCGGTCAACGGCGGGCTGTAGTCCACGGTTCCTTTCGCGTCGATCCGCTTGGCTACCTCGGCCTTTTCGGATTATAACTGCTATTATAACACATCACCACATCCACGCGGACCACCTCCTTTCTGGCCACACCCTGCCCTCCATCACCGCCCCGTCCTAGGGCCAGGGGAATGAACCCCATAAACCCTCGAGCCAATCTTCTTGCCTCCCCGACGTATACCCCCTCACCTAGCTTGTGGTGGGCCGGCCGCCGTCTTGTCTCTCATGCTCTTGTTCAAACGGGCCTTTTGTTGGCGACGCATGACATTGGGGGAGCATTGGTGCTCTCCACCCCACACACCCTCGCCTTGCGGTCCGTTCTCTTGTTCCGAGAGGGGTCCTATCTCCTCTCCTTCTCTCTTTGTCCTCATGTCCGCCTGACCAGTTAGGTGTGCTGGCCCATGCCGTGTCGTCTGTTGCCGCCGTGTGTGGTCCACAATAAATATAATGATCTGCTGCAAGCAAGCTGTGTGTTAGTGCCTCCCACCTCCCTGCTGTGGTTAAATATGTAGTTCCACCCTCGCCCTTGCCTGGCCCTCTTCCTGTGAAGTCTGTGGCTTCTGCTTTTCTATATTATCGGCATCCTTCGTTTTCTCGCGTGCTGTATATCCTGCTCGTCCCTTGCCTTGAGCCTCGCCCGGAAAACGTGGATATCTCACAGCCCCCAAGACGCCCCGTACCATGTTCCCCTTTGGCCGCCTCCCCGCCCTGCTCGTGCTCCTCCTGAGCACGGCAGCCGGCATAGCGCAGGCCCTGGAGCCGCCGCCGCTGCCGCTCCACTCGTCCAGCCGATGGATCCTGGACGCCAGCAACCGGCGCGTCAAGCTCAAGTGCATCAACTGGGGCGGGCACATGGAGGTCAACATCCCCGAGGGCCTGCACAAGCAGCCTCTCGACTATCTGGCCGGCTGGATCGCCGACGCCGGCTTCAACTGCGTCCGCCTGACGTACTCGACCGACATGGCCCTGCACCCGGACACAAACGTCTCGACCTCCTTCCTCGCCGCCGCCGGCCCCGCCGGCGTCTCGGCCGAGAGCCTCGGCGGCCTCTTCGCCACGGCGGCGCAGAAGAACCCCTTCCTCGCGTCCGCGACCACCATCGACGTCTTTGGGGCGGTCGCCGACGCCCTCTGGAGCCGCGGCGTCATGACCATCCTGGACAACCATGTCAGCCGCGCGTCGTGGTGTTGCAATCTCGACGACGGCAATGGTGTAAGTTGCCCCCCCTTCCTTTTTCTTTGCAACTTTGGGAGGAGAGTGTGAACAGGAAACTCTAGCAGAGAGATGAATCGGTCAACAGGCAGACGGCTAACACTTGACCTCTCTCTCTCTCCCCTCCTCCCAAACGCAGTGGTGGAACACGGCCGACGGTTACAACGACCAAAACTCACGCTACTTCAACACGGCCGAGTGGCTGGCTGGCCTCCGCGCCATGGCGGAGTGGGCAAAGGGCCACAAGGGCATAGTCGGCATGGGCATCCGCAACGAGATCCGCGAGTTCCTGGCCCAGGGCATCATCAACGCCCGGCAGGACTGGTACCAGCTTGTCTCGGACGCGGCCCGGCTCATCCACGAGACGCACCCGGACCTGCTGATCCTCATCGGCGGCACCATGTCGTCGACCGACCTGACGCACGTGCGCACGCGCCCCCTCGACGTTTCGGCATGGTAAGAGTTCCCCCCCGCTCTCGTCTCCCTCTCCCTCCTTTACCAACACACGGCGCGAGCTTTTCTTCTCTCGTTTCCTGTCACCGAACACGGCCTAACCAAGAACCAAACCCTCCCCGCCCGCAGGAAGGACAAGCACGTCTGGGAGTGGCACGCCTACTCCTTCACCGTCACCTTCTACCCCCTGATCAAGAACTGCTGGTACGTCCATCAGCTGTACGGCGCCTTCAACGGCTTCCTGCTCCAGCAGAACAAGGCCTACACCGCGCCCCTGATCCTGTCCGAGTTCGGTTTCGCCATGGACGGCCCGGACCGCTTCTACCTCGACTGCCTGAGGGATTACGCGACCTCCAACGACGGCGACTGGGCGATATGGGCGCTCCAGGGCAGCTACTACGTCCGCGACAAGCAGATCGACCAGGACGAGTCCTACGGCGTCATGAACAGAGACTGGTCCGGCTGGAGGAATGGCGACTTGAAGAACCTGATGGGCAAGATGTGGGAAACCACGCAGGGCCCTTGAATCTGGTTTAATTTTTGTTCCCTTCCGTAGTCGATGCTCAGGGCATCTCGAGGCACCATCATCTATCACCACTTCCCCAGAAACTTGATTGTAGATACCCTATATTATATCCTGGTATTAACCCAATTACTGCTGGGCCCCTCTTTTCTCGTCTTGTCCTCCCTATGATCAAATATGCATGCCAATGCCAAAGGAAGGAGCCGCCAACCTTTAAGAGAGGTCAAAAAAGTCTTCCATAGCGGTGTCCCCTTCGATCCAAAGATCGTCAAAGTTCGTGTCACCCGCAGCTCCAAGATCCATGTCGGCATCCATCTTGAAGAGGTCATCCATGTTGCTATTCAGTGCTTCTGCACCCGAGCTTTTGAATGAGGCGCTGGCACTGTCGCCATTAGAGAGATCTATGGGACGGGAGGCGTTGTCGGCGATGGCAGCAGACGGTTGGTTGCCACCGCTGCCGGAAAAGCTGTCCGACAGAATGTTGTTTGTGGCGTCGGCCACATAGGTCTCGAGATCGAACTCGGTGTCCACGCCGTCTGTCCCTGCTGCACCCTGTGGGTGGCTCTGTGGCTGGGACTGGGGATCCATGTTACCTGGGGCAAGTGAGAACTGCATATCGGTGAAGTTGAGATGCGGGGCCGCTGTCGCGCCAGGATGGAGAACACCGCCGCCTCCACCCGATGCCGCGTTGCTCATTTCCAGCATCCCGGTTAGTTGGTCAGGCTGGCCTATCGCCTGCGCGAGTTGTGCAGGATTCGGGATACCAGAAGCTAGAGCGGGTGTGGGTGCTTGAGCCGGTATAGCCACAGCCATCGGGGCCGCGGGGGCATGTGGGACGGGCGGCGTGGGGGCGGGAGTTGGTGCTGGGGCAGTAGCAGTTGGAACAACTGCGGCACTCTTTGGTGCCGAGGCTGGCGTAAGGGAAGGCTTGGGCACCGTTGGCGGCGTTGCCTTGGGGACTGGCCTGACAGGGGCGGGAACGGGAGAGTTCGTCTTTCCTGAGGAGGGGAGAGATGGTGTCGCCTTCATCGCGGGGGAGCCCGGCTTCACCACCGGAGATGGAATCGCCTTTTTTGCCGGCGAGGTAACCTTGCCGGCGGGCGGGACTGACTTGAGGGCGAGCGATGACGAAGCGTTCTTGACGGCGGGCGAACCACCCTTAGCGCCCGGCTTCACCGCTTGTGCTGTTGCTGTCGGCTTCGCGGGTCCGGTGAGCTGGGAAGTGTGCGGCTCTGCCTTCACCTTGGGCACACCGGGTTGGGGACTAGGACCAGGGGGTGGGGGGTCGATGCCCATGTTTGGAAAGGGGGCCCCTTGTTTAGGCCGGGGAACCGGCCGAGAGGCTGGTGGCGGATGGAGGGCCGGCTGCTTGGGCACGTTCCGGGGGCCAGGCCCAGGGCCCGACCCCGCCATCGGCAGCGAGCCCGGGGGAGGTGCCGGGGCTCCAAGGACCGGAGTAAGGCCGGTCGGTGCCAGGGGAATCATGACGGGCTCAGGGATCACGACGGGCCGCCGTTTGGCGCGCAGTTGGTCGAGGTCCCGTTGTAGAACCGCCTTTGCGCGAATCTTTACAAGACAGATGAGGTCAGGTCACGGCGGGTTAACAGCGTGTCCATCGGCTTGCTTTCGCGCGGCGTTCATCTTACCAGTTCGCTTTCGACGTCATCGAGTGCCGAGTTGAAATCAACATGTATATCTCTTATCTTATTGACACTCGCCAACGATGGCACACGGCGTGCATCCCGTCGACTCGACTTGAAGGCTTTCCCAGCCTGGACGAGCTTTTACGTGACAAACAAGAGGGAGTCAGCCAAGCCCCCAAACGCTAGATGGATACAGATATCAAATTTGATGAATTCTTGGGCGCCTACCACATCGTTCACCAGCACCTCGAGCGTATCGAGAGGCGGGACCGGCTTTGCGTTCGCCATTGTGAAACCTGCCGAGAGGATGCGAACCTAGATCTCTGGGCACTCGCAGAGTATACCTGTCATCGCCTACCGCCTCGTGTTAGGCTTACGGGTCTTGAAGCGATGGGTGGTAGTTGGAATAGGGCGGCCGGTAACGGATTGCGAAGAGTGCACATGCACAAATGTGATGGCATTGAAGTTCAAGTGAGATCTTACCGTCGCTGACAGCACATGCAGTTGGGCATTGAGTGGCTGCTCCGCTGTGCGTCTAGGTTCTGCTAGACACCGTGCTGCCCCAATCCGCCTGGAACTTGCTCTGCATCTTGCTGTAATGCGCTGTAGCCGGAGGTACTTCAGAGGCTGTTTCCTGGTTGCATTACGTGATACGGGTCTGGTGCATGCCCAGCCACATCGAGCACCTCGGCGTGGCTGCTGGGTGTCAAGCGAGTGGCGGGCTATCGCGCATGCGGGGCAAGTACATGCCTCCCAAGGTCCCTCGATGCGCCCTAGTCATTCACCCACCTCGCTCATCTCTAGCTCCCCACTCTATACCCGTTGCAAAACGGACCAGCCTGGGTAGCGCTAGCCCAGAACCAGCCGCCGAGTCTTTGACATGTCTCGACCATAGGTACGCAGGAGGTTGTACGTGCGGTGCTCGCTGGCTGAATCGACGCGCCTACATGCCTCGGCAGGTGCTATGTACACGGGCAGGCTGCTGGCCGCGTCCAGGTGGCCTGCCAAAGTCAATTCCATCAGGTTTGGTTAATCGTCGCCCGTTAAGCTCAGATGTCCGCTGGGACGGCGCATGTGTGCACCTATTCCACCCACAAGGGACGATGTATTTTCCGCATGTTTAGGCCAGATATGCATATCCGTGCCCAGTTGCCCTCCCCACATGCACCCACCCAAGCCCTGGGGTTTCCTAGTCGCCTGGGGTTCCCAGTCGCACTAGGTCATCCAAAGTTTTGTCGCCCCAGGCTCTGTCGGTCAAGCGACAGGGTTTTGTGCGGGTTGAGGTACCGGCTTGTCGTGCGAGGTGCCAGTCAGGCTCTCGTCCGAATCGTCCTTTTTTCTTGCCCCTTCCAGTCTCCCCCCTGGCTACCTATTATTCCCTCCCCTTTCTTTTCCCTTTTTCCTTTTTTCTTCTTCCTCTTCTCCCACATCAGAGAAAACGACGTCTATCCGATCGGCAGCTGCTGTCAAGTTCCTCCAGGGGACAACTCTTTTTTTACGTCCTTTTCCTTTTTCTCTCCTATTTCGTTATTTCCTCCTCTCTGTCCTTGTCCCGTTTGTGCTGTGTGGTTTCCCGTTAGTTCCGCTTCCAGTTCAACAGGTTCCAAGCCACAGCCTAGCTCACATCTCTGGACTTTTTGATGAGAGCCTGGTCTGCTATTTGCCTCCAATACCTACACTGAGCCGAGTCTCCACCACCCGCGCTTTCTCGTCTCTAACTCACGCGAATCTTGTCGCTTTGCCTTTATTTTTTATCATTTTCTTCCTTTCCCTCCTCTGCGACCTGTAGTGATTCCACGCGCCCAGCTTGTGTCTCAACTCGCCGCCGGGCACCGCGCAATCGACAATCTCTCTGCTTCTGCCTCGAGCACTGCTTCGGCGCTAGCCCTACGCTAGAGCTTACCGACCGCCCTTGCTTTCCCCTCCTCGAGGCCGCCTCTCTCCTGTCACTTCGTGGACCGACTCGTCGCACGCGCCACGTTCGCCACGCGATTTGCATTTTGACAAGCTTCGATTTTCAAGCTCCCGCCTTGGTAGCCTCGAACTATCAAAGCCTTGTCGCATTTCTGTCGCCAAGTGTCGCCGAGCGGGACATTGTAGAGCATTTGGGGTCTTCTCTAGTGGCGCGGCCTTGTCCGACCAAAAGCGGAATCCAATTCCTTGCTCCCACCGCTTCCCCCCGCCTTTTTCTCCCACCTATCAAGTCACTTTTTTCCTTCCTTTTTTTTTTTGCCCTCCGCCAAATTTCCTTAGTCTCGGCCGTCTCATCCGACCGACGCATCGCGCCGACCCGTATCGTTCTACGCTCAAGCTCAAGCCGGATCCCGCACCCACTGCTCATCGGTCGCAGCATAACTAGACTCAATCATTTGCCTACATTACTCTGTCGAACTGTCAAACCAGCGACATGGCTGACAACGGATCCCCCGCCGGCACGAACCAGCTGCCCTCTCAGCAGGGTCCTGGTGCGCCAGGCTATGATGGCGCTCAGAATGGCCACCCAAACCAGGCTCAGATGCAGCCGCCCCCTCTGCACATCCCCCAGAACACAAACCCGATCCCAACGGCCATCACGTCGCCAATGGGTGGTGGGGACAAGAGCGCGCTCATGTCACCGGGCGGCACCTCTCCATTCGGCCGCCGCACTGCCCCCGAGCCCAACAAGCGCGCTCTCTATGTGGGCGGCCTTGACGCCCGCGTGACCGAGGACGTACTGCGCCAGATTTTCGAGACGACTGGTCACGTCCAGAACGTCAAGATCATCCCCGACAAGAACGTAAGTGTTTACCTCGGATAATGCCGTGGCTGTGTATGCGGCCGGCCGGCCAACCTTGCATCCTCTCTGTAGCAATGGTCTACTAACCACCTGTTCATACCCAAAAAATAGGCTAAGGGCTTCAACTACGGCTTCGTCGAGTACGACGACCCTGGTGCGGCTGACAGGGCCATGCAGACCCTTAATGGCCGTCGGGTTCACCAATCGGTACGTCGAGAGCCCACGAGCAGCCTTCCCTCTGGCGCATGTGTCGCTTCCGGCAAATGATTCGCTGTCTGCTCACACATTTCATTTTGATCAGGAAATCCGTGTCAACTGGGCCTACCAATCTGCCAACACGACGACCAAGGAGGATACGTCCAACCACTTCCACATCTTCGTTGGTGATCTTTCCAATGAAGTCAATGACGAGGTGTTGACGCAGGCCTTCTCCGTCTTCGGCTCAGTCTCGGAGGCTCGCGTCATGTGGGACATGAAGACCGGCCGCTCGCGCGGGTATGGTTTCGTGGCCTTCCGTGACCGCCCAGATGCCGAAAAGGCCTTGAGCTCCATGGACGGCGAGTGGCTTGGATCGCGAGCAATCCGCTGCAACTGGGCCAACCAGAAGGGCCAGCCCTCAATCGCCCAACAGCAGGCGATGCAAGCCATGGGAATGACTCCGACCACCCCCTATGGCCACCACCACTTCCCGACCCACGGCATGCAGAGCTACGAGATGGTCCTCAACCAGACTCCGGCCTACCAGACGACCTGTTACGTTGGAAACCTGACCCCATACACTACCGCCAACGACCTGGTTCCACTCTTTCAGAACTTTGGCTATGTGGTCGAGTCTCGCTTCCAATCCGACCGCGGCTTCGCCTTCATAAAGATGGACACACACGAGAACGCTACATCCGCCATCTGCAATCTGAACGGCTACAACGTTAATGGCCGACCGCTCAAGTGTAGCGTACGTACCCTATATGATTCCCCCGCCTGGACTTGCACTGCAGTGTGGGATGAGTTATTTTGACTGACATGTTCGTGTGCTCATGTGTGAAGTGGGGCAAGGACAAGAACACGGCCAGTCCTCAGGTCGGCTTTGACCCGTCCCAGGGATCTTTTACCCCTCAAAGCGGCCAGGGACCTGCCTCTGGTTTCCCTGGAACTCCCTCTAGCTTCTTCCCGCAGTATGGTGGTAAGTGTGCTTTTTCTATCACGAATGAGTCCTCCTGCGACATAGTAGTCTAACATGTTCCTCTTTCTTCCCCCTCAAGCAGGCCAGTTCAGCGGCCAGCAGGGCAACTTCGGGCCAAACCAAGGGCAGTCCCCTGCCGGCTACCCTCAGCAGCCCATGGCCTTCAACAGCCCACAGAGCGCTGGTGGATATGGCCGCGGCCAGCAGGCCCCCAACGCCCAGTGGACTGCATCCCCGGGACAGAACTTCAACAACGGATACTCGGGTTACCAGGGCTAGTCTGCCGGAAGTCCCGTCCTGGTCAGGGGGCCATGTCCATAATGGACAGCCTGTATCTGTGAGGCGTCAATGTGAGCACGACTGGACGGGTTCGTGGGAAGACACGTGCCTGTCATACCCGAAAGGGCGTGGCAGCTGGACGCGTCATCCTAGCGGCCGCCGGCATCTCGCGTCCGGTCCCGTGCGGCCCTAGCTTGACCTCGCGAGCATGTGTGATGGACAACTCCACCCCCACGGCAATTTTATTTCCCGCGCCGTCTTGCTCTCCAGTTATCTCTTTCCTCTACTATCTTTCTCACTCTGTCTGCGGCTTTGGCGGGATGAAAATTGAATGAAGTGACCGTTGGCGTCCTGTTTTTTCTAGGTCGTTTCCATGCCAGCTTTTCATGCGGGTCTCTCCATCCTCTTCTCATTTTTCTCTAATCTTCACGACTGTTTTCCATTTTCGTCTCCAGCTGACTGCTTGCCTGGGTCGATGTACTGATTGTCGGGCATGTCTCTTCCGTGTGTTCTTTCCGTTTGCGGTTGATTTCCCGCGCGCTGGTGAGGTTCCTTTTCTTTCCCTCGCCGTTTGCAATATCCTGGGTTTGGGCCTTCTTGTAGTGGCAGGCATCGCAGCCCTGACCGGAGGGAAAAGTTCTCGTCTCTTTTGATTTCAGCCGCTGGATACCACCTTGAGCATACTGGAATGCCTTTTCCGACTCCAGTTTTCCTTTTGACGACTTTATGATAGTACTACCCCATCACGAACTTCTCTAATACGGGCCTCAGCGGTTCACGCAGCGCTGGCTTTCTGCAAGGGACTCATGGAGCGTTGCAAATATAATTTCATGACCTGTCATGACTTCGGTTCTTTTTCTTCCCAAATATGTCTTCCTGTTTTCTCACCCTCGTATCTTTGCCTTGTGTGTTGGTGGTCTCGTTCGAGTCACTTTCCTTTTCGATTTTGTGGTTCGGCTCACCATCTCTTCCCTGCCATTTCTTCCTTACTTTTTCATTTTCATCTCTCCCCAGTATTATTCTTCCCTTGTATACGTCCCACATACCCACTACAGACACGGATCATATTGTTGACCTTGCTCAGTCTGTTTGGTGGATGCGTTTTTGCATGGCGAGGGCACGAGTGCCCGCCCGGGGCAGCTATCCCTAGTGGCCAACCCCACTACGACATGACCAAGGGGGGCAAGAAAAAAAAATAACAAAAAAAGGCGGCAGCCGATGCCATATGTTGTTGTAAAAACCCTCCTGCATATGACGCCTCAGATGTCCGAACTAAGAGGCTCCACGCGCGAGTTTCTACGCTTGGTTGTGTAGGAAGATCTACGTGTGCTACAGGCTACCCGCTCGCCACTCAGCCCTGGAGGCAGCGTGGATAGGTGCCTGCCGAACTGTGGGCGGGCTCACTCAGCATAATAACATTGAATGCAGGCACACGAGACTGGGGATGGCGGTAACTTGGACACGGGTCACATACGGACGCAATAACTGTCGTGCGACCCGATGAATTCGTGCTTGTAGCCGTACAGATGGGGACGTGTCGTCAACAGGTGCGCTCAGGTTGCGACATGGAGGCTTGTCATGTGTCGCAAAGTAGCCGCCACGCCAGGAGGTGCTCGGGTGCTCGGGTAGCATCAGATTGAGTTTGGGGTTCGTTGCCGGAAGACATTTGGTAGCTTGGTGTTAGCACGGCCAAAGGCGGGCGGAGGAACGCTGTGGACCTGGACAGCTGCCGATAACGTGCAGGTATGGGATGGGAGGTTGGGTACCTATGGCCCGCGAAGGGGATGCTAGCGCCTGGGTTGTGTTGGGTGTCGACGAGCAATTTCTGTCGCGGGTGGGTGCGGGACTTCGAGGTTTTGGGTTGCCTGCCTCTCCAACTTGGCCGCGTTCTGTTGTGAATTGCAACTCGACCTATAGCCAGGTAACTCGTAGCCTGTTAACCCAGACCGCAGCGGCGCGCCACCTCATTGCTGCAGCTGTCTGGGACTTTCGATTGTGCGACAGCCGCAGCCATAGCCAAACCATCCTGGGTCGCCCAAGCCCCATCTCAATCGTCCAGCCTCCATTCCATGCCCTGCCGTCACCGAATGTGCCACTCCACTGGTACCTGTTGACTAAGGCAGTCCTCTCTCCCTCCCTCCCTCACTCTCTTCCTCCACGTCGACCCCGATCAGCGCCGCTTGCTCAACTGAGCATCGCATCCTGACGTCGCACTTTCCCTCTCGCTCTTCCCGAGCGAGAATGCTGCCTCGGTTTTGAGGTCGCAACAAAGCCCAACGCCCGCTCGCCAGACCCGTCTCTTGCGTCCCGCCATGGATTCATGGCAGTCGTACTCGGATCCTGCTGGCGCGTCCAGGCGTTATAACGACAGCAGCCAGAGCCAGGCGCAGAGCCAAGGCCAGGGCCAGAACCCGAGCCTGTCGCGGGATTTCAACGGGCTGCAGTCGCAGCAGCACAGCCCGGCGCAGCAGCAGCAACAGCAGCAAGCACCACCATCATCGCAACATCACATTCTTCATCTCCATCAACCGCAGCAGCAGCAACAGCAACAACAACAGCCGCCGCCGCAGCAGCAGGACCATCATCACCAGCAGACGCCCGTGTTCAAATACGACCAGTACAGCCCACAGCAGCATCACCATCAGCAGCAGCAGCATCACCATATCCTCCAGTCCCCAAGCCACAAATCGACAACGTCTCCAATCGGCGCGCCGCAGATACGCGACGGCAACGGCGACGTTACAATGGCGGACGCGAATGAGCAATACGCCGGCATGAAGTACCCGATGCGGCCGCATCACCAATCCCACATGAGCGGCGGTCGTCCTGGCACGCTCCAGTCCCCGCAGGAGGCCTCGGCCGCTGCCCAACGTTACTCCCCCATGGAGGTCATGTCGCCCGCCTCGCCCTATGCGCCCTACACCCCGAAGTCTGCCGCGAACAACCAATTCTCCAACCACACGGGCCAGCGGCAGTCTCCCTCTCGCATTTCCGACTACGGCAGCGCCATGCAGAGTCCCTACCCCCCGCAGAGTCCCTACTACCCAAGCCGCCAGCCGTCGCTGTCACAGCCTCATTCCCACAGCTCGCAGCATCAGCAGCTACCTCCAATCTCGCCTCACCTTGGCGCTCACGATGGCTACCCCCAGTCCGCCATTACCCCTACCGATTCGCCCTACTCCGCAGACCCTAAATCGCCGAGGCGCCCCGTCGCACAGCCTCCTCCAGCTGCCGAAAGAGGCCCTGTCCCCGAGCTGAAGAAGCTAAGGTCGCCTGCGGACCTGCGTCCCAAGATCAACACGCAGCCTCCGTTTCGCAGGGCGAACCCTGAAGGCGGCTTCATAAGTGTACTTGTCCACCCTTGTTTCTCTTTGTCTTCCCTTTGCTCACCTCCCCCTTTGGCATTGAAGCCATTTTTGGATCGGTGAGCCCTTGACTGACCGATACTGCTTTGCATACTCCCTTCACAGCCACTCCAAGCTCTCACTGTACACCTTCCGGCGACCTACAGAATCTGCAACCCTAACTTCAAGTACGAGTCTTCGAGAAACCCCCGTCGAGTCTTGACGAAGCCGAGCAAGGGCACCAAGAACGATGGGTTCGACAACGAAGACAGCGACTACATCCTTTATGTCAATGATATCCTAGGGTCCGAAGAGGCTGGTCACAAGTAAGTGCTGCTGGCATCGGCGTGATTTGGAAAGCGTGTGGGGCTTTAACCAGCGCTTGTGTAGAACTCATGCATGGCTGACTTTTTTTCTCACCTCGCAAAGGAACCGCTACCTTATCCTCGATGTCCTAGGCCAAGGAACTTTCGGGCAGGTGGTCAAGTGCCAAAACTTGAAGACACAGGAGGTCGTCGCGGTCAAAGTCATAAAAAATCGCACCGCGTACTTCAACCAAAGCATGATGGAGGTTTCTGTTCTCGACCTGGTACGTTCAACAACGGCAACATATAGCTCATCACCACGCCCAATAGACAAGCACTATTCCTGGTCTCGGTTCTCTAGGGGCTAAATACTCAGGTATCTGTTGGCTATTCGTGCTGACATGCCATCCTGTCCGACAGCTCAACACAAAACTTGACAAGAACGACGATCACCACCTACTACGACTAAAGGACACATTCATCCATCGACAACATCTCTGCTTGGTGTTTGAGCTCCTCAGCGTGAACCTGTACGAACTGATCAAGCAGAACCAGTTTAGGGGCCTCAGCACGACGCTGGTTCGCGTGTTTGCTCAGCAACTGTTGAACGGGCTGGCGCTACTGAACAAGGCACGGCTCATCCACTGCGACCTCAAGCCCGAGAACATCCTGCTCAAGAACCTCGAGAGCCCCATCATCAAGATCATCGACTTTGGTTCGGCGTGCGACGAGCGGCAGACGGTGTACACATATATCCAGTCGCGCTTCTACAGGTCCCCCGAGGTCCTGCTCGGACTCCCCTACTCGTCCGCCATCGACATGTGGTCGCTTGGATGCATCGTGGTGGAGCTGTTCCTCGGTCTGCCCCTGTTCCCCGGCTCCTCCGAGTACAACCAGGTTTCCAGGATAGTCGAAATGCTCGGCAACCCGCCGAACTGGATGATGGAGATGGGGAAACAGGCGGGCGAGTTCTTCGAAAAGCGATCTGACGAGTTTGGCCGACGGACCTATCACCTGAAGAGCATGGAGCAGTACTCGCGCGAACACAACGCGAAGGAGCAGCCCAGCAAGAAGTACTTCCAGGCCAACACATTGCCCGAAATCATCAAGACCTACCCGATGCCACGTAAGAACATGAAGCAGAGTGAGATAGATCGAGGTACGTTTTGACAATGGCCATTCCCATGCATCATGCCGCCCTCTATGCCGCATCGGTCTTGGTGCGAGATTTAACCCTGCTAACACGGCATCTGCGCACGCGCACAGAGATGAACAATCGGATCGCCTTCATCGACTTCGTTAGGGGACTTCTCACAATCAATCCTCTGGAAAGGTGGTCGCCCCAGCAAGCCAAGCTGCACCCCTTTATCACACAGCAGAAGTACACCGGGCCGTTTGTGCCACCGATGAACCTCAAGTCGAGCTCTCTTAACAGGTCGCCCGCACCGGGGACCCAGCAGCAGCAGCAGGCTGAGGCGTTTAGCAAGCAGCGTGCCCAAGCAGCACAGGCGCAGGCGAACTCGGCCGCTCAGGGGGCATACAACACAATGGGGGCAGGTCAATACCAACAGCCCCAGCCCCAGCCCCAGCCCCAGCCCCAACAACAACAGCAGCCGCAGCAACAGCGCCAGCAGCACCAGCCTCAAGGGCTCGCCCAGCCAACCGCGCCCATGTATCCGAACAACTCGCTGTACTCGCCGGGCGGCAGTGGTCACGCGGCCCCGCCCCCGCCGTATGCGCCAGCCCAGAATGCCTACGGACAAATGGTCATGCCCCAGGCGCCCGCGCAGATGCCGCCGGCAAACTACTCGGCGGTGCCTTTGCAGCAGTCACAAGCGCCCCAGCAGCAGCCACAGTCAAGCCTGTACGCGCAGCAAGCAGCTCGGTCGCGCCAGCGCGCCTCGACGATGGAGCAGCAGCAGAGCGGCATTCCTGCCGCGATCCAGAGGGTAGCAAGCCATCTGGACCCGAGCCAGCCGATCCGACTGCAGCCGAGTCCTGCTTACTACCCTCCGCCAGCCGATGGCGGGTCCCTCATGGACCAAGCCGCGGGTCGCATGGGTTCGGCTCGGAGGGGCAGCCGCGCGCAGCAACAGGGAGGGCGCGGAAACAACAGGGACTTTATCCGGAACCTGGAGGAGCGGACGCTTGAGGAGGGTTTCATGGGCAACCAGCAGAGCTCTTGGCACTGAGTTGCGCAAGAAAGCCGACCAACACATCGTCTTTGCCCTGTCAAGTCGTCGAAACGGGCATTTAGGGCCATGGTGTTGTATGTCCTATTGTTTCTTGTCTTGGTTCTTTCTCCTTTTACTCCCACGTATGTTCGTGAAGTCTAGATGGTCACTAGGCCGTCCGCCGGCGCACCTCATTCCGTCAAAATCATGCCTTCAAAGAGAAATTCAGGTCGAAGCTGTGCCTGCTTTGGCTAGCTCTGCTGCAGCATCGGACACGTACAGGATTGTTGCTTAGCTGCCATCTCGCCCAACATCCCGTTGCAGACACGACCTTTCTGCGTGTGGGAGGACGAGGCGGAAGCAAGGGGGATATGTTTTACATAGAGCCTTGTTCGCGCGCTGGTGGCGGCAGTCGACTGGCGGCAACGTGTAAGGCGGGTGATTATCCTTGGTTGTGTCTGTCGTATCATCCAGGTCGGCAGCATGCCTTGCTGTTGTCGTTTCAACCCAACACTAGTATGTCAAGGGGGGAGGAGTTCCCAAGGACCGGCTTTGGATTCATTACGGCCGCGGCCTCGAGAAGTATGTCAGGGGACTATATGCGTGCCAAGCAACCTCGGTTTAGGGCGGCCGGGGGAGGCAGACTGGTGGCTTTGCTGATATGTGTGTGGCAGGTCTGGAACCGCCGGCCAAGAGCAGGTAGGTACCCATCAGAACATTGGCCAAACGGGATGAGTGGGTGGTGGGTGAAAACCCAAATGCACATCACTACCTAGGCACGCCCACCACAAAAAAGGTGGCAGTATTACAGGTCCCAGGTGTTGAAATTGTTAATGCCATGGACTTTCTTGTTCCTAATTTTTTCCCCTATTATTATTCCTTTTATTATTCTTTTGTCATTTCCTTTCTTACTCGTGTGTTATTCGTATGGCAGCCGTTCTGATGTTGGGTGGGACTGCTATCTTTTTTTGTGGTGGGCGTGCTAGATATTTTGCACATGCTGGGAAGCAGGTGAGGGGGTGGCGTTGGAGGGCGGTCTTGTTGGTATATTTCGTCGGATTGCATGGCCAGGGCGAGATCCGGCACGATATGTGGAATTTATCTACACCTACCGAGGCGCAAAAACATCTTCCGCAGGGCCTCTCTGTTTGATCACAAATGTGTGTGTTGTTGATCGTCAGTCGAGTAGCAACTCTGGGGTATCACGTCACCAAGGCCCTGGATAGGCATATACGGGGAGGCGAAATAGGATCACCCGAGCACGGTATGTGTTGGCGCAATGCAAGGAGGTTCGAGATTTAGGTCTGGCTACCTGAGCAAACGCAATCGCGGCTTGGTCCTCTTCTTGTCCATTCTTCGTTTCCTTTCCTTCCTCCCAATCCCCCGCTTGCAGCTCTTTAAAAGCAAGTTTATACCTACTCCCTGAGCCGCCAGATAGCCAAAATGCCCTTGTGGGCGGCTCTCGACACCTCTCTCCGTGGCGCATGCGCCCCTCAAGGGGCACTCTGGGGGTAACGCACCCCCAGAGAAATGGGGCGGCGCTTCCCTGGCTGGGGTGTAATCTCTCCTGGTTCATTAAAAGCACGTGTTTCTTGGCGCTTGTGCTGCCGCGCAGCTACGAACATAACGGGTATGGGGTTTGCTATTATTTCTTGCGGCGGTGAGCTGCCTGCCGCATATGTTATACCTGTATGCGCCATCGTCCCTGGTATCCGCTGCAGGAGATGGTGCGGAGCCAGGGATTTTGTAGGGCGTCGAAGACCTTGTCGGTGGCCAAGGCCGTGATCCTCCTGTTCTAACAAAAGGAGAGAGCCGCTCGAGGCTACCAGGATGTTGATTGGCTCCGGTCCAAGAGCACGCCGGCGACGACAACAACGGCGAGCGCATCCACATGAATCCTTGCGGTACCGCTTATTCCTGGATGGCTCATATGTGAAACTCTGGTCAGTGCTGTTGTACTGGGTCGGCTTGTCCTAGCGTCCCGCCCCTTTCCAACCACGGTTGCCTTTTTTGCCCTGGATGAGCGAGTCGCTGTACAGCTTGCTCCCTCCGGGTCCGGCATCCGCCATGGGCTCGTCAACGCCGAAGCCATGCGAGCCATCAATGATGTTGCCGTTGACGGCCGACGACGGGGCCGACACCTCCGGGCCGGGGCCAGCTTTGTGGTAGACCTTGAGGAGGCGCCCATCGGCCACTTGGTTGTTGAACTGGTCGATTACGCGTTGTGCGCCGTTAGGGTCCTCGAACACGATCTCGGCGATGATTATGGGGCTCGTCTTGAGCAGGCGGCACCGCGACACTATGCCACCGTATGGTGTGAAGGCGCTCTCGATGTCGGCCGCCGTGGTGCCGGGAGCAAAGTTCTGTGCCATTACTACGGGCGGGCCAGCGAGGCCTCGGATGGAGATACCCCCGCCGCGGTTCGATGTCGTGTTGGCGGCTCGCGTGGTCACGTTGGCAGCCCGCTGGGCCGGGGCCTGGGCCTCATCTCGTGTGAGGGCGAAGGCGAGCTTGGCCGCTCGGCGCTGTTGCTGCGGTTGCTTCTTCGCGCCCTGCTTTCCCGCGCCGGCGGCCCCTGGCACGGTGATGCGACTTGCTAGGGAGCCCTGCGCGGGCGGTCCAGACGCGCCATACAGGTCGTGGACCCAGAGGTCGGGCTGAACGCCAGGGCCGGAAGACACGCGGTACTGCAAGATGACGACCGGAAAACTGTCAGCGCGCGACACGCAGGGGCATGTGGGCGAGGCCACGGGGAGAAACAACGAGGAGAGCAAACGGCACGCACCTTCTTCACGCCGACACGGCTTGCCAGCGAGGCGCCCGGGATTGGTGTCACGGCCTTTGGAGGCGCACTGGCGCGTCTGTCGCGATTGAAGATGCGGGCTGCGAGAGCCTCTTTCTGTTTCCGCTGCCGGTCTGTGGGCAGGTCTACGCGTCAGCTTCTGGAGAGGAAGAAAAAGGAGAGATTGCTGATGGTCGCAGGGGCGACGGCAGCTATCGGGTTGCTGCGTACCGGCATGGATGATCTTCTCGAAATCGGAGGCGTTCTTTTTGGCCATGGTCGCGTCGCGACTTGAGGAAGCAGGGTTGGGTTACACCTTTGGGGCACGAGGATGTGGTTGTGCGCGGTTGAGGCAACCGGAGCGACAGTGCAGAGGCGGCGACTCTGGAAGGTGCGCTTTGCAGTTTGTTCAGGGGACACTGGCGACTGACTGCTCGTAGCGTCAGGAAAACGCGCTCGGGCTGGTCGCATACCATTAATTGGGTGGGGCTTGATCGCAGGTATCTCGACTGCACCAGGTACCTCCGAATGCTGTGTGGGTCCGCGAGCAGCTGAGAAAAGTTCAATGCAGCGAAGACATGGCTGCGCATGGACCGTCCCGCCCGTCGAGGCGGATACCTTCGAAACTGAACATTCCAAAAGCTGAGGATGTGCGAAGGTAGATTAGACCAGGAGGTATCTACCAGATATCTACCGACAACACTTATAAATATCTTACATCGCCTCGTAACGCAAATGGGCATGAATGCAGAGCACATCGGCTATCTGCGTAATCTCAGCCATTCTCGCGCCCCTCTCCCAGGCTGAGTCCATTTTGGCTGTTGTTGCTGTCCTCCCTGGTCGAAAATGGAGGTGATATACCTGCTCACCTCCTCGTTCCGCTCCCGGAGGATTAGGCACGCGGCTGGTGTCGTCATCTTGTCTCGCAGAACCTTGTTGGCCACCGCCGTCATCCGGCGAGCCACCGAAGCAACCGCAAGCACCTCTTTCGACAAGGGCTCCACAGCAGAAGCACCGTCGGTGTCGGCCTTCAACGGCGCAAAGCCCCCCGTCGCCAGTCTCATGGGCTCCCACAACCTGTCCAGCGCCCGGACGAGCTGGTTGCCCAGTACCGCCGCGGCCTCCTTGGTGACCTCCTCCCCTTTGACACGTCTGAACCGATGGTGGGTTGCCGTTGCCACCTCCAGGTAAGCGTTCATCGTCGCCATGTCCGGCTTGCCATGCCACGTTTGGATTGCAACGTCCAAAACCCTCTCGGCATTCTCGAACGCATGCACGTTGAGGCTATCCGCAACGCACGTTCGCATCACGAGCCTCGGGGTCGATACCCACATCGCATGCGCCGGAATTTGTGTCAAGTACTTGCTCGCCTTGGTGCTGGCCTTGCCGTTGTGAAGTGTCATCAAAAGCCGGAACCAGTTGTCGCTATCAGGCTTTACCTCAAGCCGGTCCACAAGCATGTCCCAGTAGCGGGGAGCCAGCGCTGTTTTCCTGGTCGCGCCCAGGCAATGCATGATCATGGAGAGAGAGTTGTTTCCCGGCTTCGCATAACCCTCTGCAGACGGTGGCTCCGGCTTTGGCTCTGCCGGTGGATAGATGCCGTCGCGCCGCCCCCTTCGCGCCTTGGCAGAGTTCGATCTGGATTCGAGGCGAGGAATGCCCATAGTCTGCTCGACGAGCGAGAGGACCTCTTCCTGGGTTGACTTATCTCCAGAAAGGAGCAGCCGGCCCATCGCACACACCAGCGCCTCATCAACCACGACTTTTCCGTGGCGCCATTGGTCCATAATCTCGTCCCAGACACGCTTGCCTCGTTGGATCGAGACGTCGACCTTGGCGTGGTGGGTTTCGAGACGATCGGCGGCGTCAAAGTCGGCCATCTCGGCCGAGGGTTTCAGTGGCAGCTCCTTGACGCGCAGCGCGTTGAGGATCGTCGTATATGTCAGGGCGTTGGGGCTGCGCGTGCCCGTGGCTCCTTGAAGCAGCGTGAAGAGGGACTCGAGGTCGCCGGCCCGGGAGCACACCTTGAGCACAGCATTTAGATGCGCCACATTTGGCTTAAGTCTGTCGCTGTTCAGCATGGTGCTGTATATCCTCAGCGCCTCAGCCACGGCGAGCTTGGGATGCTCAGAAATGGCACATCCACTGAATATTATGGTGTAGGTCTGCGCATTCGGAAGCTGGGCTCGCTTCTTCATCTATTATCGCGACCGGCCGGCTCATGGCGTCAGCGTCCTAGTCCACTCCTTCTCACCCCCGTCCGGAGCGACGCCACGCACCTCGTTGTATAGTTTGAGCGCCGCGTGAAGACGCTGCGTGGTCAGGAGGTGCTCGATTAGATGATTCCAGCTGACGGTGAGTTGGCTAACTTTGCTTGCTTTGCGGGTGAGCAGCAAAGCCTCTTCGAAGCGGCCTCTTGCGATGGCGGCCTGGACATGTCTCGCTATCTTGAAAGGATCGTCGCCGAGATACTGCATGTGCTTCTGCACTATCCATTCGAGGGACGTTGGCCCTCCGGGCGCCGGCTCCATATCCACCCCATCGTTGCGCGCTTGCCGGGGGTCATATAGCCGCTGTACGGCCGTAGCTGAGGTCCTACATGGCTGCGAGCGCAAGGCGGGGGGAGGAGGCCTTGGATCACAGATGTGAGAGGAGTTGCCGAGGATCGATAGATATGTTCTCCTCACACAAGCAATTCTGCAGAGTCTCATTATGGCGCTGGTGGCCCGGGCATGTTAGACGCTTTTAATGAATGCTACCCAAAGAGGGAAGACAACACTTGAGGCGAAGATGGTCGACTTTCATTCAATTCGATTGATGGCAGGCTGTAAACTGTACACCTGAGATCCAATGCTCCAGGCATTTTTTTTCCAACCAAGCAACTTATCGATAACTACTCCCTGTGGGCTGCAGGTGATCCACACATGACGACTATGTGGGGCGGTGTCCGCCGCTCAAAGAGGTGCCCATGGTAGCTAACATGTGCCAGAGAGTCGGGGAAGGTAAGGCTTCCATGGCAGAACCCGTTCACAAAGCGAAGAAATACATAACTATTTATATCCAGCCGGCGTACGAGTGCCAAATCATAATCTACATCTGACGAGACAGGTAACAGGACAACGCACCTACAGAATATATTTGCGCAATGCGAGTTTCGCCTGCCCCTATGTGAGCTTGAAGCTTTAATTTGGGCGCCGTAAAGGCCACATGGCAATCGAACAAGTCAATGAGTTGATGGGATTCAGGAAGAGATGGAGGCTTATTACTGTGCGAGCTTGGAGGTAGCTGCAGAACCATTTACTGCCCTAGTGATAAGGAAATAGACCGTAGCGCCGGAGCGGAAATAGAGCTGAGTAACTCGTTCTTGGCGGAAAGTGAGAAATGCAAAACAATATTGAAAACAGAACTGCCACCTAGGCATGGCCTATTGCCGGCCCCCGAGCAAGCAAAATGCATGTCCATCTAAGCTATGAATCGCTAAGACCTTCCTTCGCCAGCAATATTCGGCTCGAGGTCGGTCCTGAGATTGCGTGCCTTGTTTTTCTGTTTGGTCGGCTGAGGCTTTCGAGGCGCTCCTGCAGACGAAGCGTTGGTTTCGAGGTCGGCATCGGCCAGTGTCGATATCCCCCGCTTGTCTAGTTCGGCGGCCTTGTTGGTAAGATATAGCTCCAGCAGCCAAGCATTGCGGGTGTTGGCTCTGTATACCGCGTCGGCAATATCCCCGACGAAGGGGACGAGGCCGATGACGAAATCTATCATGACGTTGAGCAACATACGAGACTTGATCATCATTGGGAGCCCTCCCTCGACCTTGGTGCACTTCTGGACAAGCATCAGTGCGAGGAGCATGTCCAGGAGATCACCAACCCTGGAAATGAATAGCGCCGTCAGTAACAATACGCATGCGGGAAAGAAGCTGGAACTTTTTGTAGGAACTTACGCAGGGATTAGACCAATCACGGAGCTCCAGCCAAACTTGATACCGCACAAGTTGAAGAGGCTCAAGTCAAGGTGGTGCGCCCGTCTCCGCACCTGCTTCAGAACATCGGCATCGTGAGGGCTCACACCCGGAGGGATGCCTTTCTTTCCGACCTTCTTCCACTGAGTCTCGACCTTGCCTTTCTTGACCACCTCGACCTCCTCATACTCGTAGAAGGGGTCCTGTTATAACATGGTTAGCTGCTAACTCGGGACCTGCTTCGCGTGGGACACACTGGCTGACCGGGTTCCTACCTCTTTGTTGGTGTTTTTCTTGGTCCTGTCCTCCAATGCCTTCTTAGCGGCCAGCTTGACAAGCAGCGAGGCCATGGCGCCGAGCTTAAGTTGACGGGGCGAATGGAGCGGGTGGAGCGTTGTCTCCTTGGCACGCAACTGGCAACAGGTAACGTCTAGGCAGGTAGATTTCCCTCGGCCAGACAGGCGCCTACCTAGGTCGGCAGGTAGCTGCGTGCCTCGCTTGGCCAACGCAGCAAGCTCGCGACTCGTTGATAGAAGATTGGTATGCCTCCTGGGTCAAGTAAAATGTGAAGGCAAAATGGGGATATGGATAGGGGTGTGTATTGCGGCAGCCGAGGACTGGGAGGTAATTATGGAGAGCACAAACACCGGCAGGGTGTTTGGTTGAGTTGGGGCTGGTGGCAGCTTGGCCGAGGCGCTGTGATTCTTATGGAATTTAATGGCTGCCCGTCTGCCCGTTGCTCGATGACGCGCGACCCCCAGGGTAGTGTCCGTCTGGCTGGGTTGGGTGGCAAGCAGCTCGCTGGGCTCTGGGAGGCCTACGCGGCATTCGTGCGGCCCGGGTGGACACATGGGAAGCTGCAACGTGCGCCAGCCTATGCCGTCATGGGAACACCAATCAGGGCATTCATTGGTCTGTCCTTGTGCCTATTCCTGCTTCCCCCAAATGCTCCTGGCACTGCTGATTGCATGCCGGCACGCTGGCCATGATGGTCGGCCAACAAGAGCGTCATTGACACCCATCGGCATGTGCACCGCGTTTCAAGGGGTCAAGCGGGGTGGTGGCTGTACCCAAGTGGCTACCTCCCTCATGCAAATACCAACCCGCCTACGCTACCTGCTTGGTGCAGAGAAGATGCACCATGTGCGATAAATGATGGGGTCTGGTGGCGGCCTCATTTGTGTGGCTTGAGAGGCACCGAGGTGGGGGGATTCAGGAGCATGAATGTGGGGGGTGTCCACTTGGCTTGGACAGGCCAGGTCCGAGAGCTGTGGCTGGAACAAGGCTGCCCAACTTTGTCGCCATCGCCATCGCTGTCGGCAAACTCCAACCCTTCGTCGCAACTGCGAGCCACCAATTGCGGGCGTTGTTCGGGCCACATAGCTGCCAACACCAACAAAGCGAACACGGGCTTTTGCTTCATTCTCTTAGATATTCGCGGCGGACCCGACTGACACGTCGGCACCAACGGGTGAATCAACCCTTTGTCAATCCGACTTAGTCACTCGTTTTGCGAGACATCGTCACCGCAATCTTCCCTTCCTGGCTGCCTCAGTCCTGGCATTTCGTCGGCTCGACAACTGCGAGGATCGCCCGACGCTTAAATACAGATTACGGCCGCTACCGCTGCCCCCCACGGCTTATTGTATCTTCTCGTTACAGCTCCTTTTTCGACAGTCATTTGGGCGGAAGGGCTTTCTTCTTCGGTTGATTTCTTTTACTCTCTTAGTTCTTTCCATCTCATTGCTGCCAACATTCTTGGAGGACCACACCAAAGGCTATTCAGCCGGGAACCGGCCCCGCAATCTACCTACCTTCGCTACCTGCAATCTACCTTGTCTCGGTGCCTCGCCGCTACCTCGGTGACAGACTCCCGCAACCGACTGGAACGACAGGGCGCCAGCGCTCAGGCGGCTTAAAGAGTGGCTTAGGTGGGAAGAGGAGTAAAATATACCGTGGTTTTGATATGCCCGTCCCATTATGTCAAGATGGCAGAATCAAAAATGGAGCTTGAAGACTGTAGGTTGAGCACAGCGCAGAGAGGAGGCTGGCCTTACGCATAGACGAGGTCAAGTAAGTGAGCCGGCAGTATGCTGACAAGCTCCTAGGGTTGGACGACCTGTGTGTCCGCTTTATCATCAACCTCCCGGCCGAGGACCTCTCGTCAGTCGCGCGAATATGCTTCCAAGTCGAGGAGGCCCAGTGGTTCTACGAGGACTTCATCCGTCCGCTAGATCCCACCCTCCCCTCCATGACCCTGCGCGGCTTCTGCCTCAAGATATTTCAGCACTGCCCGCTTCTCGCCTCGTTCCCCGTCGAGAATCACATGCGCGCCTTCGAAGAGTTCTTACAGTACAAAACACGCGTTCCCGTCCGGGGCGCCATTATGCTCAACGAGGCCATGGACTCGACTGTCCTTGTCAAGGGCTGGAAGAAGGGCGCAAACTGGAGCTTTCCCCGTGGCAAGATCAACAAAGACGAAGACGATCTTGACTGTGCCATCCGAGAGGTGTACGAGGAGACGGGCTTCGACATCAAGGCTGCCGGGCTCGTGCCGAGGGACGACCAAGTAAAATATATCGAGATAAATATGCGTGAGCAACAGCTTCGCCTCTATGTTTTCCGCAACGTCCCAATGGACACCCACTTCGAACCCAAGACCAGGAAGGAGATCAGCAAGATCGAGTGGTACAAGCTCTCGGAACTGCCTGCGTTCCGGAAGAGAGGCGCCAACCACCGGGACGACATCGCCGCGGCAAACAACGCCAATAAGTTCTACATGGTGGCTCCCTTCCTAGTCCCTCTGAAGAAATGGGTTGTTCAGCAGAAGAAGCGGGACGGCCGTCTTCAACCTAGCGTTCCCGGCCTAGCTACACAGCCCATTCATGAGGAGCCCTTGACTGAGGACGACGCGGCCCTGGGCTCGGCCTTCCCGCTCTCCGCCACAGTCCCGGCCATCGACGCATTCGAAGGCGCCACCCGGGAGCTTCAGCGGCGGCTTAACGTGCAGCCACCAACCCAAGAGGATCTGTTGCAAACCTCCCCTGCCGACTCCACCGCCGCGGCCGATCCAGGTCAGGCCAAAGGCAACGCCCTGCTTGCACTCCTGCAATCGGGGACTAGATCATCTACTAGTCCTGCGACTGATACTCATGTCAACCCTCTGGGCCCTATCACGGCGCACTTTGCCAGCCCCGGGCTAGTACCGGGTTCGGGCCACGTGGCGTCCTCAACAGGACACCATTATACACAGCCCCCACCCTATCAAGGCGCGCCTCCTGCGAGCTTCCAGCTCGGCCCGGGTGTTGGCGGAACCCCCTCCCATCCGCCCGCCCTTTACGGAGGAGCACCGAATCCGGGGGGCAGACAGGATCAGGCCTTACCCCCTCCTGGATCCTATGTTCCGGTGCCATATCAGCAGCCTGGGATGTCGCTCAACGCGAGTTCTCTTCTTCGCCAACTCCAGAACCCTGTGGCACAAAACGAGCGGCCTGCCTATCACGGCCCTCCTCTGGGCCCTGAGATTCACCACAACCAGGCCCAGGCCGGCTTCCCGCAGAATACTTCTCCGACCCAACCCGATCCACACCGCAGGCAGCCACTCCCGCAGCTGAACAACCATGCCATGTCACTCCTGAGCGCGTTCACGACTAATAGCGCCCGAGGCCCCGACCCAGGGCATGCGAACCCTCCCGTTCCAGAACAGGCACGCGATGTTATTAAACCTTCAGGGGTGGCCCCCATTGGGAATTCAGCCATGCCAGGCGAGCCCTCGGGCCCTGCGTCTTTCCAACCCCCGAATCAAACGCAGCCCTTCAGTGACCAGCACAGAAACGCACTTCTAGACGCGTTCAAATCGCAAAGCCAGGCGCCGCCAACTAAGGACGTGCCCTCGCACAACGCCAGCTCCACATCGGGGGCGTCAGAACCGGCAGGGATCAACCATGGCCGTGTTCAGGCGGATCTGGGCGTGAACCTTCCGTTTGGCGCTCTTAAACTACTCAGTCGACCCGAGGGGCTGCGTGGTGATGCGCCCGTAGCTCCAATCGCGATGCCGGCGTCCACTGCCGCGGCTCAGGCCCCTGGGATAATTGAACCAACCAATCCCAACGCGAGGCAGTCACCAGTCCCCTTGCCATCTACCAACGCCCCCGGTCAACCGCCGACTGCTGGCCGTGTTTCTGCACCGCGGGCGGCGCGCTCTCCCATCCCGCAACGCCTGGACGCAATTGCCGGCCAGAAGAATCTGCTGCTGTCGCTATTTGCGAGGGCCCAGACCCCCTCGCAGGCCACTTCAAGCGCTGTCGGGGGAGCAAAGGGCAAAGAAACGGCCGAGTCACAGCCGACCCCTGAGATCGCCCCCAGGGCTGCCAGCATTGTTCATCCTGGCTCGGGTGTGGCCAGATACGCGTTGCCTTCGGTCGAGCCCATCTCTCGCCTGGGAGCCCAGACGCCCATGTCGACGGCGGATCGGAGTTTTCTTCTTGGTTATCTGCAGTCTGTGACGACCAATAGGCCGGGTCAGTGAGCAGTAGTATTGTGTTTGGATTGCATGATGGAGCCTCTGCTCGTTTGGGCCAAGGAGCGGTGAGAACGAGAGCAACGAAACCCCCCCCCCCCCCCTTTTTTTTTTGGTTCTTCTTATCGTCCTGTATTGTTTCCATCGTTTTATATCACGCTCTCTTATCCCTACTATCTCTCATTTTCTGTCCTTGTTTTAAACACATGGCAGTCGGCGAGACTACAATTTCCGAATTGGCTCCAGCCGTCGTTGCTGTCAACCATGAATTAATGACCTTGGTCACGGCTTCTAGTACTGGCGACCTGTTGTCTATGCATGATTGTCTCCGAGGCTTCGAGATAACAAGCGTTCGTCGGTACGCCATCTATAAATCACCAAGCAAATGCCCTACTGTCTAGCCCGCGGGCGTCATGGAGGCCAGTCTAGGGTGCTGCGTCTCCAGTGAGGTTGGTGAAGCATCGCCTCGCGTACATTCCGGAATAGCAACCGAGCGTGTTTTCATAGGCAGCTTTCGGGTGTCGCTTATACGCAGCTCCGTAATTGTCTAGTGCAGATAGCGAGGTTCGTGGGCCAACAAAGGGTTGTTTTCGGTTGCGACAGGAACACAATGGACGACAAGACCAGGGTCCTGGCACGACGCGCTTCAACTAGCGCTGCCGTTATGTCGACGTAGACGGGCGCGCACATAGGATTTAGACACGCAAAACGAATCGATATGCTTGGCGATTTTGGGGTTGACATGGCAAGCTACCCCTTAAAGAACCGCATGCGTATGAAATGAATAAAACATCAGGTGACGTGGGTGTCTTTGCCCTCCTGACGCCGTCCATAAGCGATATCTCGACAAACCCTGCTGCATTCCCGCCTCCAATACCAATGGTGGCACGTGGAAAGGTCCACAGAGCATGAGAAAAATACACGGACAAACATTAGAGTGAAGCAGGGGAGAAAAAGAGCTATCTGAAACGGCCGGACCCATGCCTCGGCGTGGTATCTTTCTGCCTTATTCCGTCTATGACCGATAACTAGTTATGCAATGATACCAACAGCCTCCTTGGCCTGAGCAAAGCTTGGTGCGGCATCGTCGTCTTCGTCGTCGTCCATATTCAAAAGATGGAAGCGGTTTGTAATAGCACTCGCCGGCTTCTTGGCCGGGGGCGTCTCCTTCCGAGGCTTGGGCGGCCGCGCTCTATCCAACGGCTGGGCACATTCATCAACGTCCCAATCAATCTTGGAACCCTTGAATTTGCTATGGGGCACGCGGGTCGGTCAGTTCTGCCGCATCAGGGGCGGTGGTGTTGGCCGATGGACTGAATCAACTCACAATCGGCTCATCATGCAAGTCCTGGCAAACATGGCATTGTGCACCGAGTTCGTGCTAATGTAGCAAGTACTCCCGATAAAGGCAACCTTGACCACAACCAGATTGTGGATGTGGTCAAGGTCCTCGCGGAGTGCCTGTTCGGTGATGCGGGAGTCGCAGCGGCGTATGACGAGGTTCCGCGTCGCCCCCGAGCCGATCTTGCTCGCAACGTGACCAGCAAGAATAAACTGGCGGTCGTTCCACCGCACCTCGACACGCTTGTTCCTGACGTAAAGGTCGTTTCTCCTGCAGTGTTCCAAGAAGGCCCGCGCGTCCTGAGCGTGTAGGAACGAGACGGTGGCAGAGCGGTCGTGCGGGCGCATAAAGATGTCGAGCAGCATGCCGCCACGCACAACAGCAGTGATGTCAGCGTGTGTCGCGCCATCTGGAAGGTTCGACATCTGGATGGTTCGGCTGCATTGCCGTTCGTACGTGGGGCGCCCGGCGCCCGGCGGAAACTCGCCGGTGGACATGCCGTTTGTCTGATCCGTGAGTACGTCACCGGGTAGCGATAGCTCCTCGTGCGCGCCGTCGGCCTCGGACCAGTCCTGGTCCTGGTGGGTGCCTACCATGAAACCAAGAGGGGTCCCATATCTGCCGCTCCCAGGCTGGGTATGTGGTCTGTGGTTCATCACGGCGGGGTTCGCAGCAGGCCCATGGCCGGGAGTGATCCTGGGCTGCACAGGGGCCTTGTTTTCCTCACGTTGCGCCGGTAGCACTCTCGAAGATGCATCGTCTTGGATGGTGGCATCGTCCTGGCTAAGGAGCTGCGAGATGTAATCATTGGAGGCACGACCGCCCACCCCTCTCTCGTGTCAGTACCAGCGGGCCAGTGCTAGGATTGTAGTCCGGGTCTGAGGACCCGGGGACTCATTAACATGGAAACGACGCACCTCGATCGTAGCCTCCTCAAGACCGCCGCGCACTAGGTTCTGGCGTAAATTGGCTAGCAGACAGCGAATATCAGTCGGGGGTGCCTTTGTGGGGGACGAGCGGGAGCGACAGCACGCACCATACTGCCGGGCAGTCCGGGCCAGAGCCTCATGGTCGGCCCTGGAGACGGTGATAGCATCGTTGGGCAGCGAGTGCGAGACGGGGACATCCGAAACGTGCTGGTTGAGGCGGCGTAATGGGCAGAGGTCAGCAGGGCCCTGTCAAGGCAGGGGGTGACAGGTGAGGGGACAGAACAAACTCACAAGCTGGGCGCTGCATTACATATCGGATTGGGCGGTGGGGGGAGGGGGAGCACATGGGTTGCTGGTGTTAGCCTCGGAGTATGCATCGGAAGCGGGCCATGAAGCTGGTGCCAGGACGGGGAGGCCTGGGGCGAAACGGCAGAGCGATATTTGTCGGGGCCTCGATGCTTGCTTACCGGCGGACCAGAGTGTCAAAATAGCGCCGCTCGACCGTGACGGTCGCGACGTTGCTGTTGGGCCCCATCTCGCTGGCTCGCTGTCGAGCGGCGATGGACGAGGACGGGAATCAAGAGAGTTGCGGATGCTTCCTTTGCCGGGCAGCATGGGCAGGGAAGGGTGGGGTGAATTGGAAGCGTTGCCGGCTCAAAATGGATAGCTCAGGTGTAGGCAGGCTGGCCTGGGCGCCATCTGACGGCCGCCTCCTGTCTCGTCTAGTGCTTTCCAAACGCGCACCAGTCTGGCCCAGGGCGCTCGCTTTCACGTGCAGGCCGCAGCGCACAAGGCACCCGCCGTGCAGCTCTGGAAGTTGCCATTGTATTGGGGTAAGTGCGTGCAGTGTTGGCTCCGCGCTGGCGCTTGGCCAAGCGCCAAACAAATTCCATGTCAGTCACTCGTGCTGGGTCCAACCCAGCACGGCGAACTCCCCTCGCGCCCAGATGGAAACAGGCGAATCTTGTTTGCTCGTGGGTGAATCTCGCCAGCCTCCTACAGTGGGGATCAACAAATATCGACCAAATCGGATTTCCCCATACTAAAACCCCCTAAACTCTACATCTTTACATCCAAAAAATTCATACAATATAAGGCTAAAAATAAAAAATAAAAATGCGAATATATAATTAAATTCCTAAAATTTATAATGGCTTTTTCCGGTTTTTAATAACTGTTTCCGTTATTTAATTATGGATTTTTAAAAATAAAAGCAAATATTTTTGCTTTGCACTAACAATTTTTTTAGCGGGTCGATCCGCTGGAACCCGTTGAAAAATAGCGGATTTAGCGCTAAGCAACCGCTAAATTACAGCGGTTGAAAAAAAAAAATTTAAAAAAAAATTACAACGCAAATAACTTTTCAATTATATCAATTACAAAGTCGAAAAAAATATAACTAAAAAATTTAAATTTTATTTAGTATAAATAAAATTTTATATAAAATATTTATATATTAATTTTTATTGTAAACGCTATTTGTAAATATAGTGCTGCATAGTAAAACGCCATATGTTAAGGCCCAAAATAAAACTTGGCCGGTATTTGTTGACGCTAACTGTAGGAGTCTGCAGCCGCGCCGTTTCCGTCTGGTCCAAAAACCAGAAACCAGAAACCAGAAGTCCGGCTGTGATTCACGGCAAACGTACTACATACTTACTAGGACATGACAAACGTTCAAAGGCTCCGTTGCCAACCAATATATCTCAGTTCCAAGCAGCGTCCCACATCTCGAGCCTGTTCGTGTCCGGCACATCGTCCATCAGCCCAGTCGGCAGCGTCAGCCTACATACCCAGCACCGGCACCCGCTCGCTATTTTGGGTAAGCCCGCGTGTTGGCGGTGCTGTTTTGGACGCAAAGGGGCGATGGGCTACTCAGAAAACAATGGGGCACCTTCCAGCGAATACGGGGTGGGAGCAAATCCTCGCACCTGATGGGCAGGAATGGGTCCCCTGGCACGCCACCCTGTTCGTGCCCCTGTGACGGTGTCCTCACGCGTACGCACTGTCCGCGTCTGCGTGGGATTTCTCGTAGGCTGAGCTGCTCATGCACGGAGTGCCTGCACTGGACGGTGTTTCCCGCTAGCCTGGGGCTTTGTTGTGACCCCAGTGCCCCCCAATACGAGCCCCGGTCATCCAATTGCCAAGTTTTCCTTCTTCTTCCTCGTCGCTCCCTGCGCTCCTAGACCCTGCTTATAATGACTCGGCCCCAATTCGCATGAAGCCTAACCCCCGACCAAGCTGAAATTCATCCCTTTTCCTCTTCGCCAGCACCAACAGAGAGCCTCATTCCAGCCATTAACTTGGTCGGGCAGTCACCCAGGATCTTGGTCAATATACATTCGTTTGCTAGGCCTCAACTTTGTTTGAGCCACTACAGTCGTTCGTTGCTGGGTTTTGTCCTTATTTTTCTCACTCCTCTCTCGTCTTTGTTGTTGTTGCTCCCAGTCGAGTCCGTCCTGCCCGTCTCGGACCTCCGCCACGCCTCACTTCTCTTAGACCGACAGACCGCCATCGAGCGTCGAAGCAGCCATCTGGCTTTGGGAAGCATATAGAACAGCGCACAAAAGAAGGAGGTGGAAATACAGAAAGCCTTTGTTTTCTTGTCCGATTCTCGCCACTCTCGTCCCGAACCTTGCTGCACGCCTACCTGTGTAGCCAACACCCACGATCAAACATGCAGCCACAACACGCCTCTCTGCGGCTCGCTGCTGCTTTCCTGACGGTGTGCACGCTGGCCTCGGCTTGGCCAGGATGGCTTCCTGAGGCTAATTCTCTGGTGGTTCGTCAAGATACTGGTGGTACGTACTTGCATTTCCCGCATCCATCCTTGGTGCTTCTCCCTACTAAACAGCCACTGTAGCCCCGGCCGCAACGGCGACGCCCACGGGAACCACCAGAGCCACCGGCACCAGCGACTCGGACAAGGCTGGCATCACACCCCCGCCCAACGGGAACTCGACCAGGCCGGCCAACGGCAACGGAACCCGACCCGAATTCGACCCGCGGGATCCCGCCGGTGGCGTGGCCATGATCACTCCTGGCCCCCTGGACGGCACGCAGCTGTACAAGGTTGGCGACTACGTGACGTGGGCTTGGAACTACACCAGCCTTCAAGCCAGCCCTACCGCCATTGACGTGCTTGTCAGCTGCAGCGCCGCCTCGCGTACCTGGACTTTGACTCAGAACATGACGTTTGCCACGCGCGCCGACTTCGTGTGGGATACCAAAGACAACAAGGGCTCCCCATACCTGGTCCAGGAGTACACCCTTCTTATCCACGACTCGGACACGGCCATGACCCAAAGGGCCGAGGCTGGATATCTGGCACCCTACTCGGGCTTCAAGTTTGGCGTCTACACCGGACAGGAGTACATCCCCATGGCCTCGGGATGGAAATGTGTCTCGTGCAGCGGCGCCGCCTCGACCATGGACAAGCGCGCCCTTGGCGTTGCTCTGACCACGAGCGTCATAACCGTTGCGGCCTTCACGTGGTTCGTCGCTGGCGCCGTCTTCTGAGACGCTCAATGTCCTCCATGCCTGCTCGAGCCGCTGCCTCGATCAAGTTCATGGCATCTGCTCCCACCACCGCCGAGATTCAGTTCATCTAGCCCTTCATTTTGGAAATCAAGGCACCTCACCATATGCAGTCTGACGACCATCATGGCATGTTTCACTATATAATCAATAATCCCCTTCCCCCCTTTTCTCTATCTGCATCCCGCCTCAACTTCCGTCTTCCGTCTTTTCACGTCGGTTTTCATATACATGTTTTTTTTCACGGAACACACCAAAACATCAGGGGGAGAGCGAACGAGGAGTGATATCTACCCGGGAGCTTCTTGATTCACGTGGGCGGCGTTTTCGGCACTTTCTCAGCTATCATGTTTGGCTTTCAGAAGAGATGTCACCGGGTATATAACTTGCATTTGCGGCAACGATGGTGGAGATGGTCGGCGCAGAGATGCCGCCGGGGCAACCAGTCCACTCGCTAAAAAGAAATCGGGGGGATTCGTGGTTTGGTCCTTTTTCGGTACTGTTATAATGATGACGATGAGCGAGCAACTTAAGAATCGAGAATTACAAGGAATCAAGAGGCAATCTTGTACCCCTCTCACTCGCCCCCGTCTCTTTGGAAATCCGAACGCGGGCGTGAAGGTTTGCCCGTGTCAATATGCATGTCCAAGATGGCTTCAGTTTATACCATTCGAAGCGAGAAGCCGCCACCTTTTTCTTCGCGCTCACGCCTCGCAAAGATGCCGCTAAAGTCTACATCGCCCAGGTCTGCGACCTGGCGGCCCCGGACAGGGGCGTTGGGCGTGTCGCGGCGCCTCCGCCTCTCCAGGCCGGCCTTGCTGGGGAAGGTCGGGAACATGGTCTCCCGCTTCGGCTTCGGGTCCTGCTTAAAGTAATCGTGCGTCAACATGTCCTTCGCCGTCAGCCTCCTGGCCGGGTTGAGCGAGAGCAGGCCCGAGAGCAGGGCGCTGCCGGCCGCGGTGAGCAGCGGGAACTTGGCCCGTATCAGGGAGCCGGTGGGCAGGGAGGCCGGAGGCAGGCGCAGGGACCGGGCGTTGGGCAGGCGGCGGAAGCCCGGCCACGTGTCCTCTGTCGGGACGCCGCACAGCTCAAAGATCTTTGTGAGCTCGTCCACCTCGTTCTTGCCCTGGAGCAGGGGTTCGCGCGTGAGGAGCTCGCCGAAGATGCAGCCGACGCTCCACATGTCGACGGCCTGGCCGTAGCTGGCCGTGCCCAGCAGCAGCTCGGGCGCGCGGTACCACAGCGTCACCACCAGCTGCGTGAGCCTGGGGGGCGGGTCGCCGACGTACCTGGCCATGCCAAAGTCCGCTATCTTGAGCTGCCCGCGGTTGTTCATCAGGAGGTTGGACGTCTTGAGGTCGCGGTGCAGGATGAAGTTGTCGTGGAGGTAGCTGACGCCTGACGCCAGCTGTATCAGGAGCGTCTTGATCTCCGAGGCCAGGAAGGGCTCTGGCATGTCCTCCAGCACGCTCTTGAGGTCATGTTCTAGGAATTCGAGCACCAGGAAGATGCTGCAAGGCTTGTCAGTATGTGTTTCTTCTTTTTTTCGTGTGCGTAAAAGTGGTCAACCCGCTACCCCTGGCAGACAAGAGGGGGAAGGGAGGGAGCGGGAGGTTTGGACCGACTTTTCTATCCTGCTCGTATCTTCCCCCACCACGACATCGTGTATCGTCACCACATTCCGGTGGTTGCAATCTCTCAGTATCTGAATCTCGCGAAGGCCCGTAACGGGGAGGCCGCTCCGGTTGTTGGCATCGACCTTTAGCCTCTTGAGCGCGACAATCTTGCCCGTCTTCAGCTCCTTGGCTCTTGCCACCCATCCGTAGGCGCCCTCCTCAATGTCGTTCAGCTTGTCGAAGCCCTCGACGCTGCCGCACCGACTGAAGTTGCGGACGGGCGCGCGCAGCAGCTTGTGGGCGCCGCCGTCCCCCTCGCTCTCGTTGTTGCCGTCGCCGCCGTCGGGGGCTGGGGTGAGGCGACGCCGCTTCGCCGGGGGCCCGTCGCCGCGGCCGGCGCTTCCAGGGTCAGCAGGAAGGTGGTCAGGTGCGGGCCCTGGCTGTGACGTGGCTCGGGCGGCTTCCTCGGCCTTGCGTTGCACCGCCTTCTCGGCCTTGAGGCGGCGTTTGGTCTCGCGCTCCTGCTTTGCTCTGGCCGAGTCCTCCTCGCTAACGGCCCAGCGCGAGGTCTTGCTAGCCATGGTGGGGAAGGGCTGCAGCGGGTTCGATGTCGATTGGGGGGGGGCCTCGGCACGAGCGGCAGCGTGTGATGGTGCAAGTCGCGGTGGTGCCGCTGGGGCGTGAATGCGCCGACGGCAGGTAGAATGACATGGGCTAGTGCCCCAGGCCCCGCTATTTCGTGCGCCACACCACCATCAGGTCGGACGACCTCAGCTGCAGATGGTGCCAAGCTGCAGGCACATGCAAAAGAAGACGTCGCAGTTGAGCTCCACAGGCAAAACGTTCAGAGCTTAGGTCCCTGTACCGGAACGCGGGACCCTAGCTGCCGTTGTGGGCAGCATCCATGAAGCTTGTCGTTATCAACATCTACAAAGACTGACAGTCGTTACCCTGCAAACCCCTTGTTGAACCAAGCCTTTTCGAAATGGAATCTTGGGCTTAGAAGTAAACATTGGGCCATGTTCGCTCGCTCGATCATGTTCAGGCACGGCGTGAGGGCCCTCTGTCGCCGTCCCAGGACGTTGGCACGGTCTCTGCCACCGTTGGGCCTGCGTAGCTTCACGGCACCCACACTCAACTGCCGCCAAGAACAGCAGCAGGAGCAGCAACATCACCAACAAGGACAGCAACAACAACAACAACAACAACAACAACAACAACATCAACATCAACAACCGGGCGCTCAGGAGAGAAAGTGGTCAACACCACTGGCCGAGCAGCTGGCTGCCGCCATCTCGGTACGTCGGCCAAACAGCCCTCCCACACGGCTCAGTCCAGTCCGCTCTCGTCATTAACCAGTGGGGGTGCTCCGGTCCACGAGCAGGCTACAGGGCCGGTCCCGCTTGCGAGTTTCATGCGCATGTGCCTGACATCGGACCTGGGTGGCTACTACACGGGTGCCCTCGAGGACGGCCGAGACCAGTTCGGTGTCAAGGGCGACTTCGTCACGTCGCCCGAAGTTTCCCAGGTATTTGGCGAGCTTATCGCCATCTGGTTCGTTGCCGAATGGATGTCTCAGGGCCGCCCTGCCCGTGGCGTTGAGCTCATCGAGCTCGGCCCGGGCAGGGGCACTCTAATGGACGACATGCTTCGGGTATGTTTTTGTACTGCTGGACTCCCACCCTGTTGCCCCTGCCTGCTAACCGCGCCCTCGATAGACGCTGCGTAGATTCGGGAACATGGCCCAAACCATTGATGCCGTCTACATGGTCGAGGCCAGCCCTGAGCTGAGAATGTCTCAGAAGAACCTGCTCTGCGGAGAAGATGCGCCCATGGCGGAGTCCAAGGTTGGCTACCACAGCGTCTGCAAGCATATGGTGATCCCAATCGTCTGGACAGAGACTGTCAAATCAATCCCCTACGGTGAGATGGCCCCTCCCTTCCTCCTCCTATTCTTCTCACTTCCCCCCTGCACCTGCCCCGCGCTCGCACAGGTGACTCCTAACACATCCTCTTGGCTCCCGTCACCAGACGCCACAAAAACTCCCTTCATCGTGGCGCACGAGTTCTTTGATGCGCTGCCCATCCACGCCTTCCTCAACAGGCCAGTCGCGTCTCCTCGCGAGCCTTCTGACGCGCCCGCCGACAAGCCTGGCAAGCCAGCGCTTGAGTGGCGTGAGATGATGGTATCTCCATCCCCTCCGGGGTCGACGCACGACAGCCTCAACACACCCATGAGCCTGCGCGGGAATACGCCACCGCCAGACTTCCAGATGACACTGTCTCCCGTGGCAACGCGGCACTCGCGATACCTTCCCGAGTCATCCCCGCGGCTAAGGGCGTTGAAGCAAATACCGGGTGCACTGATTGAAGTGTGCCCGGACGCGGCGCTATATGCCTCAGACATAGCACTGCGCATCGGCGGCTCGGTCAAGCATCCCAAGGATCGCCCTAGCGGTGCGGCGCTCATTCTCGACTACGGCCCGGGGGACGGCACAGTGCCCATAAACTCGCTTCGTGGCATTCGCCGGCACCGGCGCATCAGCCCCTTCGTTGAGCCTGGCCTCACGGATCTGAGCGTTGACGTAGATTTTACTGCTATAGCCGAGGCGGCCACACGAGCCAGCGAGGGTGTCGAGGTACATGGCCCCGTCGAGCAAGGAACTTTCCTGGAGACGATGGGCATCCGGGAGCGGGCCGAGGCATTGGCCAAGGCTATCGGGCCAGATCAAGCCAAGGCCGCTGATGTCGAACGTGCCTGGAAGAGGCTCGTTGACCGCAGCCCGAACGGCATGGGCAGGATATACAAAGTCATGGCTGTTTTGCCAGAGAACAATGGAAACCGCCGCCCTGTCGGGTTCGGCGGCGATGTGGCTGTGTAGCCCCTTTTCTCTGGATGTAAGCATGTGGCCTCTTTGGGTCCTTGTATCAACGACGTCTGGTCTGAGCAACCGTCTCCCTAAAGTTCCTACCCTTGAGCTCTGCTGCTGGTTTACTCACATGAACAAGGGCAAGCCCCAAGTGTTGCTCATACGCAATGCATATAAATGTATTGAGATCACGTATCGTATATCTCTATCAGTATGTGTTTGAAGATGCTCGACCAGACTTCGCCATTGGGAGAAGTTCCCACTGCATTATTTATACACTGGCACTGCTCTTAGGCATGCTTATCTCCCATCTGCCCGTACGTATCTTCCCCTTCTTCGGTATTCACTCTTATTTCCCATTGTGGCGGTAGCTTGAAGTCTGAGATTCGGTGGGAGAAGCATTGTCAGGCGCAGCCGTCCGCAGTTGCTTGATGAGCAAGCCAGCAGTCAAGAAGACGAGAACCGCAAGCATCTCCATGCAGACGTCCATGCCGATGAGGTAGTTGTAGTACGAGGGGCCGGCGTCGAACCAGCGAAAGTTCCTGTTGGAGGAGCTGTACGTCGCGACTGCCGAGTATACAATACGGACAGCGATGAAAGGGAGCGCGAAAGCAACAGCGCCTAGAACCCGGCGTTCGCCCGTCTCTATGGACCGTGCTTGAAGCGACAGAGCGATGGTGGCGCCGACCAGGATGCCGAAGCCGGCCAGCATCAAGCCGATGCCAGCCTGCGACTCGGTCGGGATCTGCAGGGAGCCGAGACCGTCAGATGTGCCGCCGGGCTGGGCTTCAAGGTCGCCGATCTTGTCGCCCAACTTGTTCCCTCCGATGATGGACAGGATGAGGCCGATCATGACGACGACCTGGAGCAGCCGGAAGACGCGATGGGGGAGGCCGGCCTTGCTGGTGCTCTTGGTAATGTTCGCCGAGACGCGGCCAAGGAGCCCGACAGAGACGAGGATCAGGGGAGAGAGCCCGGCGGCCTGCAGGGACATGGCGCCGACGATGAGGCCGATGTTGTCCGGGTTGTTGATGGTGGCGAGCTGCAACGAGGCCGCGAGCAGGCGAATGACGGAGAATAGGATCAGGTAGAGCCAGCCCGACGAGCGCTTGAAGCCGTGCCGTATGGCCAGCACGATGGCCACTGCCAGCGACGGTGTGTACACGCATATCTCGGCGATCGAGATGCGGTTGTGCGTGGTTAGTTGGGCCATTATTGCTGTGGTGGGATCGCTGCGTCTGAAGGAGGGGTTGATGTCACGACGAGAAGAGCAGTAAAGTTATGCAGGCGTGTAAGACTGAGGGAGCGCGCTGGTGAGAGGAGCTTGCAAAGCAATGATAGCTGAGGTTATAGGGGCAGTAACTGAACAGACTGGACAGCCAAGGCGGATGTGAGCCAAACTGTTTTCCTCTTGGCCACACTTGCCACTAGGCGAGCATGTCTTTATAGCTGCCGCCCATCAGCGTAGCCATCCTCTACATCACCAGGCTCAGACGCTTGCATGGCCGGGCTGTGAAGATGAGGTAGCCAATGCCCCCATGGCCCCGCCAACCGCACATCACCGGGCTGGTATAGGCACTCTAATCCTATATGCCTACCACCGGCCGCCCTAGCACGATGCGAGGCCTTGAGCGCGCATAGCCAATACTGGTCCAGGGCTGCTCCAAGATGTGCCACTAGCTTAAACTATCAGGCTACGTCTGACGCCGCTAATCAGCCACCAGCGTGGGGTTAGGGGGCAGGGTTTGGGCTCCTTCACATGCCCACTGAACGGCAGTGACAGCCACACAACCGCGCGGCTGTGGATCTGCCGGCACCTCGCTTTCGCTTGGCCGTCGCTATCGGGTTCGCTTTTGCACCTGATAGGGCAGCCTACCTCAGGCTACCCATAAGCACACCTACGGCATGTACCTAGGTAAGCAGCTAGGCGCGTTGATGGGCTGGACATGGATCAGCTTCGTCGAATACCGGACCGAACCGGGGACTTCCAGGAGGAGTGGATAGGTAAGGTGACAGCGCTACGAAGGCAGTAGGCAAATGCAACGTGCCCCTGCTTACCCAAGTTGGGAGTTTAATGAGGTCTAGTGTTGAGAACGGGTGACGTTGGTTTGGAAGGACTCTCATTCATTGCCTGGGCTCATCGTGCACACACACTTCCTTTCCTGTTCTCAGTGTTCGTGGGTTTCTGTTTCTCTTATCGAGACCACAAGTTTTGTGTATCTCGGCCAGTCCGGCTGCACAGTTTACACGGGAACGAGGTCTCCTCTCCAGCTTTTGGTGATTGCAGAAATCCGAAAATAGCAGCGACGATCACCTCCCTGTAGCTGTAGCTGCACCTCTCGTTGGCCAAGCCCTGGCCTCACAGCCACCGACACCATCCAATTCGGCCGATTCAGAGCGATGGCGACACCTGACCTCGGCCTGTCTTTTTTCTCTCTCTCCCTTTTCCAGCGTCATTTTGCCCCGGCATAGGCAAGCTGAAAGAAACCGCCTGGCTGCGCCACCCGGTCGCGACGGCTCGTCCAACTCCATTTGAATCCCGACTTTTCCGTACAGAGTCCCCCCTCGGCCCCCGCCGCCGATGACGGCCGAGAAAACCAAGCCAAGTGTTCCGGGTGCGCTGGACCCAGCACGCGACAGCCGACCTGTCGGTCTCCCTGGAGCGAGGTAGGGCCGCCTGCAGCCGACTAGTAAGTCACCTCTGCCGGCGTCCGAGAGCAAGGCGCCATGGTATACTGCGGGAAGCCCTCCAAGGGGTGCTCGAATTGCCGCGAGCGCAAGATTAAGGTAAGCCCTTTAGTCCGGCCCACCACATAGCACCAGCACCACATGGCCTCCCGGTCTAGCCCCCTCATACTTCAGCCCGCCGCGCCCTGATTCCTGCTCCCCGTCCAAGCATCATCCCGCTCCCTTGCCCATAGGGCCCAACCCGCTCTTGGCCCCTGCAGCCCGCGCCCATCTCGGCCGCCAGCCTGGCGCCATCTCCCCGTATGCTTGGCCCCGATCAGACAGCCCCTTCCCCTCAACACCCCTTTTCTCCCTCCTCCTGTTAACGCACCATAGTGTGACCAGCGGCAGCCTGCCTGTGGGCAGTGTGAAAAGCGGCAGGCAGAATGTCCAGGCTATCGCAACCAGGTGGATCTCATGTTCCGAGATGAGAGTTCGCACGTCATAAAAAAAGCCAAGGCCAAGGCTCGTCGTAAGGACGCCGATGCGGGCAGTGGCGCATCTCCGGACCAGCCGTTGTCGGCCGCCGCCCCCCGCACGGTCTCCGAGTCCGGCAGCGTGTCCCCTGGCCCCGATAGCTCCGGGAGCCTGTGCGTCCCGGCGCGGCCCGCCTGTTCGTCCCGGGACCTGGAAGCCACGCTTCAGCTGCCAGCGCGGCCCGCTGTGGCCCGCGGCATGGGCTGGCATAGGCCGCCCTCGGTAACGTACGCGCTGAACCCAACGTACCAGGAGAGAGGCACTGCCTTCTTCTTCTCCCGATTCGTCGCTATCGACGAGAAGGCCTGTCACCAAAGATTCGACTTCATCTATGATGTGTGGAAGCCCCGGACCCTGACAGACGCAGCCCACCAACTCGGCGAGATCGATAGCGTCATGGCCAGCATGACCGCCGTCGGCCTGGCCGGCCTGGCCAACATGACGCGCTCCGGCGACGTAATGGACAGCGCCAGGAAGAGCTACGGCGCCGCCCTGCGCCTCATCAACACGGCCCTTCGCGTGCCTGATGAGGCCGTCAAGGACACAACTATGCTCTCCATCCTGATCTTGGGCTTGTTCGAGATGATCGCCGACCGCGACGCCCGGACAGTGAGCGGCACCGTCAAGGCCTGGCACGAGCACGTCAACGGCGCAGCCGCCCTGGCCAAGATCCGTGGCGTTGCCCAGTTCCGTACCCGCGCCGGCATCAAGATGTTCATGATGCTCTGTCAGACGGTTATCCTGAGCTGCATCCAGCAGGGCGTGCCCATGCCCCAGTCGGTGCTAGATCTGCGCGCTGAGCTGTCGCGCAAGTTCAGGTCGCTCAACGTCCCAGAATCGCGCATAGAGGTGTCCATGCCCATCTACCGGGTCCTTGAGTTCCGTCATGAGGTCCGGAGTGGCAGTCTCGACTCGCCCGAGGCTGTCATAGAACGCCTCATCAAGATGGACGATGATTTTGAGCACGTCATCGCCAACCTGCCCTCCAGTTACCGCTACCACACCCTGCACCTTCCCTTCCCACACACGGACACCCTGGACGGCGTCTGCCACGTTTACCCCAACATGGGCAAGCTCGCCATCTGGAACGGTTTCCGTTCCTGCCGCCTGCTCATTCTCGAGACCATCCTGACCGAGATACATAGCCGGTACCAAAACGTTGACCCGTCCTCCGTCCCGCCTCGGCACGCTGCCGCGTTTGCGGCTGCCAGGGCAAGGCTCCCCAAGTTGTGCCGCGCAATAGTGGCCAGTGTTCCTCAGGCCCTGGGCCTTTTGACCAGCCCTGCCCTTCCCGGGGCTGCCACTCCGATCGCCACGGTCGAGGTCCGCGCTCCGGCACCCCATGCGCGCCGCCAGCAACAGGTGCCCGTGCCCTCTCCGAGCGCTGTACCTGTTTCCGCCTGCCGTTCTCCAGACCTCGCAACGATCCCCATCGCGGACCGCGTTCTCGATGAGTGCGGCCCTACCTTGTTGAACCCCACCCGAAGTCGAGACCCCGACGAAGAGACCCACCGCCTGATGCTTCTAGCCTCGGCCGGCAACAATATTGTCTGGCCCCTGTATCATGTCGGTATGTCCTCGGTATGCTCGCCCGCTATGAAGACTTATTGCATCAACAGGCTGCAGGAGATATACAGGGGGTCAGGCCTGCAACAAGCCAAGGCCATAGCATCCATCATGCAGAACCGGCGTGTCGTCCCGCGTTGGATGGAGCTGCCGTTTGTTCAGGAACCTGGGGAGAGTCGAGAAGAAGTTGTATGATATGCCGATGATGACAAGAGGGACCCCTTCAACCCCTTTCCTTTCGTGATAAGACTGTATATAACTGTGTTTACCAATTGTCGAAATTCCCAAATCCACCTGCTACCTTCCTCTTCTTTGGTTCGGGGGCTGCCCATGAATCGTCGTCTTCCGGGCCAGCGCCGGCGCCTTGGCCATCGCCGTCAGGGGCTGTTTCCTTTCCCCCTAGCTTTAAGTACTTGCCGACCTTGCCAGCGCCGCCATCGTCCGGGGCGAGCGGGCCTCCATCGTCTCGACGAAGGCGCTTGCCTGTCCATGTGACCTTGTCATCGTCGGTCCCACGCTGCCGCATATCGGACTTTTCTGCCTCAGCCTTCTCCTGAAGGCCCTTCTCCTTGAGGAACTCTTCAAAGGGGTCCACGAAGACGGCCACGTCCTTCATGACGATCTTATTAAGTGGCCTGTCGGACCCGTCCGTCGGCGCGTCCTCGAGCTTTGCGAGTACGTCCATACCATCGACGACCCGGCCGAATATCGTGTGCTTCCGGTCGAGATGCTTGACCGGCCTGTACGTGATGAAGAACTGGCTCGAGTTTGTGTTTTTGCCCTTGTTCGCCATGCTCACGACGCCCCTCGCCGAGTGCGTACGCGGCCCGTCGAACTCGTCCTCGAAGTTCTTGCCCCAGATGCTGGCGCCACCCCTGCCTGTGCCCGAAGGGTCGCCCGTCTTGATGTTGCGGCGTGTTAGCAACCGCTGCCGTGCACAGGCATATAGGGATATACAAGGGTAAATGTTCGTGCTACTGCCGACATACCTGGATCATGAAGTTCTTGATGTTCCTATGGAAGGACACGCCCTTGTAGTAGCCCTTTTGGGAGAGCTTGACAAAGTTCCACACGGCCTTGGGCGCCGTGTCAGTATGCAGCTCGATAGTGATGTCTCCAAGGTTTGTTTCTATCCTCGCATATCCCTGGTTCTTGACGCGCTTGGGCTTAAGCATCCACTCCTCGTCCGACATCACCGCCCTCTCGCCGCTAGTCACGGGCGTTAGGCTGGTGCTCGTAAAACTCGCGGCGGCCTTGCCCGTCGTGTACACGGCAGCACTCCCAACGCGCGGCTGCGAGGCGGCGCCCGAGACCGATTGTGCGGGGCGTCGGGCAGCCGCCGCCGTTGCCGCCGCGACAAGGCTCTTGCCCGCCGACGCGTTCACGTCCCCACCCGCAGCCCTGAGCTGGCGCGCCCTCTCGACTGCCTCTTTGGCCTTCAGGGCCTTTTGCCCCATGGTGCCGAGGGCGGCAACATTGATGTCCCCTGCCTTCCTCTGCTCTTCCTGCTCCGGTGTGAGGATGGCATCGCCACCGTCGCGCAGGTGCTGGAAGCGAGACATGTCCCGACCGGAAGCATCCTGAGGGTCCTGCAGCGTGATTATATCGGCGCGGGAAAACTCCTGGTCGTCGACTAGATCGCGCCACATCTTGGCCTTGATGTTCATCCGCTCGATGGTGTCCCACGAGAAGACGTTTGCGTAGGATCCGTGTCTGACGGCGACGATGTGGGTGTTGTCGGTCAAGACCTTGTACGAGACGGGGTCGATCAGGTCACCATCCTGTGTGTCGCCGGCCGGGCCGGCATTACGGGCGAAGGTGAGCTTGATCAGGTCCTTGGGCGCAAGCGGCGCGCCGGTGACGGGGTTCGTGCTGTTCTTTTGGAGCCAGGCGCCGATAACTTCGACGTCGAAGACGGTGCCATCGCTCGTGCATACGGGGTTCTTGAACGGCTGGAGGCTGGCGGCACAGAAGTTGAATGGTAGCTTCCTCAGACGGCCCTCACGCGGGTTCGCACGTGCCCCCGCGCTCGCCGAGAAGGAGTCGGACGAGCTCCATTCCGAGTGCGTGATGTAGAGCTTGTCTGTGCCCTTGCCCATCCTGTATCAGAAATGCGACTGACGTGCCTGGGCGGCGGCGGATATCAAGCTCGAGGCACCTACCTCGATCCGGCGGCAGGGAGGTTGGCGGTTCCGGATACAGCAATTCGAGGCGATTCCTAAAGGGCACTTATGTGTATTATGTTTGGCGGCCTGTTTCCTGCGTCTAAAATGCGAGGCCGCCAAGGCAGGACGCGACGGCACAGGTTCCCCAAAGCCCAGGTCCACGCTCAGAAACGCAGGGCTTATCGACTCTTATCGGTCACTGTGGGGCGCTGCACGTGGATGGTCCCGCACCACCACCATGTGGGCACATGTACATGTGCCTACCAGATGGCGGGCCAGGTACAGACATACGCGCATCCGCGGCCCCGCGAATAGCGTTATGTACCCACCCACCCTGGTATCCCGGGATTGTCGTCTCATCGGCCGAACGTCCACTTCGTCTCGTGGCATGGTGGCAGGCTGTGGACGACAAACTGTTGCCTCAACCACTGATATCGGCGACAAATCAACATCGACCGACGACGCAAGTCTGCCAACCCAAGACGGATATCATCACAACCCAATTTTTGATGCTTCCCAGGATCGATTGATGCAACACTGAGCGCCAATAGAGCTACGATCCACCCAGCACCTTCGACGATTCTCATGCGTCCAGGACGCTGAAGGTCCCCCGAGCAAACAGCAAGGCCCAGCCAACACCACCACCACCTCAACTACCTATTCCCCCCACCACCCACCGCCGTATCCGATATCGCACATATCTCCCTTTTCTCTGGCTATTTCTCTTCCTTCTACCTCTTATTTCACCGCACGAAACGCCGCGCGCGCATGCGTGCCGTCGCCACAATGCGCGACCGGCTTTGCACCTTGCTCCTCATTCTGGCGACCTCGTTGACGACACGGGCGCTAGAAGCGAAGCTGGTTAGAACTCCTTGCCTCCCATACCTAACCCCGCCCCTGAAATACAGAGCGACCGAGCTTGCCGAGCTCTCTTGGCGCCTTATGATGTGCATCGACTGACAGTGGGAAACACTCCTCGCAGGACCAAACGCCGGAGAACCGTGAGAGATGCATGGGTCAGTAGAGGCGCCTATATTTTTCAATGCCCTCCATATCACAGCATTGAATATGCGCAGGTGGTCACAGCGCCCTTACTGACGAGCTGCGCCTGATTTCTGGCACTCGCAGGCATGTACTCCCGAAGCACATGGGGAGGGCCCTCGGATCCGTACATCCTCGTCAGGTTCGACAAGGTCGAGGCAGACAATGATCCTGTCACCAGCCTGCTGCTATTTGAGTGGAAAGACCAGGACTACGTCCTCTTCTCACCATCCGACGATACCCCCAAGGTCCGTGCCGCCCCATCACGGCCTCCGCTGCTGCCGATACCGTATCATAGCTGATGCGACTGCTAATATGACGCCATCGCCAACTACAGAGACTCACTGTCTGTGAGCCCAACCATGTCAGCGCCGGCTTCTGCGACGAGTCCAAGCTCGGCGAGTTTATCCTGGGTGCAAACACGAACGATTCGACAAACAAGATCTTCACGCAGGCTATCCACCTCAAGGATCCACAGCCCATCAAGTACCCCATCACGAACACGGGTTACTACTGCATCTTCACAGAGGGGCCTTCCGAGTACCGCGCCATCGCCGAGTTCCGCAATGCCTACGGCGAGCTGCCGGCGGCCCAGATCCCAAAGCTTCCTTTTTACGGCGGCATCACCATCCTCTATGCGCTGATTGCCGTCTTCTGGGGCTTCCTGTACTACCAGCACCGCTCCGACATCCTCCCTGTGCAGAACTACATAACGGCCATCCTGCTGTTCCTCGTCGTCGAGATGCTGCTCACCTGGGGATTCTACGACTACCTTAACCGCGTCGGCTCCAACGTAGGCTCCAGAGTGATGCTTGTCTTGGTCGCCGTCCTCAACGCCGTGAGGAACTCGTTCTCCTTTTTTCTGCTGCTCATCGTCTGCATGGGCTACGGTGTTGTCAAGCCGACGCTTGGCAAGACTATGGTTTACGTTCGCTGGTTGGCCATCGCCCATTTCATCTTCGGCTTGGTGTACGCTGTCACCAGCCTTGTGATCACCCCAGACACTGCGGGTAAGTGACATCAACTAGATGGCCCCGATCTTTGCGCCCCTTGGCTCTTCCCCCCTAACTATACTCCCTACTTCTCCACTTGATCAAATTGCTGACTTTGATCCACTCGTATCTGTCAATTTACAGGACCGTTTGTGCTGCTGATCGTGCTGCCGTTAGCGGCAACTCTAACAGCGTTTTACGTCTGGACGCTGAACTCGCTCAACCTGACGCTCAAGGATCTGAAGGAACGGAAGCAGACCGCAAAGTCTACCATGTACAAGAAGCTTTGGTGGTGCATCCTGATCAGCATCCTCGTCATTTTCGGGTTCTTCTTTTTCAACAGCTTCTCCTTTGCGTCTGGTACTAAGGACCCCGACTACGTCCCGTTCCACTGGAAGACGCGGTGGTTTGTGCTCGACGGGTGGTTGAACCTGGTGTACTTCGCCGATGTCGCGTGGATTGCCTACGTGTGGCGGCCGACTGCCAACAACCGCCGTTTTGCCATGTCGGACGAGATCGCGCAGGAGGACGACGGCACGTTTGAGATTGCCAACATGGACATTGGGGCCCCTGACGACTCGGACGACGAAGAGGCCCAGGTGGGGACCAAGAAGCCCGCGAGCACAATGCCCTCGGCCAGTACACCTGGCAATACCGCTGGGGCAACATCGGCGTCGGCGGCGAGAGGGTCGCGGCCGCAAGCAAAAGCGGCACCGTCGCCCCCAAGAGAGTCCCTCGACGGCGAGACCATCTTCGCAGTTGGTGAGGATGGAGACAAGTTCTCGGACGACGAAGGGTCCGAGTCGGGACGCCTAGTCAAGGGCAGAAAATAGACAGGCTCTGTGGGGTGGTTCACGATGGAACAATAGCGATCTAGGAGTCCTTGGGAGTCATCACGCGGACGAAGGCCAGCGAGGAGCCATATATCTGGTCCGAGGGGTGTGAAAGATAAAAAACGAATGGTAATCTCATTCACCCCTTTGCACCAAGGGGTTTACCGTCAACATCCCTCGTTCATTTTGCTCTTTTTTTTCTCTCTTGTTTTTTTGACCGTCTTCTTTTCTCCTCAGTTTTAGACTTTCTTCCTCGAGCATTGTTTCATGTCTCGATGCTATGATGTGCGAGAGATGATCAGGTAATATCAGTTTGAACATGATGCATGCGCGCAAGTAGTAGGTAGGTGCAGGTACCTATCACAAAACCCAATGACTTGGCACGACGAAGGTGCACCAACCCGAGTAGGTGAAACCGATGGTGATTTCGCTAATTGTGGCGATGGACGTTGATGGTTGGCTGCATTGCCGCGCAGCGATGGTGGCGGCGAGCGTGATAGGCTGCCGCTTGGCGGAACGGAGGAGGTTGGCGCTTGGAGCTGTGGAGGTCCAGAGCGGCGGACCGAAAAAACCAGTCGACCAAATGTGACTCTGATCGGACCGACACTTTGCGCTGCACACCTGTCCCCACCCGCAGTGGGGTTGGGTTCCCTTTGCCACATGCACTGTAGTACATCGTAAGCAATTCACACGCTTCGGTTTTTCTTCGATCTTTTGGGAGGAGGCAGCCCCTAACTTGTGCATGCAGTCATAACCGTAAAGGCACCTGACCTGTCTGCAGCAGTGTGCTTCCATTCATCGTCGCACGATGCAGTATTCACGGCATAAAAAGTCCAGTGCCCTGTACCTAGCATGCGCATCTGCAACTACCTCCTGGAAGGCAGGTCCCGGGCATGCAACAGATTCACGTGCACGACCAAACGAGTCAATTTGATGACGCTCCGAGCCAAGGTCCTGCTCTATGCGTTAGACAAAACAATGTCCAGGTCCCCAAATGAAGCTATCCATAAACAGCTTACGATCAAGCAGGGCATTGGAGTATATATACATGCCCATATCCATAGATTCGAGGTGGTGGTTGTCTTGGCGCGCGAGGGTGCTCTATCAGGTGCTCGTGGACGCAAGTGTTTCAGGTCTGGCCCCTGAAGCCTGAGGACAGTACAGGATGCAAGGCCCATGCACCGTGTGCTGCTACTGCTCTGGTGTTCGGCTGGCTCCAGCGCTGGCGTCGGTTCCAATCGTGGGCGAGGGGCGGCCGATTGATTTGACTGGGGCCCGACCAAGCCCATGGCTAGACGTCGTTGGACATCGACAGTCCCCCCGCTGTAAGCAGTGCACGCAAATAGGTACAGCATGTACCTAGCCACGCCCAGGGTCGGTAAGTACCTAGTAGGTGCCCAGCCTGTTCGGCTGCCAGGCACCAGTCCCGCCCCCTCTCCCCTCTCCCCCCTCCGCTCTCCTGGCGCCCCCTCCCATGCGACAAACAAAGCCCGGAGGCAGACAGCGCTAGGAACGCTTGAGACAGAACGGAGGGAGGAATATGCTGGAAAATCGTGTTGGAGGGCATGCTGGGAAATCTCGCCAGACCGCGGCGGCTGCGTGCATGGCTGCTATCATGTAGTGCCACCGACATCCCCTAGGCCGTGGGTGCTTGGGGGAGCGCGATGCTGTGCGCCCCGGTGCCGGCTTGCCATGTCGCACAGGATACGAGGTTTCCGCGCCCGGCCTGATCCGCTGCGGCGGTCGGTCCTATCGCGGGAGATGCGGTAGGTAGAGAATTGGAGGGAGCATAACGAGGGGAGCCGGGAGTGCAGGCCAGGCCAGCTGGAGGTTAACACACGGTACCCAATGTCATGCCGTTTATTGTTTATTGTATGTGGTTATTAGTGTGCGTGCTCCCAGCTACTTCTTAGATGGGCCGGCGAGCGGTGGGTGTAGGAGGTCAGGTAGTGGTAGTAGGGTGGTAGGCCAGATACTCTATGTGGCAGAGGGAAAGGTGAAGCCTCGGTCCTCTTCCGTCTCAGGCCCCCTTTTTTCCCTCTTTTTTTCTTTCCTTTTTTTCTTTCTTACACGTTTCGGAATTTTCACACCCTCACGCTTTCCTCACTCTTTTAGAATCTTGACCCAGGGCCCTTTCTTCTTCTCTCGAATCTCCCACTCTTGAGCCGGCCCCTTCATCTTCGCCTTCACGCAACAATCGGCCGCAGTGACGCACCCCAACCCCTGCCACCAAAGGGGCTCATCGCAAAGCCGCCCTGGCCGCCGCTGCACAAGAGCGATGCCAGATCAAGGTATCAGAGTGGAATAGACCCACGACTGCGACGCCCCGCCCCCTGTGCAAACACGAAACCAATCCCCACCGAATCCGCTCCCGGTCGCGACTTTGTAGCCCACGTTCGCCCGCCATACAGTGCACGTAAAACAATCCTCTGCACCACCGACCCCGTTTTTGGGTGATTTTCCTCGCCTCCCACACCCCCGTCTGTTTCGTGTGCGCTGCGTCGAAGCCATTCATTCTACTTGTCCAGTGTGTTTGCTGTCTTTACTTCCTTTTCCCATTCCTCCTCTCCACGCATCACCATTGCACTGCCCGCTGCACCCGTCCACTTCATTCCGTCTAGCCGAGCCAAGCCAGCGCTCTCAGGTAGAAGACAGCCGCCGACCCGACCACCTCGCTGGCTGCCGTTCGACCCATTTACCCGTGCGCCCACTGGAGGCAAAGACAGAAAAGGGGAGACGAATCCAAAAGGGAACAGAACAGAACTGAACAGGCCGACGCATCGAAAGCAACCCGACGCTGCTTCCATCTACATCCAGCGCCCTGTGCGCCCATCGCCAACCGCCGCCCGATACGCGACGCCCTAACTACTCCCCAGCATTTGCAACGACTTCACCCGCTTCACCATGAGCGCCGCCATTGCAATGGCACCGTCGCCGGCCCCTCACGACCGCCCTTCATTCCCGTCCGACGTCTCTCCTTCAGCCCAGCGCACCGCGCTCCCTCCGCCTCATGCCCAGCGCGTCGGCAGCGGTAGCCCCCGAGGCGTCCATCCCGCATCAGCATCAGCATCAGCACCGACCGCACAAGCCCTCACGGCAACCCCCTCCTCAAATCTGGCTCCCGCCCTCAAGTCGTCACCCCCGAGCGCGTAAGGATTTTCAACCTCTTTCGATCCCCTGTTGCTGCCATTTCTCCCCCTTCGCAGTTAGGGCTCGTATGGGAGGGTGCCCTTTCCCATGTGACCTACTCGAAATGTATTAGGCGTGCTGACCTGACCGTCGCTCGCTGTGTTCTAGTTCGCGCAATGGATCGACACCCAAGATAATTGTGAAAAAGGAACCTGGGTCACCAGAGCACGCGCCTCGGCGTCGGCCTGGTCGGTTGGACCTGTCAAAGGGTGGCGGCTCCAACACCGCCGCACCAGGCACAGGTCGGCCCCTCACAGCGAGGGATGGGTTGGGGATCCAGGAGGTCGGCTTAGCCTGCCTCTCCCCGGGCTTCGTGACCCAGGATCCGGTGATGAAGGAGCAGCTTCAGCGCAGCATGAGCGTCCGCGAGCAGCAGCGCCATATCATCGAGGCGAGGCTCCAGCAGCAGTCGGCCAAGGGTGACGGCCCAGACCAGGGAAGGGACAAGGACGTGCTCGGGCAGTTCGCTGCCAAAACGCCCGGTATGTCCCGCCGGAACAAGGCCCCTCCGGGCCTCAGCATTGTCGCCCCGTCCCACGAGCATTTCGCCCACGAACGTGTCATCCAGTCCGCCCCGCTCGGCCAAACATTCACCGGCATGCACAGCCATCACCCGCCTACTCGTCACATCACCAACCAGCCTTCAAAACTCTCAAACACATCCCATATACACCACGTCCCTGCCCACCAGACGAACAACCGCCTCCCACCCATCTCGGATGTCTTTGGTCAAGGCCTTTCCGGGCACCCTGACTCCGGTGGACACGCCCTGTTCGCCAAGCAGAGCGCGTCCAGGGGCCCGCTCGCATCGCCGGGCCACCCGTCTTCCCAGCAACATCCACAGCCACCCCTCTCCAGCAGGCCACGGGAGTACAAATCCGCCGAGGAGGCGCAGGTGGAGCTAGCCGGCGGTCGCCCTGAGCTCCTGCCTAAAATCGTGCACTACGGTGGCCACCAGCCACCGACCCCTCCGTCCCCGCAGCCTGGTCACCAGAGGGCCTCGGATCCCAGCCGCAGCGCCAGCCGCAGGCGCACACGAGCAGAGTACGAGGAGGGCGCCTCTCCCCCGCTCGGCACAGGTCGACCCCCGCGCCGGGGACCTTTTGGAGAGGGCCGCGACAGCCCCGAGACACAGCGCGCGAAACGAGACGAATTCCTTCGCATCTGCGAGCGTGCTTGGGATCTATTTCACTCGTAGGCGGAGCTCACTGCCATGTCAAGGTTTAGGCCACGTCTTCTGTGCGTGTTCTTCTTTTGTTTATATGTCTCTCTTGTCCGTCTTTCTCCCTCTATTCTCTGGAGCCGAGTTTATTTCTATCTCTCCTTTCCTCCCTTTTCGGTTTTTCCTCCCCATCGACTTACTCTGGATGTCATTCCTCCCGCACCTTCTCCCCCGCTTCTGCTTTTAGGCGCTGGGGCGCTTGCGTGGCAGCGTGCCGGACAAGTTGAAGCGCAACAACGTAGGCTGGTCTTTGTTTTGATTTTTGCTTCTATGAGAAAGGCGATCTTGGGGTTTGTTTTGCTGGCTGGGAACAAAAAAAGACAACCATTTTTCAGGTGATGCTGCGAACACGGGTTCCCGGCCTATCCTTTGTTATTTTCTTCTCTTTTCCACCCTCGGTTTTTTCTTTTTCTTGGATGGCTCGGATGTAATGTCTTTGTATACATTTTGGGTTTATGGTTTGGATGCCTATATCAGATATGATCCTTCTCCCTTATTCATTTTTTGTGTGATTGCCTTATCAAGCATGGCCATGTCGAAGTTAGTCTGTATGTACTTCACAAGGACACCTGGTATATATCAATCATTTCTCGACACGTGAGAGCTCCCGCTTCTACCTAGCTGTCACGAGGATGTCTGCGCGCAATGCCCCTACGCTACATGAATCCCGGGTACACCTGTTAGACGAACAGCAAAAAAAAAAAAAAAAACCCCGACTGCTGCTCAAACCACTTGTAGAACACGATGTGTCGAGCCAGCATTTCGATATTGTCGATTCCCAAACTCATTGGACGCAGCGCGCACTTCGGACATCATTGGGAACGATGCATGGTTGTTGGGAACTGTCAAAGGATAACTACTCCAAACGCCGTTGCTAAGAAACAGTAGCCTCCGATACTCCAGGAACCCGCAAGAGTCTGCCGTCGTGATGGAACGTGGCTGGTCCGACTGAGCTTGTCGAAAGACCGAGTGACGTAGGAGGAGGTGAAAAGGCGAACAGGTTGAATAGGTAAAAGGTGAGGGAATGAGATGAGCAGAACGGGAAAGTGTTTGCTAGGAATGCCCCCCCAATCAATTCGACGATTATAACCCATCCAAAATAGAGCAAGTATCACTCCAGAAATAAAAAGCCAGTCCGCGTGCCATGCAAAGTGGTTTCGCGTAACAATAGCAAGGGCTTTGATGTCTTTCTCTCTTTCCCTCTGATTTCTTTTCTTTTTTTTCCTTTTTTCTTTTTTATGTTTTCGTCTTTCTTTTCGTCTTCTTCTGTTTCGTTTCTCTCCCCCTTCCGTATTTCTTCCTGGGCCACTTGATTTGTTGCAGCGTCCGCGTGCGTCGCTGTGCAAGTTAATCAGGAACGATAGAGTTGCCCAACCAACTCCGGGCAGGAGAACAGAAGAAAAGAGACGGGCCGTGGAAGAAACAGAAGAGAAAAAGGACCGCTTCAGTCCGCCAGACGGTTTGCGAGCCATATTGAGGGGTGGGGAGATGGCACTACCACGAATACAGGAGCCATGGTGCAAGGCAGGACCAGTCCATGGATGTGTCATGGATATGGACCACTTGGCGTCTGGCGGGGCATGTGCTAGAGGCCTTCCTCGCCGGCCTTGCATAGTTTTATCTCGCGACCCCATTCCGACTTAAGGACCTGCGAGGCCGTTATGCGGCGCGTCGGGTTTGGATCCAAGATGGAGTAGATGACGTTTCTGCATCGAGCCTGTCCCGGGTTCCAAACACGTCAGTACCTGTGCAGGACCCCTGTCCACATGTGCGTCGGAGAGTCCGAGAAACATGGGCACATAATGCCGAGGGTACATAAACTGAGGAACGTGAGTGCGGTTGGGCTCGGAATACTAACCCGGTGCAGAGTCTCAATCGGTCGGTATCCTTCCTCGTCGCGGCGGCCCTCGAGGTAGCGAGCGTAGAACTCGTCCTCCTCTTTCTTGGCGACGCGCCAGAGGTGACGGCCTGTGCGCATGGCCATGTAGATGACGCCGCAGGCCCAGACGTCGACGGCCCTGGCATCAAATTCCTTGTTCGTGTATTCCTCTGGTGCGATATAAGGGCCGGATCCGCACAGGCCAGAGACCATGTGGGCATCGTTTTCCCAGGCCATACGGAAGCACTCGCCGTTGCCAAAGTCGGTGATCTTTAGTGCGCCGTGGGTGGTGAGGAGCAGGTTCTCGGGCTTGAGGTCGCGGTGGGCCACGCCCATTTCGTGCATGTACTCTACACCGCGCATCATCTGCTTGAAGAAACAGTCGGCCTCCTGGACCTCGAGTTTGCCGGCGGCGAGAACAAGGGTGTACAGGTCGCCACCTGGGCAGAACTCCATCACCTCGCAATAGTCGCCCTTGGCGTCTTGGAGCAGGTCTAGGGTGTGGATCACGTTGGGGTGGCGCAGGCTCGACGAGATGCAAAACTCGGCCGTCAGACGTTTGCTGTACTTCTTCTCCGTCTCTTCGGGCCGGCGGCGGAACTCCTTGACGGCAAACAGCTTCTCACCCACGCCGTTCTCCATCTTCTTGTGTGATATCCGCACAATGCCAAAGGCGCCGCGGCCTACCACCTCCTGACACTTGCCATACTTCTCCACTAAAGTGACCGATGCGTTGGGCCCGCCTCTCCTGTCGGAGGCTATTGAGTCCTTCTCTTGCCGGAGCGTGTCGACCCAGCCGGATACAAGCGACAGGTCATGATCCGGCTGGTCAGACCGCTTGCCGCCCAGGATGCCGCGGAACATGTCTGAGAGCTTTTCCTGTCTTCGACTACCCTTGAGGTGGTGCTCATGACCGCCCTGCGCCTCGGACTTGGTCGTGAAGCGTTGCTTGGCCGCGGTCGTGGCTGCTAGCGCGGCCGCATTCTCGACGGCCTTGTCGGTAGTCGAGTCCTTACGGCCTGGGGGTGCACTCAGGCGATTAGGAGACGGCATTGGGGGGTTGCTGCGGTCAAACGTGGGTCCCTTGTCGGAGAGCAGGGGGCGAGGGGAGTCCTTTGTCGAGAACATTCGAGTCAGGCGTTCCTTTACCGACGACTTCTCGGCTGGTTTCGGCGGCTGCTCCGTCGATGATCCCGCGCCATTGGAGGCGGCGTTCTGGCTATTCTGCTGCGTGGCGTTCGGTGCCGGGCTAGGAGGAGGCTGTGGTAGCTCGACAGATCGAACTGAGGGTGGCTGCGAAGCGCCAGAGGATGGCGCCCTCACATCAGAGGTGCTCGCCATGGCTGCGGCGGCAACGGCGGCGTCGCTCGTTGTAGAGCTGGCGAGGGCAGATGAAGGTTGCCGATTTGGACGAGATGGTGGCCTGTGTAGAGCCGGCCGGCAATAGGAATGGATCTGAGGCAGGCGGGTGTTGTCGTGTGAGATGGATCCCGAGGTATACAACCGACAATGTGGCGCGTGCCCGGCTAGAGCTGCGAGCCGTGAGCGACCGCCTGCGCCGTAACCTGCTCGGTTAGTTAGCTTTTAAGTATTATAAAGCAATCTTGCCGTGGCGAAGGGGCGGGGTGCACAAAGCCCGGGCAAAGGAGTAAGGAAAAGAGGCCGAATCAGGCTTCAGATGCACCCCAATCAAAGGGGGTATTGGCCAAAAAAAGAAACCAAAAAACCAAGGCAGGGTAGGGGACGAGAAAGGATTAACAAGCTCGGAATGAAGAAGAAAAAGGCCCTGTGAGATGAGAAAAAGAAGGTCGGAGGGTGCAATGCGAAAACACAGGGCGAGGATGGGCCAGAGCTCGACAAGCCCCGAGCAGAGCGGGAACCAAGTCGTGTAGGTTGAATGCGATGGCTGGAGGGTGTCTGGTCTGGGGAGTTCCAGCGGGGCACCAGAAACAAGCGGTCTCGACCGGCGGGAGCAGGTGACACAAAGGAAGGATGTCGAGTGACGAGGGCGCGAAGACAAGCGCAGTGAGGAAAAAAAGGAAGGACAGAGAGGAAGAAATCGAACAACAGCGCAACGACAAGAAAGTAAATAAAGAAATAACAAAACAAAAACAACAGAAGACCACCTTTGGGGGCGACTCGAGACAATCAGGATGGATGGACATGTAGGGAGTAGGTAATATGTATGTAATGCGGTGGGCTGAAGGGAACTGGCGGAATTTCGCAGGTATGAAATCAAGAACGGGCGGTGGACGAACGAGGCCTGGGCCCCCGTGAGACTCGTGGCCCAGGCCGTTTCGTGACCTCAGTCGCGGCTTACCGACTAGCAGCGCCCAGCCCAGGTGGCCAGGCCTGTGAGAAACCCCGACCAGAGCCGCTGCTGGCGTCGCCGTTGGGCCCGAGTCGCGAATCGCACGCCGAGAGCAGACAGCCCTGTCTGTCTGTCCCTGCGCCCACCGCTGGCAGCGGGAGCAGCACCAGCAGTCTCGGGATCTCGGGGAGGTCAAGGCAGGCAGAGCACCGGCTGGGTGTCGAGCTGGGTTGCTTGACCCTTCCACGCCCACCACAAAAAAAAGCGACAGTTTCTTCGAGGAATAGGTACAAGAATATATGTATCAAAATAGGAACAAGAAGAATAATAATAAAAAATACGAATAAGAAAAGAAATGACAATAAGAACGATAAAAAAAAAGAATAGGAAAGCTTACGGCACTGACAATTCTGCTCAATGTTCAGGACCCCCTGTGAGACTGCCTTTTGTTTTGTGGTGGGCGTGCCTTCGCAGCGCCGAGAGCGATGACGCTTGGCAGCCAAGAGGAAGGCCGAGGGGTCGGCTCACGCCTCTCACTGGCTGAGGTTGGCAGGCTGGTTTTTCATGCTGGGGCTGGTTTTTTTTCTTGTTTGTTTTATTTTTTGACTTCTGTATTTTTTATGTCAATTTTGTGGATAGCTCGGAAATCGATAAAAGCAAATCTCCAGCCACGGGAAAGAAACCACAGGCAAGGCCAGAAAAAAAAAGAAAAAAAAGGAAGAGGGGAAAGTGAAAGTACCGGATGGGCGAAAAAGACAAGAATCTGGAGAGAAAGAGAGAGATCGAAAGGGGGTGGGGAGCTGCTCGGGGAGGAGCCCGGGGTGGTCACTCCCAGTGTGGCTGACGCCCACTGCGAAACCGTCCAGGGCAGGCCACACCAAGCTTGCGACTGGGCGCTTTTTTAGCCCATGAATTCTTCTCTGACCGCACGATGGAAACCCAAGGCATTGCAGCGAGAAACATATAAACGCACGAAAAAAAAACACCACGTGCATGCCTATAAGACGCTCCCAGTCCTAGGTATACCTACCTCTAGGTAGTTACCTCTAGGTACATACCTAAAGCACATGAGAGTCATGATATTGCACCTGCAACCCTCTCTCCCATCTGAATGTGATTCACTCCCTTTAGGAAAAGCCGAGGCTTAACCCTGCGGACAGCTGGAAATAGCTACCTACTCTAGGTAGGTGCTCAACTAACCAAGGGGACGCCGAGATGTGCTCTTAGCCCTTTGATCACCCCTGGTGGCGTGCAGCGGCGCGTGCTATGTGTTGTTCAGCCCAGCACTCCGCAAGGCCAAACTCTCCAGCTGCCTTCGTGGACATCTCTGCCCTACCCACTCCGCATGGTCTAGCCTCGGTGGTTGTGCGAGGAGGTGAGAGGGCGGCCGGTATGCATCCGATATGAGGGATTTTCTTCCACGGAACATATCGCCTTCGCGTGTACGTCAGTCAATACCAGGTAGGTACCAGGTACCGACGTCCCACTTTCTACCTACCACCGAGGCATCTTCAAGTTTTCCCCATATGCAAGGTACGTCTCCGCGACCAATTACACCCGGGTTGTCGGGGCTGTCTTCTGTTCATCTTCCTGCCCACCTGGCCAAGGTATTTACTCCGCAGGCAGTTGTTTACCCCAGCCATGTACATGTAAAATGCGCCGCGCCGCGATCTTTTCGAGGAACACATCGCGAGTCATAGTACCTACCGCCTCATCTCGGCCGCCATCTTTCACCTGGATGGCTGCTGCTTTAGGGGCGGAAAACGGTAATGCCACGCACAAATCATGAGCGCATGCCTTGCAAAGCAATGCACATTCCCATAAAGGGGGATATGTGCTTTGGATGAACCCACGAATACATCAATAAAAAAACAGTGCAATCGATGTTCCAATGCTGGATAAAGTTTACTCGTCTTCGTTCTTTTGGCGACCCTGTCGCCCAAGACCTGCTACGATTACCAAAAAGGAAAGATCAATAAATAAGGTTGTAGAGGGACACGAGTCCTCGCAACCCCCGCCATCCCTCCCGAAACCTGCCCTCGCCTACTCCCAGGCTGGGGATGGCTACGTGAGCAGGCGGGCAATAAGTCCAGTAGCGAAGGCAATCGGATGTGTGCTCGGCAAACCTAGTTTACCATCACGTCGCCGCTCACCCTAGAGTCAAGGGCCCGACTTATCTTGGGCGCCCTTCATCGTTCGTGCAACGAGGTCGGCAAACTTCCCGGTACTGCTAGAGAAGGCAGACTCTGGCGTTGCTGTGAGCGGTGATGAGTGCTCAGTCGTATTGCCGGCAGAGGCGGCCTCTTCGACAACGTCGCCCCCGCGTCGGAACTGATCCTTCTCGTCCACAAGCTTCGTCAAGAAGAGAGTGTGCGGATCCCGCTGCGTCTTCAGGCGCTCGATCTCTTCCTCATAGGCACGATCGTACACGTTGAATCCCGCTGCAACTGGGGAGTCTGAGACTACATCGGCCGGTGGCTCGTCTGAGTTGAAGTCGTCGCGCCCACCCGTGCCAATCCCGAGGAAGAGGGGCGTCGTGTCCGTTGGGTCGTGCGCCTGGCCTTTCCCCCCATCCGTCAACTTTATCCCGTTCTGGAGAAGCTTGGTGCGCTCAGCCACGAGGACGGCCGCATGCTCTGCGCTAGTCCTCAGCAGGTCCGCGCCCGATAGCTCTGTCACTCGAGGTATGTCGACATCAGAGTCAAGGCGGCGCTCCGGATTTTCTTCTTGCCTGGGCGTCTGTACAGCCTCTTGCCTCTGTTGGCCGACAGGGGGAACCCTCCGGGGAGTTGGGGGCAAACTTCGGGAGGACAAAAGGCTCTTGAATCTGGATATTGCTTTCATCTTGGACGATGGTGATATGTGAGCTGACTGTAGGCGATCTTACTTAGGGGTGGGTGGGATATTGGGAGTCCCTTGCGGGCTGAGAGGCCCTCAGAAAGTCCCGAGGGGGACGAAGGCCAGCGAACGCAAACATACCACACAAAGCAGATGACTCATCCTCCGGGTGAAAGCATGGTTGACTTCGAGGTCGTTCGGGGGCTCGACAATGACTGCGCAGTTTTCCTCGGCACTAAGAAGAGGATCGCAACCTTTCTTTGTGACCCAGGGGTGCTCCTGTGCCAGAGGTGAATAAAATACGGGTTAGGTAAAGGCAACTTGTGCAAACAACACTTTCCAAGGGTCATAGTTACGTACCCTCAGCTCGGCCATGGTGATGCGACGGGCCGGATCCTTGTCCATTATTCGGCCCATGAGGTCGACAAAATCATCCCCCTCGTCAGGCGGCAGACCCAGGGGTTCAGCCTTAATAGCCTCGTAGATTTCCAGAGGAGTGGACCTGTCAAAGGGTATCCTCCCGTAGCGGAGACAGTACAGTGACACACCCATAGACCAAATATCCGCGGCGGTCCCCGACACGTTGCCGTGCCTGGCCACACAAAGCTCGGGTGGGAGAAAGGCCGGAGATCCGGCCGACTTGGCCGTGCGCATATCGCCTGCTTTTTCGAACATCTCCGACACGCCGAAATCGACTACCTTGAGGACGTCCTCGTTGGTAAGAAGCAAATTGTCCGGTTTGATGTCTCGATGGATTATGCTCTGAGCATGCACTGTTTTATGTGCACATGTTCGATACTGTAAGTCATGCCGCCCAGCTGTGGGATCTGGGGCGCACCGCAACGGTTGGCAGAGCAGGGGTCAAGAAGCGCACTTACAGTACTCGATTCCCAGGATGAGGTCGCGGAACCAATGGCGGCAGGTTTCCTCAGGGTACGCTTTGGCGGCCTGGTCCAGTCCTACCTGCATTACCACACCCTTTTTGCACATCTCTAGAACCATGTACAGAGAGTCCTCTTCGGGATCGTCGAGCACCTCGATTAACTGCACCAGGTTCGGGTGGTTGAGCTTCATCATTATTGCGACCTCTTCCCGGATCAGATGGAGTGCATCCTTAGCCTCGGCACTTCGGTAGTCGTTGAGGCGTGATCCAATGACAGAGGGAAATGCGGCACCGCGGCGGGGGAGTTGACCAGCGTGCCGCGGCCCCTTGAGTATGTTGGACTGCGCCCGCTTGCGTAGCCGCGCCTTGGAGAACTCCTTGACAGCCTGAGGGGCATGGGGGGTTAGCTGAGGCTAGTACTTATAGGAGAGAAGGGTGTGGTTGTGGTGTTCGCCTTTCCGTACAAACTCGTTACCGAACTGGTCCACGGCAAGGTGAACGGCGCCGAAGGAACCCCTGCCGATTTCCTCCTTGATGGTGTACTGGTTGATGCGGGGGTGTGACCGGCCCTCAGAGTCATCACTGGCGTATTCGGTGCGGGCATCTAGTGTTTCCTGCGCATGCCCGAGCCAAGGTCAGCACCGCGATCGGGAGATCGAGGAACCATGAGCAAAGTGATGCGAACCTTGATTTCGCGATGCTGAGAGGGTGTCCGCCTGTGTTGGCGCATGGGGCTTTGGTATGTTTGTTGCACTGCCGGCGCTGACCTGCGTGGAACGAGTCGCATCAGAAGAGGCCCATGTGCATCGCTATCAACTGAAGTGCCTGTTTCAGCACTTACAGGTTAGCCCCGAGCGCGGGTCGCGGGAGGCTCTCCTGCTTGTTGGAATCGCCATGGAAATCAACGCAGATGCCCGGCGACTGGGGGGTGATCACAGTCGGCCCGCTGTTGGCCATGGCCTGCGAAGGCGGCATCGCCTGGCTCTTGAGCGGCCGTTTGCAATGCCTGCAGATCCGGCGCGGGGTAGTATTGGTGATGCTGGCGCAGGGGAGCGGTTCGGATCAGCCTTGAGCTCCTGGGCAATTCCTTTCGCTAGTCCATGGACCGCACAGCCGAGAGGAGGGCAAGCAATTCGGCCGGGGGTGTAAAGTGGCTGCGCGAGTACCGCTTCTTCGACTGGGTAGTTGAAGCGAGGAGTATTTCCAGAAGCGGCTGGAAACAATCAACGACTGCGTGGGAGGGGCCTCTCTCGGCAATCGCGTGCCGCAACCCTCAATGATTTGTGTCCCTCACTTGGGGGGGACGAGATTGGATGGGTTTGCGATTGAAGTCTGCAACCCCCAGCAGCTTGCGAAGGCGCCCGGTAACGAGCTACTGTCCAGCTACACCTCAAGCTAGCTCCTATTAGCCGTAGGGCGCTCCCGATGTGCGACGGGAACTTATGTGGTGTGCAGTGCTTCACCCATCCCCAAGACCGCGTTTATTGCATCTCCATCTCAAAGAAGCTTGCCAGCGGGGTATTTTGAGTAAAACACATGAAGGTTTCCGCGATTATCACATTCTATAGGGTTGCCCGCAACACAAACTCACCAGCGTAGGGAGGTACCATGCATTCATCGCATCAAATTCTGAGGAGCTTTCTTGTTCCATTTGGTCCGTTGGGCGTAGGCTGGGCTGGGCTGAAAACAAGCTGCAGGCAAGGCACGCTTCGCCAATTACATAAGCCGAGCGAGCACCTGTGCATTCGTCAGAGCCGCTGGCCTGCGACGGCCACTCCGCAATCATTTTGCCCTTACCTACACCAGAGCAACCGCTGCACCAACCTCCACCTAGGTCCGGCCGCAAAGGTGTAAAGCCCAAACACGAACGCCTCTGGTCGGGCAAAGACTTGCTGGATCAACACGTCACAGTCTGGCACCCGGCTTTTCCTTTATCTATCTGTCACCGTGTTGCAACTTTTCGTCATTGACTCTCCAATCAAAACCCCTAGCAGCTTCCGACAGCTAGGCCGGACGGGCCTTCTCCAGCTCTGCTGATTGTGCCGCACATCTCGCCCGCCTTGATCGTCCCGAGAATTCGGCAGCGTCTTCCATCACGACCGCATCCTTCGTCCTCGGGTTCACGCACGCGCGGGCCCGTGCCGTCATGTCAAACCCCAACGCGTTCCTAGGCGGCGGCGGCCTACACCCCGGGGCACAACAGTATGGCGGTTCTTTCAACCCGAGCCAGGGGCAGCAGCAGCCGGGTCCCTTCGTTCCCCAACCCACCGGCTTCGGGCAGCCCGGCCTGCAGCAACAGTTCACGGGATATCCTGGGATGCAGCCAGGGCAATCTGTCGCACCGCTCAACCCCCAATACACTGGTTTTCCTGCCCAGCAGCAAGGGTTCCAGACAGGAGCGCCTCCGGTTCCGTCAATGCCGGCGCACCTTCAACAGCAGTTCCAGCAGTTCCAGCAGCCGCAGCAGCCGCAGCAGCAACAGCAACAACAGCCGCAGCAGCATCAAGCACCACCCTCGGCCTTCTTGTCTGCCCAACCTCAACATACGGCTCAGCCCCCGTCCGTCTCCCCCCCGCCAATGAAGCCACAGCCGACTGGCTTCAGTCAGATGGCTGCTTCGTTCCAGACAGGAGGCGCATCAGCACCCCCCAAGGATCGACGCGCCGAAAAGACGGGCAGCAAGATTCCAAACATCCGGCTTTCATTCATCACCGCCCAGGACCAGGCCAAGTTTGAAACCCTTTTCCAGTCAGCGGTTGGGGACGGCCAGACTACAATGTCGGGCGATAAGGCGCGTGATATCCTCCTACGGTCTCGACTGGATGGAGAGCACCTCTCGCATATCTGGTACAGTTCTTGCGCCCACCTGCTGCTGATGTCCGAGTACGCCCGTCCGCCTTCAAGTGGCCCAAAACTGACGTCGGGCGCCAACCTCTACTAGGACTCTAGCCGATACCACCCGTTCCGGACAGCTCCATTTCCCCGAGTTCGCCCTCGCGATGTATTTATGTAACCTCCGGATGAACGGCAAATCGCTGCCTTCCACCCTACCGGAAAACATAAAGAATGAGGTGTCGAGCATGGTGGACATTATAAACTTCAGCGTGGCAGATGACGGTGGTGGGAATGCTTCGTCTTCGGCAGGGAACGCCCCAGACTTCTCGCTAAGGCAGAGTACGGCCACACCCCCTACAATCCAGCACCCGCAACCCCAATCCTCCAACTCGCAACTTTTGCAGGCTCAGATGACGGGCTTTCCTGCGCCGCAGCAAGGCTTCCTTGGTCAATCGGCGGCTCTACAGCCCCAGGTCACCGGATTTCCGGGCGCTCAGAATCCTCAAACCACTGGGTACTCGGGGCCGCGCCCGCCTATGCCCCCGATGCCCACCGGGCTAAGCCCCGGAGGCATGGCAGCACCCCTAAACGCTCAGCCGACCGGGAGGCCGGGCCAGTGGGGCTTGGTGAACACGCCTTCGACCGGTCTCCCTAATATAGACGCACTGCATGCCCGGATGATGCCTCAGCAGGGCCGCGAACAAGGGAGCTTCACTACTGCTGGACTGCAGGGCAATGCCGTCATTCCTTGGGCCATCACCAAGGATGAAAAGACCCGCTACGATGCCCTTTTCAAGGCGTGGGATGGTATGAACAAGGGATACATCGCGGGCAGCCAGGCAATCGAGATCTTTGGGCAGAGCGGCATGGACAAGCCCGATCTCGAGCGTGTCTGGACTTTGGCAGATCACGGGAACAAGGGGCGCTTGGATCTGGACGAATTTGCCGTGGCCATGCACCTCATCTACCGCAAACTTAACGGATACCCCCTTCCCAACAACCTTCCGCCCGAGCTTGTTCCCCCGTCGACCCGAAATCTTAGCCAGTCGATCGGGACCATCAAGAGCATGCTCAGCCAAGAGTCAGACTTGCGCAAGAACTCGGGTGCCACTCTACTTCCACAGAAGACCGGCGTCAGTTATCTCAAGACGCACTCCTTCCGAGGCACGGGGGGCATTCCAGGGGGCGGTGCCCGCAAGGACGCGACCGTGTTCAAGAATGACGACGATGCTGTCGGCTACAGGTCCAGTGCGCGTCGCCGCATTGGGAACGGCTCCCCCAGGCCCGAATCGCCATCTTCTGTGGCGTCTACGGATGAACTTAGTCTGGAACAGCTGAGGAAGAAAATAAAGGAGAAGCAAGTCCTTCTGGACGCCATGGATTTCAAGGACGAAAAGGCCTTGGAAGAAGACGATGTTCTCGACCGGAGGGATCGCAAAGAAGCCGAGGAACTCTATCGCAGGATCCGCCGCATTCAAGAGGACATGGATGGTCACCCAGATGCCCCGCTCCCAAGCGGCGAATCGGACGCTGAGCGGCGTGCTCTGACGCGCCAGCTGCAGAATCTCAAGGACGGCATCCCAGACCTCGCCTCGCAAGTTAGGAAGACCGAGAAGGCCATTTTTGAAGCTCGGCTAGAGCTGTTCAGGCTGCGAGACGCCAAGGCTCATCCAGGGGGCGCCTCTGCCATTGTTGGTACTGGCCCCGGCGGCGCAGTGACCGAGTCGGACAGAAGGAGGGCCAGGGCAAAGGCAATGATGCAGCAGCGAACCGCAGAACTCACCGGTAAGAAGGTTGACGTGAGCAGCGAGGACTTGGACGCCCCGAGGCGTCTGGAAGAGGAAAGCCTCAAAGCGCGCACTGAGAGAGACAACAACGAACGCATGGTTAGGGATGTGGAGGATAGTGTTCAGGAGTTCGCGCGAGGCATTGAGGATAGCTTGAAGGCGGGTGGCCGGACAGCAGAGAGCGAGCACGAGCAGCGGCGATGGGAGGATGCGCTGGGTGTTGAGGACGAGGTCAGGGACTTTATATTCGACCTGCAGAGGTCGAGCCGGTCGAAGCGCATCAGGGCTGAGGGCCGTCGTACCGAGCGCCCGACGCCGTCTGTTAACCCGCCATCGGCGACCCGCCATGAGAGTCCCTCCTCGCTGGGCGCGCGTACCGCAACACCACCCTTAAACCCTTCCGGGGCCAGTGCCTCATATTCCTCGTATAAGACGCCAGAAGAGAGGGCCGCTTTCATCAAGCAGCAGGCAGAGCAGCGAATGGCGGAGAGGCTGGCAGCGCTCGGGATCAAAGCGCCCACTAAGAGCGGTGAGACTGCGGCTCAGCGAGTAGAGCGTGAGCGCGCCGAAAGAACAGCCAAGCTGCGCCAGGCGGAGGAAGAGGATGCAAAGCGTGAGGCAGAGCGGCAGGCCAGGCTTGCGGAGGAGCAGGGCCCACCACCCCCTGCCGCAACGCCTGCGCCAAAAGCCGAATCCAAGGCGCCGCCGCCTCCGGCGCCCCCGAGTCGCAGGGGAGTTGAACGCGATTCCGCCAAGAAGGCGGAGGAGGAAAGACTAGCACAAGAGCAGGAGGAGCAGCTACAGCGGACCCGCCAGATGGAGTGAGTTAATAGCCGTGTGATGTTTGAAGAGGCGCTGAGGTTGTTCCGCAAACCCAGGCACAGGCTGACATGGAATCTGCTCTAGACAACAGGCCAAGGAGGAAGAGGATGAGTTGGCTAGGGAGAATGATGCGGCCGAAGCTCGCCTCAAGGCGCTTGAGGAGCAGGTCCGCCAGGGCAAGCTGAAGAAAGAGGAGGAGAAGCGCAAAAAGAAGGCGGCACTTACCGAGGCCAAGGAGAAGGAGACCAAGCTGGCAGCACGCCGAGCTGAGATTGAAGCTGCCCGCCGGCGCGAAGAAGAGTTGCAGAAGCAACTCGAGGCGATGAATAATGCGGATTCGTCCTCCGATGACGATGATGACGAGCATCCCCAGGCGACACCCCAGGCGTCGACACCCACCGTCGGTAGCCAGGTTGGAAGCCAGGAGCTAGAGCGGAAGCACACGCCGCCGCCGGCAGTCGGTACCTCCGCCCCCATCACGGGCGGCGAAACGGCGTCGTCACCTGATGCTACAACAGAGAGCCGCAACCCGTATTTTAGGATGCTCTCGCACTCTTCCGAGCCCTCGGCGGCCCAACAGATCCCGCGCGCGGCGGCCGCGGCCGCAGCCCCGAACCCCCCTGCCCCCGAGGCGTCGACAAACCCGTTCCACCGCAACACGGCCCCCCAGGCAGTCCCGGCGGTCTCGATTTCTCGTAAGAGACTTGACGACGAAGATGAGTGGGGATCGGATAAGGACGACTCAGACTCGGAGGACGATGACCGCCCCGGCGGGACCAGCGCAGCCCAGTTGGCATCCATTCTGTTTGGCACCATGGCACCTCCACGGCCTCTATCCGCGACGGGTGATAAATCTGGGTCGTCCCCGCAACCCGCCTCTTCGCCCCTCTTCTCCCCGCCTCCGCCCCCGGCAATGTCCCCGAGTCCGGATGTTTCGGCCCCTCCCCTTGCTCCGCCACCGCCGCCGCCGCCAATGCCCCCTTCAGCGGCGCCGGCGGCGCCACCGCCACCACCACCACCCGCGCCCGGAATGGCGCCACCTCCTCCCCCGCCTCCCCCGCCGCCTGGTGCCGGCGAGCTTCTTGCGCCTGCCACTGGTGGCGGCCGCCCCTCTGGTTTACTAGGTGAGATTCAGGCAGGACGGGCACTGAAAAAGACAAGCACTCGAGACAAGAGCGCAGCGACAGTTGCTGGTCGCGTTTTGGATTAAATTGGAGTTGAGTTGGCGCAAGGTATCGCTCGAGTGCCGGCGTCGATACCACCCCAGTCGGACGGAAGTTGTGAATATGGGATGGCTGGGACGTTGCGCAGTGTGGCGCCCCTCGGCGACGTGCGAGCTGAGCGACTCGTGTCACCAGAGCCCAATGCACCTGTAATTATCACAGGCGGCGGGGCACCCGGGGTGAGGAATTCTATTCTCTCAAATGGCCTAGTCTAGCAACGTACACGTTTCAATGGTGGTTTTTTTTTTTCCTTTCCCTTCTTTTTGCCTATATTAATGTTACTCTTGGACTCCTTTCATGCTGTTCCTTTCTTCGATCACTGCCAGTGCTACGAATTTGCCCCGCCACAAGCCGGCACCTGATGGTACGCACAATACTCCACCGGCTTGGCTCCCGAATTGGGATCTCCTTCATCCTCTCTCCCGGGGAAGGAGGGGTTGATGCTCTCTGGTGGATCCATCTGGGGCATATTGTCCGCACTCACGCAACCGTCATCGCATGGCCCAACCAGCCTCCCAGCAGACAAATGACCACCCATAAAGCAATGTGTTAAGGAAAGAATCCATGGTACAGTCGTTCATCTAGGGAACACCTTGAATCGACGTGCTGTAAGCGTGATTCTGATTCACGCTGTGACTTTACTCTAGCCCAAAACAAGTAGAGGGCACATCGATTGAGGTAGTTGTAATCACTTACCTCGTAGGCACCTCAGCGGCCGATGCCTACAGGTAGGACAGGTTCCCGTTATCCCACGCAAATGACCTAGATATTTCGGCTCTCGCTTTCGATCGACGCCTTGGTTCCTTCTGGGTCGATTTTTTTCCCCCTTCATCCCTGTTCTTCTTTTCTTTTGCCTTTTATTTTAGGTCCTTCTTTGTAATTTTCTTGCTGTCCCCCTCTCGGTTCCGTCCATTCCCCAGTTTTTATCCTTGGTTTTATCTAATAACGGTTGGCTGTGGGCAGTCTGGGGTGCGAAGGAGGCTGCAAGGTTGGAAGTTGCGATGCATAATGGGGATTGATTGGATGGAAGCATCCCTTTGCAAAACATGGAGCTGGCGCGTAGAAAGAGGAGAGCGAACGCGACTCTGACGCGTGGAACGCGCCAACCCAAAAAAGAAGTGAAAATGGGAAGTGGCCCACGGGGTGGTGACTGATGCCATGACGGAATCGCCAATAGGAGGCGCAGGGAATGACAGGGGTCTGCATGATGCAGACCCATACAGCCTCTGTCGGTTAAGAGCAGGCTCGACGCAGCAAAACTCGGCTTTCCCTTGGTTGGGTAGCACCCTGGACGGACTTGGGCGAGAGGGTGGTGGGTGCACCCGCTTCCATCGAGACTCTGAGACTCGCCAGTGCGCGTGCGCAGCTAGTCGACCTCGCAGCTGGACGCCCCCGTATCAGCCCGTGCCTGCGCTGGCCAATCCGTTTGCCCTAGGCCGCACGCTCGGGTGTGCGGCCAGCCCCCAAGGTCCAGGCCTTGGTTGGGGCCTGTGGTGGTGAGCTGGCCAGGCCAAGAGCGAGCCAGGCCCACACCATACCGTCAGATCCTCCTTCGCCCTCTTCTCGCCCTCGTCCGTTCGCAATCCCCTTTCTCTGGCCTGGCCCCTCCCCACCCCGAGTAAAAGGCCGCTCGATGATGGTGGACAGGGCACGGCTTACGTCGTCGGTTTTCCTGTCCCGTCCCGACTTGTAAACCTGCATTCACCAGACCTTCCAACCGGCTCTTCTCCTGCTGCTTGCCGTGCTTCTTGCTGTGCTGCGTGCCGTCCTGTCTCTTGTCAACCAAGCCCATTCCGCCAACCGCGCGCCCCCGCACGCACGCCCACTGCCATTCGTTCTGCCTGCGCATTCCTCCCTCTCATTCTCTCCCTGCGACCCGCCCGCCTAGCCCTCCTCATCCATCCCTTTTCCTTCATCCCTTCTCCCTTTCCCACACCCATCTATTTGCTCCTTCTCCTCCTCTTCGTCGCCTCCACCATCGCATCTCGACACAGGCCGCCGACCGACTCGCTCCGAGCCGTGCTCTTCCACCAGAGCCAATCCCGCGATTTTGCCTCATTCGCCTCATTCGCCTCGTCGATGACGTTCCTAGATTGCTTATCGAAGTAGCCCCCGAGGTCAAGTGGTAGGCCGTCGACAGAAAGCCGCCGCGCCCCCTCACATTTGCCGAGTCTCGATCCCGAATTGAGGCCAGTCTATCGCGCCCATCTCCCTGTCGACTTTTTTGCCCTGTGAATTGCGACGTGCCGAACAGACTTGCAAGGTCAGCCAGAGCCAAATGAGCATCGCCTTCACTCATTTTTTCCTACCTTTTTGCTTTTCTTGCTCTCTCTTTTTGCGAATTTTCATGCCGTTATCATAGCAATCGCTCTTGAACTCTCCCTGAAATATCTTGGCCCTTAACCCACATTTCTCTTGATGACCCCCTTGACAAGCTTTGGATCTCGGTATACTAACTACCTTACCTTAGTTCTTGTGTCGCTTGCAGCAACCTATTTCTACTGCAGGCCTCCTTATTGCCTAATTCCCTCTGGCCGCTTGGTCACCATGGCCAGAAACGCGCGGTTTGGGCCACTGGAGCCTGTTCAGATATTCCAGGACGGCTTTTACGACCAGGCCACGCCCATCATGAGCCACGCACCGATGCCTCCGACTTCCGCTGCCCCGCGAAGGGCTCTCCAGCCGAGTAATCGAAACGTCATCTTCAACCCCCCGAACCACAACATGTCTGCTGTGAGGCAGTCTCCGTTCAAGCCAGCATTGCAAGGAGGCACCCCCTTGGCACCCCTGAAGGCATCACAGACCAACATTGGAGCCGTCTCTATAATTCCACCCTGCGCGCAGCGAGCACCTACCGATTCACTTCCCAAGAAGCAGCCTGTCATGTCTCGCTTCAAAACAGTCGCTCAAAAGCCCGCATTCGCTGGTACCTCGGCCGCCGCACCAGGTCACCTCGGGAAGGAGAACTACCAAGGATCTATGATGTATCCTGTTCCGCCGCCCCTGAATCTATCCATCGATTCCTTCTACCAAAAGCCATCCGGTAAACGACTGCTCGAAGCCCCTCCGATCAAAGACAGCCGACCGCAGAAGAAACCCAGGCTGGACGGCGGTCCTTTGCCTCCCCACGATTCGTTCCCGCTCATTGTCGATGATGGCACTAAACCGGGACACAGCTACGCAATGCTTATCGGCATGGCGATCTTGCGTTCACCCCAGCGGCGCCTGACGCTGTCTCAGATATACAAGTGGATCTCGGACAACTTCTCATTCTACAGTCCCAATGATGCTGGTTGGCAGAACAGCATCCGTCACAACCTCAGTCTGAACAAAAACTTCATCAAACACGAGCGCCCCAAGGACGATCCGGGCAAGGGAAACTATTGGGCTATTGAGCCCGGGATGGAACATCTCTTTATGAAGGAAAAGCTTGCCAGGAAGTCCATCTCTGCCTCGGACAACGTCTCGGTCATGTCAACTGTGCTCGAGCCGTCTTTGCCTCCGCCCCCAAGCTCATCTGAGCCCGTGCTTCCCACACAGCTCGCGTCTGCTGCAACACCTATCGTCCCAAACGCCCCGAGCACTGCTATCCCCACTCCTCTGGAGCAAGAGCCGTCGTCTGACGCCACCATTCCTGTGTCTGACAGCGGGGCTGCCGACGAGGCTTTGGACACTACGATTGCTGTCGCTACTACGGAGCCTCTAACGGACGCAAACGGATACTCGCCTCTGGCTGCTGCGATGCACTCCTCTCCGCCTATCCCTCGACACCTGGAGCCCCGGAGGAACACGCCGCCCCCACCTCTAACATCGCACCACCGGGAATCGTCCGCGGCCAAATCGCACAAGCGCAAATTTGCCTCCATGGATGACAGCGGTTATATTTCGTCCCTCGAGTCATCTGTTCTGCGATCCAACCAGAATGGGCGGCTGCTAACCTCAGAAGCCGATCGCCCCCGCATCAAGCGAGGACGTGCCGAGGAGGAAATTGCACGTCTACGGGCCTCTTCGTACGAAAGCCCTTCCAAGGGGCGGTCGTGGAGCGGTTTCATGCCGCAATCGTCGTCTCCTCTTCGCCAAACATCGGGCCATGACGCTGGCCAGATGCTCCCGCCACTGACCCCGGCGGTCAAGCTTGCACCACCCCCAAGACCGCCACCGTCCGTCTCCCCGAACACGAACCTGAGGCTTCACCGTGCCAAGGTTCAACGCATGGTCGACTCACCGCTGCGAAGGGTCCTGGATATGCCCGAGCAGGAGAATGGCTGGGGGACTCCGGGAGGTTACCAGTTCGACCCGTCGGTGTATGATTTCAGTTTTGGGGTTGACACGTCAGGTGTCGCTGAGTTTGACATCTTCCAAGACTCGACAATGCCCTCTATCTTCCCTTCAGTGGAAGACGGCTCACCTGTCAAGCGAAGCTTGAAGCGACCGCGCTTGGAGCGACCCAGTTCAACGGGTGTTCTGGGGGAAATCACCAACTCAGGATCCCGGCGGCCCCTTGCGTCGGCTCCCCTTCTCAAAGCCACGCGCTCCCCGGCCACTACGCTGGACACGCCTAGCAAAGCACTGGCAGGTGGTTTGCTGCCATCGTCGCCCAGCAAAGTGTTCCTCCAGTCCCCAGCAAAGCTACCAGATATGGCGGCGGACGCCGAGAATACTTGGCTCAACATCGATGATTTCTGCTCGACGACCACCTTCCTCGAAGAAGCAGGCGACTTCCCAGGCGTTGACATAACCCAGGGCTTCGATAAGATCGGACAGCCATCGCGCTCCTCAAAGTCGGGGAAGCCTGGGTTAGGTCGCAGTTACACGACAAGTTTTTAAGCCGGGCTAATTGAGTTGACAGTCGTTGGTTAATGGGATTACCTTCGCCTTCAGCTCCACGGCCACGTCTCGTCGCCTCCTTTATTCCTCTTCTCCGCTCGTATGGTCCCCTTGCCCCCTTCCTCCTTTTCTAAGTCCGCCTCCTTCGCTCTTGTGGCTCCTTGATGCGGATCAACTCTACTGGTATTCTGAGCCCCGGTGATGAGCTGATCCAAATCGGACAAGCTAAGCAGCGGTCGTACTAGCAGTGTCTACAAACAGGCTCTGTCCAGCTTTTTTCTTCTTGTTGTTGCTTTGAGTTCTCATGGTGCCTGGGCATTCGCACGTCTTTTCTGCCACTTTTTGTTACCTTGCCTCACTACGGCAGACCACCATGTTTTATCACCCACTTTTGACATATTTGTATTGGGACTCGAGGAGAATGCCTGTTCTGGATCTTGTGACCCGCATGGCAGTGTTGGACATTTGGTCTTTCACGACTTCTATCATGTTTTTGCTCTATTCCCCTTCCTGTTCTTGTTTATTTCCTTTTTTTTTTGTCCCTTTTTGCTTTGTTCTTCGGTTGTTGTTTACGCGAATCATGATGATGTCTGGAGTAACTCGCTATTGGCAAGCATGACAGGATGTCGGGTATGGATGTCATTTGAGAGCCTACTTTGTGTTTTGTGGCTTAGTCGATTTGATTTTTGACCCTAAATTTTTGCGCCAAGTATGGACGACGAGAGAGTGAATAGAACAATGAACAGCAGCGATATGCCTACTGATTTAACCCTGATTCTCCCCTTGCTGCCATGACGTCTTTCCACCTAGAGCTTTGACAGCAGAGTTGTATGAATTCGAGACCCGGCCCCTTCTTCATTGGAACCTCTCATGTACTTCTCGGCCATACCAACCAGACGATGGTTTGTTGCCTTCTTCACAATATCGCAGTGGTTAATGGCGTTGGCAAATAGAGCCCGGACTAAGCATCCCTAGTAAGAAAGGGATGGAAGATTCCAAAATGTTGGCGTTATGGCTTTTGATACGGTTTTGTTCTCGAGTGCTTTGGCCGAGTGGCTGACGTCGACAACTACGAGTCTCGCGACTGAAGCAACCGCGATAGTGCTCCGATGCTGGGCCAAACTCGATGTGGTGGCCCTGTTTATAGTGACCGGGCCCACGCCATGCTCACCACGTGGTAGCATTGGGTTGCATCGGCAGGGTCGGCCACGACATGGCCGACGACGCTGGATGTAGGGATTTCTGCATGAATCAATACATGCCCATCCTGAAGCCTGTCTCCTTCTGATTGACTGTGATCTGGTACGGGAACGGGTTCGATTCGGTCGTGGTTATGGGCGGGATGTGATCCTTGTGCGTGTTGACGAAGGTTATAATCTTGGTCGTGGTTGTGAGTAAGGTGGCCTCGGTGGCTTTGCGAACCTTTGCGCGGTCTATCTAACGGCGCAAGATTTCGGGGGTTATATACACAGGCATTAGAAGGGCTCGGTTCATGTGCCATCTTCAATGTCGGGAGTGAGGGGAGAGGAAAGACGGTAACGCACCGCTCTCGGTTCGGGGCTCGGCCACCGTGACCTTGACGGTCCACCATTCCCAGCAGACCTCCTCGTCGCCGCGCATGGCCAGCCATGTCTTGCGGCGCTTCTTCTCGAAGAACTGGACCGAGATCTGACCGCGGCCGCCACCTGAGGGGTGGTGCTGGTGCGACTGGGCGGCATCGAGTTGGCGGGCGAGGGCGGCGGCGCGCTGGTCGATCATGGTCTCGAGCTCGACATCGTCGACCAGGGGGAGGGTCAGGTCCAAGACCTCGCGGGTCTGCGGCTGCACCGAGGGGAAGAAGCGATGGAAGAAGATGGTGTGCAGGATGCCTGGAAGAGCCGTGTTAGTAAAGTAGCAGGGTACCTATGTACTTGGACAGACGGCCACACGGGCGGGCAGGGAGGGGAGTGTGTCGTGGGCAGGCCCACTCACCGCGGACGACATCTCGCACAGTCGACGGATCGGCAAAGGCCTCGAGGATGAACTCGGGAGGGCTTCGTTGATCCATGGGGATGGGGCTTGTGTGGTTGGGGTGGTGGTGTCTGCGCTGGCGATGCAGGTGGACGAAGCGGGGGCTGCAGCCTCCCCTGGGCAATCAGAGAGATGGTGGGCTGGAGCGCCCAAGGTATGTGGTGATTGCCGTCTGGTGGTATGGACGGGGGGGCTGTCGCAGCGTCTTTGTTCTCTGTTGGGTTCAATGGTCGCGACTGATGGCGGCGGTTGGTTGTTCTGCTTACAGCGGCCAAGGGTGGAAGAAGCCCCGCACCAGCGAAGGAGTGATGCAATCCAGCTCAGCTGAGACTGATTGCTGGGATTTCTGGGATACATGTGCCTGGCTTGGCAGCGCCCCGGGCGGCTGCTTCCTTGGCATCCATCAGTTCCCGCCTAATTTGCAGGTGCCTCGGGATTCGTCCCTTGCCGCGTGAGCACGGGCGGAGCTGACTGTCAAACAAGGTGCGGGTCTGCTGTCTTTCAGGAGCGGCAACGTGCCAGAGGTGCCGGCAGAAGCACACCGTCCCTCGAATTTGCCTGCAACACGGGCCTGGTGGAGGGGAGCCGAGGCACCCAAATCTAGCTAGGTCGTACCTGCCAAGGTATCGGACCCTATCTACCTACCTGTAGGTTTGGAGCTTTGAAGCGAACCAACGCGAGCGCGCGAGAGAGGACTACGCCCAAGTCTAAACAGAGAAGCAAACCAACCGCAACCGAAGCGAAAGAAGAACGACAAAGAAAGATAGAAACACACGTCGGCTGCTCTCGAACGCACCCCCACGGCCCCCGACGCACCGCCGGTCGCGATGCTTTCCGCAACGCGGCGATGGCTGCGCCGGAATAGGACCCCCATCGCCGTCGGCGCCGGTGTGGTCGGCGCCGGCTACATCGCGGCCCGCTACGTGCTCGGCAAGATTAGCGACGCGCGCGAGCGCATGAGCAGCGACCGCATCGCCAAGGAGAAGTGAGCAGCAGCCTTGCCAATCCCCGGAGAGAGAGGCGCGGACGACTGGCTAATCAACCCTTTCCTTGTGCGCACAGCCTCCGCCGGCGCTTCGAGCAGAACCAGGAGGACTGCACCTTCACGGTGCTGGCCCTGTTGCCCACGGCGGCGACCAACATAATCGAGGCCATGAACACGGAGCAGATCACGTACCAGATCCAGCAAATGAAGGCCAGGCCACTCACCTCGTCGGCGCCACCAAGCATCGCCGACACGACACTAACCGACGACGACGGCCAGTCCAGCCTCGCCGCCACCGCGCCTCCCGACCCTGCCCCTACCACCGATGGCACCAAAAGGAAGACCAAGCGCCAGCTCTGGGACGAGCTGGCAATGAGCTGTGCGTGGTTTTGCAGACAGGCCTTCTCCCCTTGGCCCTTCTCGTTCGCTGTCTGTGCTGACACACTAGGGGCTTCCCTTATGCAGCGATAACCAGGTCATACACGCTTCTCTACACCCTTGCTCTACTGACCATGTTCACGCGCATACAACTGAACCTGCTGGGGCGCCGGAGCTACCTGTCGAGCGTGGTGGCGCTCGCCACGGGATCGGCACAGGCTGCGATCGGGCTCGAGGACAACGATGACGGCGGCTCGGACCGCCTGTCGTACGGCAGCGACTTCGAGATCAACCGCCGCTACCTGACCCTGAGCTGGTGGCTGCTTAATAAGGGCTGGGTGGACGTCAGGACCCGCGTTGAGGCGGCCGTCGCGCGCGCCTTCGGTCACTTGAGCCCGCGCGACGACCTCTCGCTCGAAGCATTTGGCGCACTCACCTCTCGAGTCCGGGGAGAGGTCGAGACGGGAGCGGGGTGGCTCGGGTTCCTGCTGCCGCCCGTGGGCGAGGAAGAGTCGGTGCTGAGGATGTCTGGTATTCTGGGTGACCGCGCTGCAGCCCTCGATGAAAGCGCCGTGGTGGTTCCCCCAGCGACCGAGACTGTGCCGTCGGCACTCCGGCGGCTGGTGGATGAGACGTCGGATCTGATCGACTCGCCCTGCTTCACGCATGTGCTTGGGCTGCTTCTCGACGCCGGCTTCGGCGCCATGGCGGACGGTGAACTGGCCGAGACGGTGTTTGCAGCGTCGCCTGACGGCGTCACACCGAAGACGGTGCAACTGCCCAAGATCCTGTCGTCGCTCACCCGTCAGGCCCACGCCATCGGCAACGCGATGCCTAACCGCTACCTGCAGAGCATGGAATCCGTCCGCGACCTCGAGGCCTTCGCAGCCGTCGTCTACTCGAGCAACTGGGAGAACGAGATGAAGGACAACAGCGCCAGCACCGTGCTGGTGCCCGCCGCTCAGTCGTCGTTCGAGGGCGCCTGGGGAAGGGCCACCACAGAGCGGCAATCCTGAATTGCGGGGGATGCTTCGAGGAAAAACCTGACCAGGGCGGGTGGATGACGAACCTTAAGGGACATATCATGCAGACGGCCCCTCTGGCCCGACCATCTACCGTGCCTTGCTTGATTTAGTAATGTAGTGATAGAGAGGACATTTTTGAAGCCACCGACATGGGCTGGGAGTGTCCCAGCGACCTTGGATAAGCCATATCTCACCGAACTAGCCTTTTCGATATTTCCCAGCCATGAAAGCTTGTGATAATGGTAGATGCTCTACTTGCATTCCTGGCCTTGCCCTCTTTTTCTAGCACAGCGTAGCCTAGTAGAGTACATATATCATGTTGCAAACAAGCCTCGGGGCTGTCTCAACTTGCACGTTACGCCAAGCCGCGGATGAACTGGTCCAGTCCTAGCTCAAAGAGCTCATTCTTGACGCCTTCGCCTCCACGGTGCTCGGCAGGCGAGAGAGGGTTTTTGACCACTGCGACCAACCGCCGGCCGGGATTGCAGTCATCAGCCATCCATCCTCGAAACTACGGGCTAGTCTGTGTGTGTGGAGGTGGGAGGTGGGTGGGAAAGTACAAGAACAAAACCAGGGGCGTCTGCTCACCGTACTCGACCCAGAGGTTGATGTAGATCTGATGCAGGACGTTGCGCATGCTCATGCTGGCCGTGTCGGTCAGCAGCACGAAGCGCAGGTTGGTCGGCGTCTCGTAGAAGTGCAGCTTGTACTGGGCGGTGCGGTAGGCCACAAAGGCGTCGTCGTCGCCGCCCAGCTTGCGCACCATGTTGCGCAGCGAGAAGACGGTGCCGAAGATGAGCTTGGCGTCGTCGGCGCGGCTGTCACGCGCCGCCTTGCCCCGACCGCCACCGCCACCGCCACCAATAGCCCCGGCCCCGGCCCCGGCCGCAGTGCCGGCCTCGTCACGTGGCGGGGGCAGCCACTGTTTGGTGTATATGCATTCCGCTGCAGGTTTCCCCCCGGCCGTCGTCTCGCGTCAGAGTCCTGTGGCCCATCCGGCAGGTTCGTAGGGGGGTGCGATGAGTAGGGGTAATCAGCTCACTATGCCGGTCGAATATGTAGAAGGAGTAGACTGCCATGGTCAACGGTCACAGGTGACCGCCAGCCCGCGCCAATTCGTACGTAGCAGACGCCGACGCGACCAAGCTTGCGCAGCTCCTGGTGTGGCCTCGCTGTGCTGCTTTATGGTGACGAGGTCCACGCAAGGCGAGTCCGCTACCCTCCAGGTCTTGCCGCAGGTCTATCGGTGGCCTCGAGCCGCCCCTCTCCCACCTCTCTCACGCAGTCCCTTGCGGCGTTTCAAACTGCGATGTTGGTTGTTTCCCGGAGCCGGGTGGGGTATGCCGATGGCGGTGGATGAGGTGCCAAAGATGCGTGCGCGAGAAACAAACACAAAAAGACTACAAGGGAGGACAGACTTGGCCGCCCAGTAAATGCTGTTGTTTGTTTAACACTGTTACGTCGGGCCTTGGCCTCTCATGCTGGTCCTGGCTTTTCTCTCGTCCTCTTCAGGTCGCAAAAATTGGCACAAAGGAACCCGTGCGGTCTTGGAACAGCCTCGCACTCCAAGCTCTACTTAGTCAAACTAAGCAACTGAGTGCTGGGGGGAACCAAGGGTGGGAGGGTTGAATTCCTCGACGAATTTGGATGCGGCGGGTGATTGCCTGTGTTTGGGATCAGGTGGTAACCTGCCTGGGTACCTGGATTACGGCGAGCGCCCCGCTTTTCGCGATTGGTTTCCGCAAACAATTCTCCACCTCCACGAATCACGCATCGAGTTGGAAGTTGGGAGTGCGGTTGCCCCGGCCTAAGAGCAAACACTCTATCCGCTCTATTAATCTATTCGGGATAGCGACAACTGCTATTCAAGACAATATGCACAGTCGCCCTAGTCTAAGTCCGCCGGCCGAACCGCCGGCCGCATTGGCTCGGCCATTGAGAAAGCTCCAGCATCAAGAAAAAACACAACCAACCCATGATCTATGAATGCTCTGCTCGCGGCCAACGGCGCAGTCTGGCCAGCGTACCTCCAGCAGGTCTAGCGGTCTAACCCGACTAAGTAGCGTATTTGAAAATAGACACGGAGTGAACGAGACACCAAGAGGAGGCTCGGGGAAACACCTGTCAAAGCACACCCGTTCCATCCCAAGGACGAACCGAAGGCCTGCCTAGCTGCCGCTGCTAGGCTGGCGGGCCTGTGAGTGCTGCTGTACCTGCACGGCGGCGGCAGCCTGCTGCTGCTGGGCTAGCAGGATCTGCGCGTACTGGTGAGGAGTCCCCCCTGACCCGACCATAGGCTTCGGGGAAGAGCCCGCTGCGGCGCTCATAGCGTTATTTCTCTGCTGCACGAGGCGCTTCTCCAACGAAGCCGTCGCTAGTTGACGGACCTGCTCTGCTGGCATCTGAGGGGCCTTGGCCCGAATCTGCGCCTCCACGTGGGCCAGCGCGGCTGACGACGCCTGTTGCTGCTGCTGCTGCTGCTGCTGCTGTTGCTGCTGGACGCCGTGCCCCCTGGGGCTACCAACACCCAGAGGAGAGCCGACAGCACCCCCATTCTGGGGATTGAACGCCATCATGACCTGTCCGTTCGCGATGTAGTTCTGTTGGTTATGCGGCTGGGCCGTCCCATTGACCGACGCCCGCATAACCGGTGGTGATCCTTGAGAACCCCGCTGATGGGGCTGGGTCGCGGACTGAGACGCCTGCCCATTTGTGTGGGAAAAGTGGTGGTTCTGATGCTGTGTCTGCAGCATCTGCGGTGCTGGCTGAATCTTTGGCCCATGAGGACGAGGTTGTGGTTGCTGTTGTGATTGCTTCGACTGGTGTTGTGGCTGAGATTGCTGCTGCTGTATTGGGGGCGGTGCTTGACGTGACGGTTGCTGCTGCTGCTGTAGTTGTTGCTGTTTTTGTTGCAGGGATGGTTGCTGGGCTGGCGGTTGCAGTTGTGCTTGGGATTGTGGTTGAGGGAGTGGTTGGGATGGTGGCGGTTGAGATTGAGCCTGAGTTTGGGCTTGACCCTGAGCTTGACCCTGAGCTTGACCCTGAGCTTGACCCTGAGCTTGACCCTGAGCTTGACCCTGAGCTTGACCCTGAGCTTGACCCTGAACTTGGGCGTGAGGCTGTTGCTTCTGCTGCGGAAGCGGTTGTGGTTGCGCCGGTGCCGGCTTTTTCTGTTGGGGTTGGGCTTGCTGCTGAGGAGGCTGCGAGTGGGATTGTGTCATCGGCAGGTTTCCCTGTTGCCCGTGAGCTGGGACATGGGTTTGTTGCGGCGGCGGCTGGTGCTGATGATGCTGGTTCTGGGTATGTTGCTGCTGTTGTTGCTGCTGCTGCTGCTGCTGCTGCTGCTGCTGAAGCTGAACAGATCGCTGCTGATTCTGGATCCGCTGGGCCTGAAGGAGAAGGCTGATCTCTGCTGGAGTTGACGGAGTTACAGGCATGCGGTGTGCTGCCTGGATCGGCATCTGTGGCATGCCATTGACATGCACGGGAGGCGCAAGGTTGCTAGACCCGTGGGCCTGGTGCATCCCCGACACACCGTTCTGCCCAACAGCCATTGGCATCCTAACTCGTGCGTGGTGGTTGCCTGCGGCAAGTTGAGCTGCCATGTTACCCACGTGTGGAGATCGCACGGCCCCAGAGGCAGCTGCTGCCATCTGTGCTGCCATGTGAGCCGCAACCTGTGGATTTAAACCAGGGGCGCCTACGGGCGCGCCGCCAGCGCCAGAGACTCCAGCAATGCTTACGGCCCCTGATGATCCACCCCCAGCCGTGTTGCCTGCCGGGGCCGCACCTTGAGACCGAGCTGCCAGTGCTTGTGCCTGGGCCTAGAATTGTCACACGATGACCTCGTTAGCCACATAATATACATGTACGGGATTCTAGTCCCAGAGAAAATGGCCCAACTTGTGAAGGTACGTACCTTTCTCTGCGCCTCCTGCTGCTGCTTTTGCGCATACTGAGCCATCCTCTCGGTGAGTTGTTGGTCACGCTCGTAGCGCATGAGGCTGTAGTCTCGGGGTGTCTTGGAGGGCCCACGAGGCACTGCAGGCTGCTGCTGCTGCTGCTGCTGCTGCTGCTGCTGCTGCTGTTGTTGTTGTTGTTGTTGTTGTTGTTGCTGTTGTTGTTGTTGTTGTTGTTGTTGTTGTTGTTGTGCCTCATTGGCCTTGCGGGCCGCAGCTAGCGAAGCAGCGTGCTGTTGCTTTTGTGCCGTTGCCTCGCGTTTCTTGGCCAGCTTCCGCATCGCATCTATCAGTGTCAGATGCTTCTGGTTGCGGCGCCGCTCGACCCGGATAGATGTGGTTGGCCGCTTCCGAGGGAGAAGCGTCACAGCCCCGTTCTGCGCCACTTGTTGTTGCGCATTCTGGTTTTTGTGCGCGATGGCCACTTGGGCTGCATCGATACGCCCCTGATACGTTCTGAAGTACTGCGTCTTGGACATATCATTGGGGAGCCCCTCGAGGTGCACCCACCGCTCAAAACACTCCCATGGGGTCCGGCGCTCCGGTCCCGATGAGAATAGCGACTTTGTCGAGAGCATACTGGAGATCAGCGACCAGTTGTACGAGAACTCGCGCACGAGGCCCTTAAGCTCGTCATCTTCAGCCCAAGTCCACTGCGACGCGTTTCGTGCCTCATAGAAAGCCTGCAGAGGCATAGGATGCTCAGTTGGAGGTCTGAACTGATGACCTGCGTGCAACCTGTCCCGTGTTGCCTTCATGTCTGGGCTGAAAAGAGCCACCGCACACGTCCCAATCTGCAAAGGCATGCTGTCTGAGTTCGGCGCATGGTTCGTGTCGCTGTTGCTGCTGTACACGATTCCGTGCTCGTCCTCCTCGTCGCTGCTCTCTTCCTCGACATAGCGATACCGGCTGCGCCTTATGGGAGTTCCGCCTGACTTTGGCACCATTGGCCTGTCTACATACCGGCTGAGTGGCAGCGCCAGGCGTCGCCAGTGCGCATCCGGATCTGGGTGTGACATCGTCAAGTCCGCCTTCTCTGGCACATGCAATGGTGAGCCAAACAACGGAAGTTCGGCAAGCAGTTGGTCAGATGCAGCCGATCTGCTGAGTCCGAATGCAACCTCGCCGTCAGGTAACCCAAAGATGGCTGATGGAGCTACCGTCGTGACCAGTCCACCCCCTGTGTCAGACTTATCGAGACATACCTGGCCCGCCATCGGCTGGGTCTCCGGACGCGGACCAGACTCTGTCTCTGCTGTGCTGCCAGGTTGCCCATCGATGACAGACGGTGGTTTGATACGGATCTGCAATGTTATGCGGTCCTCTGGACCTGCTGCCACCCACTCAGCGCAGGCCGTGGCCAAGCTGCTTGCCGCAGCCCGCTTCCACCTCCGCTCCTCCCTGAAATCGGTCCTCATCCACTTCATTTCCTGCAGGAGGACATCCCAGTGAGAAGATGGCCGGGTCGGCTCTGGGTACCGTTTCGGTTGCCGCAGTGACCACTTGTCGTGTTGCTGGAGATTGTACACCCTTCTAAGGACCCTGCAGGCTTGGTGCTCGAGGATCGAGAGCTGTGCGTCTGGTGTCGACAGTGTCTTGTGTGATTGGTGAAGCTGCGCATCGATGGGTTTCATCCACTTGGCGTTTAGTGTAAACCCCTGGACGAAAAGAGTGGTGAAGTAGTCTTCGGCCGAGAGATGCGCCGGTGTGGGTTTGCCTGCTACAAGAGCTGTTTGCTCCTTTTCTGTATTATGCTTCTTCCTTCTGCCAAAGGCCACAATCGGCACCTTACGCCGGGCTCTTTTTTTGGCTCTAACATGCCGAATCGTAGCCCCACATGTCCTGCCGGTCAGAACTTCCGCGTTGCGCTGGTACTGCTGCTGCGGCGGCGACCGGGGTCGTGGCGGGGCCCCCTCTTGTAAACTTTGTGCGGTGAGGCGGTCGCGACCAATTGTTGTGTCAAGTCCGCCGTTGCCCATAGTGGCATCAGCCGCATAAACCGTGATAGGCTTTTCTGGCACGGCAAGTTTATGCGATCCCGGTGAGATACCATTGGGTTTAGTCGCCTCAGCACCCTTTGCTGGAGTGGCGACCAACTTCTGCTCGCCCGACAAAGATCTGCGCTCCGAGGCAGCCTGGGCCCCTTCATCTGGAGGCGCAGAGCCAGACGCCTCAAGCAACGCGGTGACAGCTTCAGGGGCGGAGACTATCTCGGGCCCAGTGGGACATGGAGTGCAGCCCCTCCCGTCCTCCAGATCCACATCCTTGCTGACAACTGCTTGGGCGTCACGTCGATCGACATGCGTGTCTGGCCCAGCTGGTATGGTCCCATGCGGCCTAGGGCTGGCCGCTGAGCGAGTCGCCGCCGCCGATTCCCGCAGGAGTTGAGCTTCGACCGCATGAACACCCGCCGTTCGTCCCTCTAGAGCACTGGTGGGACTGAGAATGGATCGCCGATCATCGGAGGAACCCATTTGAGTGTCAAGTCCACCGGCGATGGGAGGGTGTGATGAAGCATGGCCGTTTTCCGATCGTGGCGGCAGGAACCCCACCATGTGGGCATCCTTGTCGAGAAATTGGGGACCCTCATGGTCTGGACTAGTGTCTGTCGACGCGTCGTGGACAGCAGGGGTAACTGGTGTGTGAGTTGTAGATCCAGGGGACGAAAAGGCCTCTGGATATCGAAGGCACTCTAGTGGAGCGGGGCGGGTAGATTTCGCCCCAGCGTCAACATCCGGGCTTGAGCCCGTGTCATTATTGGCCCGGGCGGTCACCACAATCTCAGGTGGTTCCTGGGGGGCGATAGCTTGGTCGGATACTGCTGGGTTGCAGGGCTGTGACGACGATGGGACTGGTGATCTCCGGATGGTGTGAGCCGAACTGTCGCCGACCCGGCCCGGAGGCTGGGAATAGGAGGCCTGGCCATTGGGGGCGGGTATTGATGGCAGGGAAGGAGCAAGGGGCGGGGGCCTCGAGGGCGTTGCGGTCGTCGACAAGTCGTGGCCTGAGTGATGTATGTCCTTCTTCCTATGATCTGTGTTCTGCCCTGCCGGAGGGGCGGGATGCGGGGAAAGCGCGGTATCCGGCGCAAGCGACTGAGGGTTGTCGGAGCGGGAGAGAAGCGTCACGCCATTGGCAGGACCAAGCCCTGGGTGAGTGAGGGCGGCGGGCCGCTCGCCGTTGATAGGTGCCGCCGCTGTCGGCGGACCCTCGCGAGCCAAGGATGCCGAGAACGCAAGGAAGCGCTTGACGACATCGGGAGGCAGCTTCCGTCGAGGTGGGATGGTAGATTCGCTAACCCTCCGATTTCTAAGACTGTAAGTGAGCGGTGGACACAGAGCAAGGGCGCAGGTCGGCCGCAGAGCGCTTCGGGTATTGTGGGCGGCACGCACTGTAGGATGTCATTTGCTTGCAGAAACTGAGATTTGGCCTGCGTGGAGGGCACCTCCGCGTTGCTGAGTGGCAGCCCGACCTGCTCGGACGCGACAGCGAATAACTCGCAAAGCTTTCGCTTCCTCGAGATGACAATTGAACTGCAAATATATCGGCATTAGGTTAGTCGGGAAAGACAGGGCGGCGAAGGTATGGGAAGGAAACCGGAGGGGAAAGTTTGGCCTGACCTGCATTCTGCCCGCTTCGATTGCAAGAAGGCTGCGCGGTCGGGGGCCCGGACCTCAGTCATGTCATCGGCGACGGCGACATCCGTTTTTCATCAAACCAGATGTTTCCCTCAGTTCCTTTGGACAATGGGAAACGATGGAGACGCGCGGTGGCAATTAAATCGATCGCGTGTTGTGGTGTTTCAATTGACGGCGTGCTTGGGGGCTGCTGGTCTCGCTCGCGACAGCTAATTTTTTACGCCTGCAAGTCTTGGATGGTGGAGGTGATGGGTTGGGTCAGTGCTATGTCGCAGCCAATGTGTTGGCTGCTGCTCGCTAAACCTGCCGACAAAGACCTGGGGACAAACCGCACATATTCCAAGGGCCGCTACAGTACCCACATTTGGCCCTAGCGCGACGGAACCTGTTGGTTGAGGAGACGATTACGCATTCGCATAAAGATAAGTGGGTCATTCGCGAAATGTCGCCCACCCGGTTTGGGAGCAGGCAACGTCCTTGCATAATGAATGGAAGCAACCAACTCGTGGTATCGCCCCCAATGCTAGAGCGCCAGACGGACACTCTCCGCCGTCGCTCTCCGCTGCCACTCAACGCCTCCAAACCACCGCCATGTCCAGCGAAAACCCAGCGCCTCCCCGGATCGCCATAAAATTTGGCGCGTCTTCTTCATCAAAACCCAACTCTACAACCTCCCTTGGCAAGCGGCCCCGACCGCAGCTACTCCACGCCGAGTCGGACTCCGAAGAGGACGACGCGTCGACGTCGACCAGGCATAAGCCCATCGCAACCATTTCCGCGACGCCAGGTCGTGTCTTTCACAATAATGGGGGCCATTGTGCAGGCACACCACTGAGCATCACACCCAAACGAACGACAAATGGCCGGAATTCCGAAAGGATATCACTGTCAGAGCATACAGCTAGCGGGCAAGCAGGGACCGTCACGGGTACGAGCGATGTCTCAAGCGGCGAGTCGCGGGGGAAGCCCTCTTTAAAATGGGGGCTCACTCTGAAAAACGACCATGCTAGTGTACCCCAGAAAGATCAGAGTTGTGCAGATGCGGATTCAGAGGGTTCTGGCGGGTCGGGCCTTGATGCCAGCAATGGGAGCCAGCCACCAGCGAGTGGCCAGGTGCCCATAACAGCGGATGACGAGGCTCTGAGCGCTCTGCTAGGCGGCGAGGATCGGCCGATCAAGGGTGGACATGTGACTGTGAACATTCCCTCTGAACACACAACGGAAGGGGATGCGTTTCGACGACAATTCCGTGAGGCTCCCGATGTGTCTACTTTGAAGGAATATGAGGATATGCCGATCGAGGAGTTTGGTGGCGCTCTCCTGCGCGGCATGGGCTGGGATGGGAAACTGCGTGGACCCAAGTCGAAGGAACCCCAAAGACGCCCCAACCAGGTTGGTCTCGGCGCCAAAGCCTTGAACGGCCGAGAAGACTTGGGCTCATGGAACCAGAAGGCAAATGGGAAGTCGCGTCCCAGACTAGACGAATATAACAGGCAACGGAGGAGGAAGCGAGACGATGCTCATCGGGACAAACGATAATGGTTAGGATTGCCAGAGCGAAATTGGGAGGCCTCAGTGGGTGTTGCAAGTCTCTTGGCCGGTAGGGCGGCCGGCCGATAACGGTGCGGGACAAGAACACCAACCAACAAACGGAAGAAGTTACATATGTGGAAGGCTCGTGCAAGGGAGTCGCTTGTAGGGGCGCCATCGGAGGCGACTCCCTTCTGTCCCTGCTGAAGGCGCAGGGCGGCCGGTCGGGTCATGGTCGGGGGCATCAAAAGGTCTCTTGCTGGATGGTATATATATTTTCGAACAGCGTGCTGATCTGTCTCTGGAGGGTGGCGGTCTCGTCTGTCATGCGCTTGTAGTGGTCCGAGTCCTTGAAGCTGCTGGAGCAGCAGTTGGCCGTGTAGAGGCCTGAAGAGTGAAGTGAATCAACTACCAAAGGAATTGATCTAGCTGACAGGATCCTCGAGGCCTGCTGGGAGCTATAAACGGATCACAAGGCAAAGCCAAGGCAACAGGTACAGCCTAAGCCCTATAATATAACATACACACTTTCCCCAGTCGGGTCCGGTGTTACAGTTCCGTGCTGGGGGCACGGGTCTGGGGCTTAGGAGTTGCTCCAAAGGCGCCTTTGTGCTTCAGAATGTTACAGGCCGGGCTTTTGGCTCCGGCTCATAAGGCCTCAGCTACATATAGCTGTAAGCCGTGTGTTACGACCAACAACCACAGCCCAAGGTAGAAGAGGGGCACAGGTCCAGCCAAGCGAGGAAGGGTCATGTGGTAGCCTTGCTCAAGCCAAAGTAATCTGTAATCCCTTTACAATTTACAAATTACAGTGTTAACCTGTAATTTTTCCACAAATTACAAATTACAAGCCCTTAGCAGGAGCACTGCTGCACTACCAAACTTAGGTATAAAAAGGAAGGTTTCTTACTGTTTAAAGTAGTTTTAATAAATGCATTAATATTAAATAATTTAAATTGGCTTTTAAATAACCTTTGGAGCAAGTATTTAAACAGTGCCTAAAATCCTTGTAAATCCTTTTAATTTGTTAAATTACGTGCTATTATTCAATCCTTTTTTAATGCTTTACTTTAAAAATAAAATTTTAATTATGTTATGGATCCGTGTGTTACGGCCAACCAACAAACCGGACAGGAGGCCAGGGGGGAGGTCTGTCAGGTCCGACAAAGGGGTCACCCCACTGTCAAAGTCACGTAACATGGGAAGGATCTTGGGATCTGTGGCAAAGCAACAAATCCAAGGGGATTTTAGGATTTGTTACAAAGCAACAAATCCAAAGGGATTTGTAAGGTTATTACAAATCCAGGACCAAAAGGCTTGTAAAAGCCAAAGTATATAAAAAGGAGGCTTTTTATTATTTTAGGTAGTTTTTAATTAAGGCTTTGGCATTAATTAAATTTTAGTTAGCTTTTAAGCAACTTTTGGAGCAAGCATTTAAACCGTACCCAGGTTATTTTGTAAATTTTTTTAATTTGTTAAATTACGTGCTACTATTCGATATTTTTTTGGTGCTTTACTTTAGGAGCAAAAGCTTAATTGTAACATTTTAATTAATCCTATTTAGCACCCGGACCGGTACCGAACAGTAGCAATGGCAACCAAAAGCGGCGAATCCTTTACAAAAGGGAACGACAAGCACTTTAGCTACGCAAACAAAACTTACGATATAACAAAAGTAACGGAAGCCAGGGCCGCGTTTATAGCCATAACCGCAAACCTTACCCAATTTAAGCAATAAGCTAGCGTTCCGCAAACGGCGGTTCGAATTTACAAATTTTTTACCCCCAACCGGTATAACGGTAAAAAAAGCACTTTTAAAGCTTTTTTAACCGAATGTCGAAAGTACTTCGTTTTTTATTAAATTTAATTTACAATTAAAAAATAAAAGGTTGCTTATATAACCATTTGCTTTAAAAACAAAATAAAAAAATGGTTCGAACCCGTATAGGCAAATTTTTTTAAAAGCCATAACGAAAGCAAAAAAAAACCAAAATTACTTTTTTTAGCTTCGCCCGGTTTAAAAAAAAAATTACCAGCGTATTTAGCTAAATTAACAAATAGCAAATTGCCGAAAAAAAAATATTCCAATTTCGATAAAAAAGCGCAACGTTAAAGTACGTTTCCAATTTTTAACGCTTTGTTAATAAGCTTAACTAAACCAACCAAACCAAAATAGCCCATTTATATAATAAGCTTCGAAATAACGTAAAAAACGAGGTTTTAAAGGTTAATCGACTTAAATTTTTCGCTAAATACGTTATTATTGTGGTTAAAATTAGCAATAAGTTATATAAGCGCCGTTTGGAAAAAAAGGGCCAAAAAACCAAGTTTGTAATACAAAGCAACCAATCGCAACAACGGTTCGACCGCAACAAATCCATAGCTTATAATTATTACTTTGGCCCTATGGATTTTAACGCTAGCGCTACGCATTAAAAGCAAAGGAAACGCAAGTTCCAAAATTTTAAGGACGGCAAATGCTTTTAATGTAAATAATTTGGGCATATTAAAAAAGATTGCTTTTAAAAAAAAGAGCAAAAAAAAATATTATGGGGCGATAAATTTAAAATAGCAGCGGCGACCAAGAAAAGAACGATAAGTTTAAAGGACAATGGCTATTTTAGCCCGGCGTTTTTTTAAATTGCATGCATTAATAACCATTGCGTTGCTTACCATTCCGACAAAAATGCAACAAAATGGTTTTTTTTGCAAGCGATTGGTTATAACCAAACGAAAAAACCTTGTAGCAGCTTGCAGCAATAACCCAGCCGATTCCGATAGTAAAAGCGATTAAGCTTGGATCGATAAAAACCTTTAGGAAAACTTTAAATTACGAAACGAAACATTTTGGAAGCAGCTTTTGCGCGCTGCCGAATAAGAAAAAGTGTTAAATGCTTTTGTTAAAGGGCAAAACTTTAAAAACGAAATAGCTTAACAAAAATATAGCTTAAAGCTTTGGGTTAAAACCAGTTTAATTCCCAATTTCGAACCAAAAAGCAGCAAAAAAGGAAATAAACCAACCATAAAAAATGTTGTAAAAATTTTCCAAACCCCGAATTTCGCCATCCCCAAACCAATTAAGGCTTAAATAGCAAATAAAAGCTTTTACGGATAAATAACGTTCGAAAATAGCGAATTCGAAAAAAAAAGCAACGAAAAAAGCTTAAGCAATTTTTGCTGGTACGTTAAAAACGCCCGCATGTTGCAAAAATACATACGGGCGGCGTACCAAAAACGGTATTAACGAAAGTACAAATTAAAACGCAATTAAAGCGTTAATTTGCAGGATTTTTAAACGCAAGCCGAGCAATAGCTAAAAAAGGAGTACGAATCGGGCTATAACCAATTTGTTGTGGCCGAAACCAACGGTTTAACGTACGCATGCGCAATAATGCTAAATTAAACCAATTATAAAACGTTCCGTTAAGGCGGGTTTATTATGCGAAAGCAAAAAAAAAGTTTGTACCCGGTACGCCCGAAAACCGTAATTAAGCAATTTTAAAAAAGCGAAAAAGCTTAAAGCAAAGCCGAAATTTAACGGTACTTTTGGAACGTTAATTTGTTAAACAAAAACGGCATTTTTTACGAAGTTATACCAGCCAAAAACGATTTTAGGCGCTTTATTAATTGGTTTGGTAGCAACCATTTAATTACGTACCAAAAGTATACCCGGTTGCAAACGTATAGCTAAAAATAAATTAAAAAGCTGCGAAATAGCATTAAGGAAAAAAACCATAATAGCTTTATGCTTAATTACCAAAAGCATTTGTGGTTGTTTTAAAAAAAATGCTTTGCTACGAATTGCGCGGTACATTTAGTTTAAAAGCTTCGAAGCAACTTTTTTTTTTGCCGATAAACCAACGAGCTAATTATTAAGCTTAAATTAGCATGGCAATTACCCAAATGGTTTATTACTAAAAAGTACGAAAAATCGGCAATATTTTAATTTAACCTTTAATAGCTTATACTTTGCATTGCTAAAATCCTGGAATAGCAAAAGTGCAAAAAGTTGGAATGCCAAATCCACATTATGCAAAAAGCCAAAGCATGGCAAACAAAATACAAGCTTTTATACATACCAATGCGGTATAACAAAAACGTAAAAGGCTTATATAAACCTTTTAGCAACTTTAACGACCCAAAGTACGCGGGGGTACGCAAAAAATAGGAAACAAACTTATCCAAACTTTGGATAAAGCATTTCGAAGCAAAAAATTAAAAAATCCATTTGTACCAAAGCCATAAAAAAACAACCATTTGCAATAAAAACTTTAACAATAATAATTAGCCCAAACGAGCAACATTTTTATATATGGGTGCAATAAAGCCTTTATTGCTTAAAAACCTTAATCGATTGCGGTGCCCAAAACAATTACGTATTGTTATAAGTAATATTACGATACGGTATTCCTGTACGCAAAAAAGATAAGCTATACTTTTTTACGATAATAAAAAAAAACCAATTAAATATAACAACGGATGGATTAATATTAAAACCAATTATTTTAGCTTTTGTTACCAAAATAAAACCTTTTAAATAACGCTAAACGCGTTAAAAATACGGAACGAAAATGTAGTTTTCGGGATTTCGTGGTTACGAAAGTACAATTTAAAAATTAATTAAAAAAAAAACAACCTTTAATAAATATTTTTACTAGCAATTAAAAAAGCCCAATAATTACGGGCCGCAAATAATGTAAAAATAAAACCGAAAAAAGGTATTTCGACGGAAACAAAGCAAAGCAGCAATTTTCGAACTTTATTACAAAAAACCATAATAACGTTTTACAATGGATTTAAACAAAAGCTATAGCAATTAGCCAATATATTTCCGAAATACCATAAGTATTAAAGGTTGTTTTAAAAAAACCTAAAAACGGTATTTCCAAAATACGGGCCGTTTAATTACAAAATTAAATTTAAACCAAATGCGCAATTTAAATACCAAAAGCTGTACTAATTTAACCTTAAACAACAAAAAGGTTAAAAAAACAATTACAAAAGGATTTGAAAAAAAGGGTAATTAAACCTTTAACATTTTTAATGGAATACGGAATTTTGTTTGTGCTTAAAAAAAACGGAAAAAAACGAATATGCATTAATTACCAATTACTAAACGAAATTACGATAAAAAATCGATATCCTTTGCTTTTTATCGACAAATTACGCAACAAGCTCGGTAAAGCCAGGTATTTTACGGTTTTAAACCTTCGAAAAGCATATAAATTGCTTTAAATTAAAAATGGATAAAAATGGATAACAATTTTCCGGATACGGTTTAGCGTATACGAATCGTTAGTTATAACCTTTGGATTTACTAACGCGCTAGCTACTTTTTAGCGGATAATTAATTACGTGCTTCGAAAGCATTTCGACATTTTCGTTTTAACGTATTTAAACAACATTTTAATATATTTAAAAACGCTGGAAAAGCACAAGCAATATATATACCAAATATTGTAAAAGTTGCAAAAAGCAAAGCTTTTAATTAACCCGGATAAATGCGTATGGTATACCCAAAAAATGGTTTTTTTCGG